AGAAGCCATCCTCCCCTCCTCCCTTTCCCTCCCCCCCCCAATACAGTTGCCTGGTTTAAAGGGACACACCAGGCTACAGATAACATGTTTAAATGCATTGTTTAGATAATGCACTAAAAATATGCACACAAAAAAGTTTTAAAATAAAATAATTAATCTAATGTTCCTGCAGCTGTATTCTGACTAATATGAGTTTCCATCATTGGAAATCTCCAGTTCTGGTTTGCGCTGTCAGATCCTATCCCAGGAACCCTTGTCCAGCAGTGACGTTCATCACCAAGTATGAGTGGAAGTAATGAATAAGCTGACATATTACAGCTGATAATGTTTTGTTGACAGTTCCATTAACCCCGTAAGGACCAAACTTGTGGAATAAAAGGGAATCATGACATGTCACACATGTCGTGTGTTCCTAAGGGGTTAAAGGGACACTATAGGCTCATTGAAGTGGCATGGGTGCACTGTCCCAGGTCCCTTTAAAAAAAACTGCAATAATTATTTGTTAGGGTTAACTCTACCTCGTGTGGCTGTCTGACGCTGGAGGTCCTCACGCTAAGCATGGGGACGTCCAATGTCACCCAAAACCCCATATTGAATGTTGCTTTCCTGGGGGTAAATCCTGATGTGACCGTGGCAATTGCTGCGCATGCGCATTAGGTCTCCCCCACCGGCTGATGATGGAAGGAGAGACGGCAGACCAGCGCCGATGTCCCCAGGTAAGTGACAGGAGTTTTGAACCCCTTCCTGCACCACGGGGGTGGGCCTTGACAGAGGAGGAGCTATAGTGAAAATCAACTTTGTCTTCCTTGCACTATAGTATCCCATTAACATCAGGGCTGTACATAATTCTTAGTTGAGCTTCCAAGCATGGAGGTATGGAATAAAAGGGGACAGACTTATTGTGAGTTGCTTCTTCTGTAATCTTTGGCATTACCTTTTAAATTGATTCTATAGAGTTAGAAATACAAATCTGTATTCCTAACACTACAGTGCTCTCTAACTCCCCCTTCCTCGTGACTCCCCTCCCCTTGCACGGCAGAAAATGGGATAAAAAACTTTATTTACTCACCTGCTTCCAGCCCTGATGTCCCTCGTTGCTCTGCCTCTTCTGTTATCCGACAGGGGGACTTAATACGGATGAACGTTGAGTGCAGCAGGCCCTTGCCATAGAGAAGTCCCATGAGGACGTCAAGCGTCATTTAAGGTACTCAAAGTCCCTTAGAATCCTGGAAGCGACTCTAGTTCCTGTCTGATTGACAGCCACCGGAGGCAGTATTAGTGCTGCAACGTAATTATTGCAGTTTCTCAAAAACTGCAATGATTTACATTGCAGGACTAATTGGGACAGGAACACTGCACCCAGACCATTTTAATGAGCTGAAGTGGTCTGGGTGCCTATAGTGTCCCTTTAACTGCAGGCTATCTCCAGTAATGCACATCCGTTAGCATAAACATCAGAGCAATGCCTGTCCTTAGCAATTCATTATGGGTTTTGTCACTATTTTCTCAATAAACACATAACTATTAATTTAAAGTGGGATGGTATGTATGATGTTATACACCAGTCTAGATATCTAGAAACAGATTAAAAAGGTTAAAAAAATAAATTCAAAATGATGGTAACACAATACATAAGGTAAGCAGAAGAGGTTTATATTTTTAATCAGAAATGCAAATTCTAGGCCAAAATGGGAAAATTCTAAAAGTCCACTATTTATCCAACCTGGCAGTTTTGGCTCAAGATCTACAAAAATCTTGTGAATTCTCAACAAGTCAAAGTCTAGTTGGGTGCAGAATAGGGTTAACGATCTTAATCTGTATTAATGTCTGTGTTTTAGGGGTTTCCATGAATAGATCTGGGTGTCATATTCATTAAGATGGGACTATATTTTACAAAAAAATAAAGCCTCTTCTTTTAAAAAATGCTTTTAAATTATTCATTTAATGGGACACTATAGGCACCCAGACCACTTCATCTAATTGAAGTGTCTGTGTCACCTTAGCCCTCCAATGTAGTTTTTGAGAAACGGCAATGTTTATATTACAGGGTTAAGACCACGGCCGGACTGGCCCACCGGGATACCGGGAAATTTCCCGGTGGGCCGTCGGCTCCTGGGGCCGGGCAGGCGGCAGGCTGAACTGCCGCCTGCAGAGGGAGCTCTTTTGGCGGCCGCAGGGGGAGCTGGCTGTTCTGTCTCTGCTCCCCCTCCCCAGCGCGCCGCTTAATGAGACCGGAACTGAAATATGACGTCATATTCTGGCCCCGGTCTCATTAAGCGGCGCGCTGGGGAGGGGGAGCAGAGAACAGCCAGAACAGCCAGCTCCCCCTGCGGCCGCCAAAAGAGCTCCCCGATGCCAGCACACAGGTAGCAATATGTGTGTCAGTCTGAGTGTATGTGTGTCTGTCTGTGTCACGGTCTGTCTGTGTCATGGTATGTGTTTGTCATGGTGTGTGTGTGTGTGTCTGTCTGTCTGTCTGTGTCACAATCTCTCTGTGTCGTGGTGTGTCTGTGTTTGTCTGTGTCACGGTTGTGTGTGTCTGTCATGGTATGTGTTTTTACTCACTTTTTTTTTTCCCCCACGTTGTGCTGGTCTCCCCTCGACTGGCCCTGCCTCTACAGCTGAGATCATCAAACTTGATGATCTCAGCCAATCCGCACTGACACAGGAAGCACCTCTAGTGACCGTCTGAGTGTCTGTCACTAGGAAGCAATGTAAACACTGCCTTTTCTCTAAAAAGTCAGTGTTTACATTGAAAAGCCTGCAGGGACAGGCTATAGACACCAGAGCCACTACATTAAGCTGTGTGTGTGTGTGCGCGCCTGTTAGTGAGTGGGCTTGCTTGTGTGTGTGTGCCTGCTACTGAGTGAGCTTGTGTTTTTATGTCAATGACCTTATGTATATCAGTGAGATTGTTTGTCTGTGAGGTTGTGTATCAATCAGCTTGTGTCAGTGAGATTGTCTGTGTCTGCATGTGAGTATGCTTACTGTATAATTAAAAAGGGTTACTCTGAAAGGACCAATATTTTATATTGGAAAAAGCAATATATATATATATATATACATCAATCATCTAGGATGGCAAGACATAGCCTTACATATTACATGCGACAATATATGGCGCAATGACTTATGGGGCTGGCATTGATTTTTTTTCCAGGGCTGCTTTGGAATCCCCAGTCCGGCCCTGGTTAAGACGACCTCTAGTGGCTGTCCTCCAGATACGACGTGGGCGCCCTCAAGTTTTGCATGAGGACATATTCCACGCTTTCCTATGGGAGAGTTGTAAAGTGTGTGTGTGGCGCTTACCATGCCTTTGCATTATTAGGTCATCCTTTCGCCGTGACGTCCTGGGATAAGGAGACCAAGCCAGTGCCAAATCAGGTAAGTGAAAGAAAAGGTTTTTACCCATTTTATGACTGGCTGGGGATGGGGAGCGCAGAGGGACACTATAGTGATAGGAATACAGTTTAGTACTCCTAATATATTAGTGTTCCTTTAAAGGAACACTCAGAGCACCATAACCACTGTGGCATGTTTAAAGCTGAAGTAGCTAAGCTAGAAGCAAAGATGTTGAGGAAATTCTCACTTTGTAGCTAGACTGTTTTGGTCCTAAATGGGCAAATCCAGATTTTAAAGTGAGCATGTCAAGACCGGTTCATTTTATCTTTCATTGTATCGCTGATATGTTAGCTTTATTTTCAGCATATAGTCATCTCAGTGCAGTGACATCTGCAATTTCATGATTATAAATCAAAGACCGACTTGCCTTGCAGCAATTGGACTTGCAGTGTTTACGGCTTAGTTGACGGCATAGCAGTAAAGCCCAAGAAGGTTAAAATGATCTATAACTGAATAAGACTTTCCATTACTACATTAGCTATTATTATTACTACTAGCATAGAATCATAGAATGTGACGGCAGTTAAGAACCATTCTCGGCCAATCCAGTCTGCCCAATGTTCTAAATACTTTCATTAGTCTTTGAAAACTCACTTCTTCATTAAAGCGTATCAATTAAACTGTCAGCAGCCTTCTCATCCCCCACCCCATGACTCCGTTCCTGCACCTGTCAAAAATGACCTACCAAGCACTCAATAAACCCTTCTGTAACAAACTATTTAATTCCCCTACTTTAACCCTTTGTGTCACTATACCCCACTCCCTCTAGCATGTAAGCTCATCGAGCAGGGTCCTCAACCCCCTCTGTTCCTGTACGTCAGTGGTCTGATCTCAATTATGTGTCTGTTAGTCCACCCATTGTACAGCGCTACGGAATTTGTTGGCGCTATATAAATAATAAAATAATAATAATTACTCCCTGGTCTTATCTTATAGCTAGGACAGCCTTATACCTAAGTACGCTTAAACCCCCTTGTTTCTATAGCGCCAACATATACAATTGAGGACAAGTAATGGACATTGAAAAATTAACAGACACAAGAAGTGAAGGACCTGCTCAAACAAGCTTAAATTGCTATCACAATCTGTAGATTACATTGCATGCTGTTTATAGTGACACCAGACACGAATACAACAAGCATAATTTAGGCAAAAATAGACAACCTATGTCCTCCCCCACCCTCCTTCTTCCCAATTTAACTATTTTAACCTCAGTTTTGCCATTTTTATTTCTAATCTGGTACAATACAGAGGGCAGTGAATATTCCTCTCCATTCCTCCACAAATAAACAAGTAATTTTAGTCAAGACAGGTACACTTTGACTATGGAGCTCACAAGTCAATCCCTGCTAGGCATGGGCTTATGAGATAGGTTCAAGCTCCTCCACTAAATATTCTAAAAGCCTTTAAATTGGCTAAGACACGTCCTATTTTTAGTTATTTATTATAAAGTACCAGTTATTTATTAATATTTATCCATATATATAATATACATAGAGGGACTGTGTCTCTGTAAAGAAGGACACTTGGCAGCTGTGCATTCATGTTCAGCCAGCCACTCTACTAGCATCACCCCCCCAGCGTTCTATCTAGGTCATGTGACCTGTTAGCGGTACTGGCAGCTATTGCGCATGCGCTCCCGAGACGTTCTCCTGCGCATGTGCGGACATTTGCAGCCTGTTTGCAGACCCTGACAACCAGCGGTGGAGAGATCAGGGTAAGGTCGAAAATGGCAGGCCAGGGGACTGCTTATCCATCATGTGTGGCGGCTGAACGTTCTGGAACCTAGAGTGTATAAAGAATAGAATCCTGTGATCTTTATGTGGGTTTTAATATTCCAGCATTCCACAGCCTAACACTTCCTCCAGCCTGGTAACATGTCCTGGGGCACTGCACACACACACCTTCATTCTAGATCTGAGATCTGGACCTGTTTAGGGGGGACAGTCCCTATTTGGGGCCCAAAATCCCTCTTTCCCTCATTTCTGTTCAAATGTCCCTCTTTTATAGGAGCTTCATATTGTTTGTGTGTCTGAGTGTATAACAGAGCTCCCCTGCAATAATACTCCCAGTAATGTGTCTTTAAAGGGATACAATTCCTGGCATTATAGCGCTCTCTGCCTCACACCTTCCCACCCCCACCACCATTACTAAATGGTTAAAAACCCTTTACTCCCCTGATCCCAAAGCTGATGTCCCTTGTTGCTTTAGACCTCCAGATAGGAAAGCGTTGAAAAATCTGACACTGGATGTCTCCATGCAGAGTGTGAGGAAGTCCAGCGTGGACCGGACCGGACCAGACCAAAGGTTCGTTAGGATCCAAGAAGTGTCATTCCTTTTAGTATGTCCCCCTCCAATGACTTCCACAAGAGGCTGTTTTAGTGCTGCAATGTAAACATTGTAGTTTATCTGGAACTGCTATTTTTAACATTGCAGCACTAAAGCAATAGGGACACTGTACCCTGACCGCTTCAATGAGCTGAAGTGGTCTGTGTGCCTATAGTGTACCTTTTTAAAGGAGCATTATAATATCAGGAACACCAAACGGTATTCTAAAAGTTATAGTGTACCTCTGCCATGAAGTTATTGTGTGTGTCCATCTCGCTCTCCGTTTAAAACCCCATTTAAACACTCTGACGGCGGCAATGGGGATAACCTAATGCGTATAATCTGCGAGTGCCGAGCGCACTCTAGGTCTTCCCCATAGGAAAGCATTCAATCAGTACTTTCCTATGGGGGATTTGAAGACACTGGACATCCTCATGCTTTGTGGATGCTGAGTTGTTTACTGTGGAAAGCCAGGAAGCGCCTCTAGTGGCTGTCTGGGACACAGTCACTAGAGGCAGTCTTAACCCTAAAACTGCAATAATTTACATTGCAGGGTTAAGGAGACAGGAACAGTGCACCCACACCACTTTAATAAAATTAAGTGGTCTGGGTGCCTATAGTGTCCTTTTAAGCTAAAGTTGTTTAGGTGACTGCAGTGTTCCTTTAAGGTCAGAGCAGCCAAACTGAAAGCATAACTGAATAAGAGTCTTTTGTTTTGTTTTTTTTCAACTATTTTCACCTTGGATTTTAAATTCACTTAGAATTCTCACTAACCCTTTAAGTTTTACAGTTTAGAATAAATAACTCTGGCTGTCTCCTCCCGTAGTATATGGTAAGTGCTGGTAGTTTGTCGGGGTGCTCTGTGTTTTGTCCCTCTCCTGGCTTAGTTTTCTGAAGGTTAGTGAGATAATAGTGGCCCAGGTGGGGTTAAACTCCCTGGTGCTCAGTGGGAGACCTTGATCTCAATTTTGCTATTTGGAGTTAATTTGCTATTAAAATTAGATTGTATAGAAGGGAAACGTTTTAGGTTAAAGAACTGCTTCTTTGAGATTTTTTCAGAACTCAAATTAAACGACCACTAAAGTCACCCAGGCCACTTGATCTGAATGAAGTGGCTGTGCTGCAATGGTCGTGTCTTTTTGCCTCTTACGGCCACTAGAGGTGCTTCCGCAGCACTCAAGGAATAAATAAATAATAAAAACGTGGTTACATAACGTTAAAGCTCTATTAGAATGCTTTCACATCAGGTCCCCACTGCTCCTCTATGAGGACCATTGGATTGGACCAATGATGAAGGAGGCAATGCGTTGCAGAGAGTCGAGCAGCATTGAGGGAATCTCAGCTCTGGAAAAAGGTAAGTTAAAAGCTTTTTTTTTTTAATTATTTTTAGAACACTTAGCGGTTTCCTTACCTGAGTTTCAGTTGCTATTCTTCCCCTCCTGTTCTCACGGGGGAAGTTCCTCTAATGGCTGTCAGGAAGACATCCACTAGAGCAGAGGTTCACAACCCAGTCCTCAAGTACCCCCTAACAGTCCAGAATTTAGGAAGTACCCTGTTATGTCTAAGGTGTTTTTAGAAAGGAAAAAAAAAAAAAAACACTTTAGACACAACATGGTAATCCCTAAATCCTGGACTGCTAGGGGGTACTTGAGGACTGGGTTGGAAACCCCTGCACTAGAGGTATGTTTAACTCTGCAATGGAATCATTGCTATTCCTACAAAACTGCAGTGTTTTACATTGTAGGGTTAAAACCCAGGGCCGGTGCACCCAGACAAAGTGATCTTGGTGCCTTTAGTGGTCCTTTATGACTGGTTTAACAACTTACCTTGTTCCGTCTGGGCACCTACAGCTACAATCCCATTTCCAAATTATCCTGCAAGGAGAATTCAGTTAGCTCCACTGAGCTACGTAGGCCCAGTCCTATGGCTATTTGTCAGGGTCCCTCTTGCATTTTAGGGGATTTCCCTATATTCTAGACTTGTCTGTATTCATATTGGATTATAAAAAATACCCTCTGTTTGTCATGCACACGTAAGGTTCCTCTTAAAACCTTCGCATTGGAGCAAAGCAGAAGTTACATCAAAGACTTCAAATTCAAGATGGTTCTGATATTACAATGTATTTCCAATTCTTTGTTCCTGTTATGCTATATGGTTGCAGGATCTCTGCACACTCAGCTATTGCCTAATGCTGTCCTTGCCAAGTCCTCTTCAATGTATATATTTATAACATTGACATGCCTAAAATTGTTGTCGAGTCCTTGTTCTCGTTTCCAAGTCTAGCTCAGGCTGGTTATTTTCGGTTGTCTTTCTGTACAATTTTTTCCGTCCTTTCTCTAGCTCAAGTCCTCCATCGTGTCCTTGTTTCAGTGAAGTCAAATACCCCTTCATGTATTTCTTAGTTTCAAATCCACTACATCCATTCCTAACCCAGTGTCTTAGACACACTGACCATCTGAAAAGAACCAGAAACGAAGGGCTCAGTGTGTGGATGACAGTGGCTGTTAAAGTCAGATTTGATAGATTCTGGTCTCGTACTCATGTTATATTCTTCTCCACATTCAAATATTTTTTTATTTATTTTTTAGTTTTGCTTTAAAAAAAATGTTTATAAACTTTCTGCGGCATAACTCCACGCATGCTTAAAGGACCACTATAGTGCCAGGAAAACATACTTGTTTTCCTGGCACTATAGTGCCCTGAGGGTGCCCCCACCCTCAGAGTCTCACTCCTGCCCGGCTCTGGAAGGGGAAAAGGGGTAAAAACTTACCTTTTTCCAGCGCTGGGCGGGGAGCTCTCCTCCTCCGATCCTCCTTCTCTCCTCCCCGTCGGCTGAATGCGCACGCGCGGCAAAAGCTGTGCGCGCATTCAGCCGGTCGCATAGGAAAGCATTATCAATGCTTTCCTATTGACGCTGGCGTGCTCTCACTGTGAAAATCACAGTGAGAAGCACGCAAGCGCCTCTAGTGGCTGTCAATGAGACAGCCACTAGAGGAATTGGGGGAAGGCTTAACCCATTAATAAACATAGCAGTTTCTCTGAAACTGCTATGTTTATTAAAAAATGGGTTAACCCTAGCTGGACCTGGCACCCAGACCACTTCATTAAGCTGAAGTGGTCTGGGTGCCTAGAGTGGTCCTTTAAAGCAGATTTGCCACCTCCGCCAAAAGAAAGGGAGGAAAAAAGTATGTAATAAAGATAAAATATTTTGAAATACTCACATTGACTTTGTTGGAATTTTACTGAAATTCCAAACTATTCTAAAGATATACTGAGACAAAGTGGGGACTATTTTTTTATTTTTTCTTATGCTTGCAAATAAGGTCAAGCTTTGTCAAGTCCTCAAACGTCACTCGTGACAGCTGATAGGAAAAAGATCCTGCATAGACATCCGTAAATTCCTTAGTGGTTGGTGGTTGACTTAATCCAGCATGGATAACTTGTATATAATCAAGAGCCATCACAGGAGGAGGGTAAGACTTTTGCTGCACGTACTGAATGGTCACCACCAGGAGGTCTATTTGACCTGTTTACGTGCCCGTGTAGCCACTGACCGTGGCTTTATGTTTGGGAGTGCAATTTAATGTTTTGTGGTATTTTATGCTATGTTCCATTTGTATGTTTTTAGGCGTTTAAATCTTGAAGTAATTATTAGTACACCACACCATTTTTCTGTTTGTTTTTTATGAGACAACAGTAAAGTTTGCTTTTGGCAGGTGAAGCGTTTGAATCTGATGAGGATCCCACATGAGGAAATGGCGTGAGGGACAGGTTCAAGTAAAGCAAGCCAAAGAGGGTCAGGTTGCACCCAACCCAGAATGGAGCTAAAATATTAACAGTCAACATATATAGGCTATAAAAGTCTGAATCTTTCAAAGTATCTTTATCTTATTAGTAGTTATTGTTCCTCATATGTAAAAATGAGCAAATTCTAGTGCAGTGTGTCAAATATAAAATGGAAATATTTTGGGATATAAAAGGTTTCCCCTCACATTTAAAAGAGCTTCATACAAGCTCTAGTATTATCAGAGTATAATGAGATAGGTCCCTGTTTTGGCCAAAATTTCTGAGTGGTTCGGCATGTGGGATCTGAAATAAACCTATTGAAACAGACCTCTCTGAGGGTCTAGTACTCTGTGCACTAGAAGGAAACACACTCACAAGTTTAGAGCTTCTAACCAGCTCGAAGACAACAGCGTGTAACATCATATTACCTGCTTCAGGAATTAAATTTAAAGGGCGCCTATTATTCCCCATAAAACTTATGCTCATTAAATGCAAAGGTGACAGAGCTCGACTATTTTGGCCTAATTGGTTTTTTAAAACCACATATCAGTTTCTCATGGTTCCTGATTCAGTGCATGATCGTGCTAAACGATATGCTACATCGTTTTTCTTTTCTTAAAACCTAATGCGTACGATTCACTTTGTAAGGCAGCACAGCCTGAATTATTTATATCTTAATTATTAAAGCCCGTGTTTACCAGGACTCTATCTGATCCCAATTGACTTGTGGTTTCGTTTTATAGCTCTCTTCATATGATTCCAGTGTTTGAGCTACAGAAAGGCTGAGGTTTAAATCATATACTCGTCATTTGTAACGGTATGATATGCTGCGTTGTACGCTTCCCACTTTACCTCTTCTCATATTCTGTATTCAGTGCATAGGACGCAGCCAGCTTTAAACTAATTTACAATAAAGGAGGAATCCTACATACCTTGGGCGGTAAGATAAGCTGTTGTTGGCAGTAAAGGGCACAGCAAGCTGGTATAGAACGAGTCTCTGCCCTCCAGCGGTATGAATGTAGTCTCCCTGTAATATGTCGAATTACTATCCGGACCATTTATTTAGGGATACCTAGTTAGAGAAAATTCTTCTGACATAGAGAAGATTCTTCCGGAGAAATACAGTCTCACCTTTTATACTCCGCAGATTGAGGTTTGTTGACACACTGTTGGGGTTAACTCCAACGTTCTAGTGACGTGAAACCAAATGGCAAATTAAGATGTGATATAGTCATCTTGGCTATGTAAGCCTAAATTTTGCAAGTTAAATTTCTGTGTGTGTGTGTAAATGGTAAATACAACCTCATATGAACGACGACATGTGTCATGATTTACTGGCTTTATTTTTGTTAAATCATGATACATTGTAGGATGTCACGTGTTGTTCATCTGAGTTTGTATTTACCTTATTTTAAGACCTGCTAAGGAACAGATGGTTGACTGTATATGTGTAATGTGTATATATATATATACACACACGTATAATCTGGTTAAATCTACAGAGCTCGGCAGGACTGTTTAAGACCGTGCTCTCTGCCATTGCCATTGAGTGCAGTCCTGGATAGGCCTTGCATTATTCTACTGAGACATCTGACTTTTCCTGCAGGACCTGGGAGACCCAGGTAAGTTGCCAGACCTTGCCAAAACTATTTGAGTACTTATTGTGGGAGGGCGCCAGAACAATCCTATTTCCATAACTGCTATAGCACTGCACTCTAGGGCTTAGAGCGTTCCTTTAAAATGCGGATGCTTTTAGATTTCTTAATTGAAGCATGAATTTTCAGGAATTTTGAAAGAAACATTTGAGTCCAAAATGGTTTAAAAAACAGTTTGGCCTAGAATTTGAAATACACTATAAAGTACATTAGCCTTCCCAGCAGTTCACTTTCTGTGAAACATTTGTGGTTAAAAATATCAGTTCTGGTTATTATCATGTCCATTTAAAATGCAGCCATACTTTGCTGCTCTGTAGGAAGCATCTATTAGGTGTCACTACTTAAATGTGTTTTGTGGTTACATTACACACTGCAGCTGCTTCCTTCAGATAGATACAGAGATATACAATGTGCTGCCTCGTTTTTATACTAAGTGTGGATGGTAGGTTTCCTTCAATAATGTAAATTATTGAGAGGATATTGCTATATCAGAGCACAAATTCATCCTTTGGGTTAATAGCTGCCAAATCTTACAGGTTTCATTTGTGCGGAGCGTACTTCCTCCTAGAATGTTAAAGGGACACTGCAGTCACTATAACGATTTACTCTCTTTGAATTGGTTATAGTGTCTAGAGTCCCCTGGCACTGTCCCTCCATTCAGTGTTAAACCATGTTCGAGCAGTTTAACACTAATTAAGATTACACACTTCCTTGTAGACATACCCATTCATACCGTCAGTTGGAGCTCTGATAGGCTAAAATCAGTCAGCGGACACACTCAGCCAATCACAGCTGCCCATTGCTGCTCAGGCTAATACTTCCTCATTAACCAAAGCAGCACAGAGGGGATGGACTGCAAGGGATTCACATTTAGCATTAAAACACAAAAACATTAAGAACTGTTTAATTGCTGAATGAAATTATGGCACTAGTAAAATCCAGACACTACAACAGGTTTAATGAAATGAATCAGACACAGCGCCTGCAATATCCGTTTTATTTGCTCAGAAAATGACTAAAACTTCAATTGGCTTATGCACTGTCCCATCTCCTTGTCTGCGTCTTCTACAATAAAGTTTATACAGGTCTGGAAACACAGCCCTGAATTCACACTCGCCGTCACACTTTACAAAAATGGCTGTGCATTTACACTCCATGACATGCTTCACAAATACAGCCCTGCATTCACACTCGCTGACACGCTTCACAAATACAGCCCCGCATTCACACTCGCTGACACGCTTCACAAATACAGCCCCGCATTCACACTCGCTGACACGCTTCACAAATACAGCCCCGCATTTACACTCGCTGACACGCTTCACAAATGCGGACACGCTTCACAAATACAGCCCCGCATTTACACTCGCTGACACGCTTCACAAATACAGCTCCGCATTTACACTCGCTGACAGGCTTCACAAATACAGCCCCGCATTCACACTCGCTGACACGCTTCACAAATACAGCCCCGCATTCACCACTCGCTGACACGCTTCACAAATACAGCCCCGCATTTACACTCGCTGACAGGCTTCACAAATACAGCCCCGCATTCACACTCGCTGACACGCTTCACAAATACAGCCCCGCATTCACCACTCGCTGACACGCTTCACAAATACAGCCCCGCATTCACCACTCGCTGACACGCTTCACAAATACAGCCCCGCATTTACACTCGCTGACACGCTTCACAAATACAGCCCCGCATTTACACTCGCTGACACGCTTCACAAATACAGCCCCGCATTCACACTCGCTGGCACGCTTCACAAATACAGCCCCGCATTCACACTCGCTGACACGCTTCACAAATACAGCCCCGCATTCACACTCGCTGGTAAGCTTCACAAATACAGCCCCGCATTCACACTCGCTGACACGCTTCACAAATACAGCCCCGCATTAATACATACAGTATTCAGCGCAATCTGGGGGTTTTTTGTGTTTTTTTTTTTTTGCTTCTTTTCAGTAAGGTGTTGGGGGTATTCCTTACTTTCAGTGTTTGCAGCTTAATTAACTGTTTATAATAATTGATCCCTTAGCGCTTATCCTACCTATTGTACTTGCTAGACCTTGCGTTCATACCCACTAACCTATCACATCACCGAGATCCTATAATTCAAATATTCCTCCAAACTTAAAAAAAATAAAAAAAAATAATTCAATTAGAAGGCTTTAGTTTTAGACGGAAATATTCATTGTGCCTCATCCAAAGTATCACTGCATTAAATTTTGTTTCTATCAATATACTAAAGTTTTAATGCTAATTTTATTCTTAAAGTATCAAGATATTCTGCAGCTTTGCAGAGCGAGTTAAGAGCTGTCAGATGGTAGACAATATATGTTACACCATAGATTAAGACATTCTCGGTCCCTGGTGAGCCAGGATTGATTTCCGATTCCTGGATGCATGCATAAATTAAAAGCACCAGTAAGTTGTAGTGTAAAAATATTTTAGTCACTGTTTAGAAATGCGAAAATGCACATGCATTTAATGATGCATTATCTTGATTGTGGGTATATCTAAAAACAGCTTGAACGGACTTTGCAAACCCTCCCCTTCTAACCCCGCCCAGACTTTCTGTGGCTGTCCAATCACAGACTTCCCAATGCAGCTCAATGAGAAGTCTTTGCAAGGCAGGTGCTCTGAGCAATTGCTGCCACTTCAGTTTAGCTCCACTGAGCTAAACAAACCAGGAAGTAGCTGTCCACTTGAAAACCAAAGAGTGTAATAGCAAACTAAAGTGCTTTAGAGGTCCTCAGTGTCCCTTTAAAGAAATTCAAAGCCATTTCATTAAAAAATACCAGCATCTACCACTAAAGGAAATGTCTAACTATTATTATTATTACTGGTATTTATAAAGTGCAAACAGATTCCGCAGCGCTGTACAATTAGTGGGGAACATACAATATACACAGACAAATACAAAAGGTAGAGAGGGCCCTGCCCGTAAGCTGAGATCTAGCCATTTAAGCTCTTTTATACAAAGTGCATAGCTAGATAGCCCATGAGCTTACAATCTAAAGGATACCATGGGGAATTGAGACAAGATGTAGAAGGGGAAATTTGGAAGTGATGACTAAATAAGTAAACAGAGAGTTGCAACTATTGGTAGAGTATAGAAGGAATGAGGAGGTAAATGAGTGAGAATTTTAAACAGCTGGAGTTGCATGCTATAAATTTAGGGGGAACCTGAGTGGGTTGATTAGAATTGTAGAGGCTTGCAGTAAAGATGTAATGGGAAATGGGCCTAGGGAGGGAGCAGAGATAAACCGTTATATCAAGGTATTTACAGCTAGGAGTGACAAGCATGCAATAAATGGATACACTCAGTAACATACCACATACATCATGTACCAAGTATATTTCTCAGCAGTTCCACTTTTGTGTTAAAAAAACAAAATCAAAAAAAGAATTACAAAAGCTGCCTTTGTTTGTAGAGGTTTCTTATTGGAGAATGGTGGGTTATGACCCTCGTTCAGACGGAAGACTTCTATCAACATCAGAAGTAGCCGCTGCGGGGTCTCTCTCTGGACTTGTCACGAGGGCACTGATAAGCCCCCTGGATGTCGTTAAAATCCGCTTTCAGGTATGTCACATAATGTCTCACGTTATTCTTCCATCTCCCGTACTTTGTATTAAAAGAATAGACTGCATTGGCAAAATATTACATTATTATAATAATATACCTTAAAATATGCATTTTGTTCTAATTTTAAAGATGACCCTATATTATTTCTGGCGTGTTGGGATTTTTCTCCTTCTAGTCTGCATGAATCGTTGCCATAGACCAGTCTTATTCTTTTCTTAGGACTGGTCTACCCTCGGATCCTATTCTAATATTTCCCTTTTCCTTAGTAACTTTTGCCTTCCAATATTCCTTTTTTCCCCAAAAATTATTAATCGTAACGTGCAATCTATCCCCAAGACCATCCTATTTTTGTTAATGGTTGAGAGCGTGCAATACCGTGTTAAGGTAAAGGATCAGAGAAGATTTGACATTCATGACTTTCATCCCATCTCAGCTGCAAATCGAAAGCTTCTCTGGGGATGGCGTCCGGGGGAAATACAGAGGAATCCTCCAGGCAGCCGGGGTTATTCTTCGAGAGGAAGGACTCAAGGGATTCTGGAAAGGACACATCCCGGCTCAACTCCTTTCTGTCTCCTATGGAGCCGTGCAGGTGGGTGTCAGTTGAAACACTTGGGTGAAATCCCTGCTAATCACCTGCTAACTAGTTCCCCAAATACTCAGTTGCACACATCTGAAATAAGCTTTCTAAGAAGTCACTCCTATTTTTCGTTATAAACTGCATTTTTTTTTCCTCTTGTCTCAATGCATATTGAATCTTTAGCGACTTTAGATCAGGGGTGCCCAAAAGGTAGATCCCCAGATGTTGTAGAACTACAACTCCCATGATTTGCATCCTTTGGAATGCTTTTAGAATGGCAAAACATTGCGGAAGCTGTAGTTTTAGAACGTCTGGGAATCTTCCTATTGGGTACCCCTGCTTTAGATTGTAAGCTCAGGTGCCTATGTACATAGAACGTTCTATAAAAAGGCTATATTTGTATAAAACCAACGAGGAGGGTTCTCTGCTTATTTTTTGTTTCACTGTGTCCAATTATATATCCTTCTGTCTTTAAATCAAACCTATGAGTTATTTCTATAATTTTGTAAAGCACTGTATTAGAACCGTTAAATGCAGACATCTTACCTGCTAGATCCCACTAACCTCTGTTTCTTTCCCTCTTACAGTTTGTAAGCTTCGAAATGTTGACTGAATTTTGTCACACCTCCATGTCTTTGGATCCCCGTTCCTCATCAGTACATTTTCTTTGTGGGGGGCTATCTGCCTGCTCAGCCACTCTGACTGTGCAGCCCCTGGACACGCTGAGGACTCGCTTCGCTGCTCAGGGGGAGCCCAAGGTGTGAGGCAGCGTGACAGCTGACTGTGCATGAAATGACAAACAAAGGATTCAGAGTGTTGGTCTATTTCAACACAACAGGTTTACTGCACTTCAACAGGCAGTGAAAGGTAGCCAATTTCCTTTTGGTACCTTAATATTCTGGCAGCAATGCCTTTTAAAAAAAAAAAAAAAAAAACTACAATTATACAAGTCTATAAGCCTCTCATAGGTTAATATTGCCACAAAAAAAAGGAGGAACCGCACACAATACCTAGAAACCACAGGGTGCTTACTGAAAAAGGACCAGCAAATCTGTAGCACATGGTACATCAAAGAAGGGGCTTCAGACACTTGCAGGGTTCAAAGATTATGCAAATTTATTGGAGCCAAAAACTCAACAAAGCAACGTTTCCACCTAAATAAATGCCTTTGTTTATGTTGAAACGTTGCTTTGTTGCATTTTTTAAATCCAATATATCTGCGTCATCTTTGAACCCTATGAGTGTCTGATGCCCCTTCTTCAATATATCACTATTAAAATGTGGAAAAAAAATAGTTGTTTGATCAGAGTGCAAGTATAGGTTTTGTATTTGACTGCTCGGTGTCACTTAAAACAAAATATTGAATTGGACATAACACAAATATCGCTGTGCAGAGAAATTGATAGTACCGTTTTTACCCGAAAATAAGACTTCCCCCTCCCCCCCAAAAAGGGGGGGCGGAGCCCAAGCTTATTTTCGGGAGATGCTCGTAATATAAGCCCTTCCCCGAAAATAAGCCCTAGTTATTAGTCGCAAGTTTGCTAATCTATGTTCGGAAGTTTCCCCAAACATAGATTCGCAGGATTCCATGCACTAGTGAGCTGGTCAATGTTCGGGGCATTTCCCCCAAACGTAGACCTGCTTTCTGGGACATGCTTGCTACCGTTTTTGGGTCTAATATTAATTTTCCCCCCGGAAAAAAGGGCTTATTTTCAGGGGGCAATTAATATTAGACCCAGTCTTAATTTCGGGGAAACACGGTAAATGGATACCTTTTAAAGATTTATCCTATATTTTCAGTGTACCATCCACTCAATTTTTTGGCTGCAATTTCCTTGTTTCTTCAGTCTGTGTTGCAGGCATTTTAAAATGACTTGCCAGTGTAGCTTAATCCATTAACTTTGTTATTCACTAACATTTTGTGTTCTAGGTGTACCCGAACCTACGTCAGGCCGTCACCATCATGTATAAGACAGAGGGACTCTTCACATTTTACCGTGGCCTCTTCCCTACCCTCATTGCTGTGTTTCCATATGCTGGCCTCCAGTTTTCTTTCTACAATCTGCTGAAGAGGACTTGGCAGCTGGTGGCACCGTCGGACCAGACAAATAAACGGGGAATAGGTGAGGATTTGTGAATGGCAGGTGGTTTTATTGCTGGCATAGTGATGTGAGAGATTGAGCTGAAGCATGAAATTTGCAGGTTTATTCACAAACGTGAAAATTGTCAGAAATGCAAAGTGGCAAATGGATTGATAAAATAAAAAAACACCAGTACAATAAAGGCAGAGGCCCAACATAAGTGGTAGTGAAGCTTCTAAAGGTACATTGAATTAAAAAAAAAAAAAAAAAAATTAATTAGAAACTTGTGTTTGTGAAGATGTTTGCACACCCCCAGGATCGACTGATTTTTGCAGTGATCATTTCAAAGACCAGGAAGTGGCATTGGTTAATCTTGGTTAATGATGTTCTGTGTTTACATGCTCCACACCTCATAAAACCCAGCAAAGTAACAGTTTATAGCAATTTATACAGATCTCTCTTTCTAATTAAATTTATAGTGCATTACTCTTTCAATTCTGACAAACTTCAGTTGTTGTTGTTGAACCTGTAACTCTGGAGGGATAGAAGCGGTGTACTAATAAAATGTTACCTATATTTCCAAATTGAAAAGTGAAGTGAGTTATGTGCTTCAATCTCCAATAAAAATGAGATTGGGTCCATTTCCCATCTCTGTATTTGGAGAGTTTGTGCCTTTTTCTACATATATCATTGTTGTCAGACCTATTCTCTTAAAGGACCACTCTAGGCACCCAGACCACTTCAGCCTAATGAAGTGGTCTGGGTGTCAGGTCCTTCTAGGGTTAACCCATTTTTTAATAAACATAGCAGTTTCAGAGAAACTGCTATGTTTATGAATGGGTTAAGCCTTCCCCCAAAGCCTCTAGTGGCTGTCTCATTGACAGCCACTAGAGGCGCTTGCGTGCTTCTCACTGTGATTTTCACAGTGAGAGCACACCAGCGTCCATAGGAAAGCATTGTAAATGCTTTCCTATGCGACCGGCTGAATGCGCGCGCAGCTCTTGCCGCGCGTGCGCATTCAGCCGACGGGGCGGAACGAAGGAGGAGAGAAGGAGGAGAGCTCTCCGCCCAGCGCTGGAAAAAGGTAAGTTTTTCCCCCTTTCCAGAGCCGGGCGGGAGGGGGTCCCTGAGGGTGGGGGCACCCTCAGGGCACTATAGTGCCAGGAAAACGAGTATGTTTTCCTGGCACTATAGTGGTCCTTTAAAGTTGCGGGTAAACCTTAACTGTGACCTGTCACGAGCACAAATAAACACAGCTGAGTCCGTGTTTTTTTTCATAATTTTTATTAATTATTATTTACATTTGTTTTAGAATTACTTTACAGTTATGGACATATATGTAGAGGTGAAGAAGGACCTGCTCAAACGTTTTTACAGTCTGTGAGAATAAGTACATTCTAGGCACCATAACCAATTAATTACATTGAAGTAGTTCTGCTGCCTGGAATCCCCAAATACCATCCCACCCGTCAATGTGAAATTGTTCCTGAACATTCTGACACTTTTTGTGAGGGTTCCAGGAGCCTGTGGCTTCACCTCCCCTTTGGAAGTTTTATGCTTTTTTCGGATTCCATATATAGCTAATGCACTGATACACTCCTTGCCATACCATTGCATACTAGACTGAGAGTGCGAAAGGTGACACTTTCTGTCTATTACTGCTGCCTGTCGCAATTCAGGCTATTAAGGAGACATTCTCCTGAGTGGCAGAGAGGGGCCTGGTTGCAGCGACCCTGCACCCTCATTCAGTGTCAAACTGTTCTAAAACATTTTAACATGTAACCGGGACGGTGCCAGGGAGCTTCAGGGACCATAATCACTTTGAGATGATGTGGTTATGGTGCCTAGAGTGCCCTTTGTTAACTGCTTTCTAAATGTTATTAATTTTAAGACATTGTTGTCTAAATATTAAGGTGACCTTGTTCTTTTGATCTAGATAACGTTGGGAATCTGCTGTGTGGCAGTGGCGCTGGTGTGATCAGTAAGTCAGTAACTTATCCTCTTGATCTCATCAAGAAGAGGCTTCAAGTCGGCGGGTTTGAGCAGGCGAGGCAAGCCTTTGGGGAGGTGAGATTGGTTTTGGATAGAAAAGAAGTACTGTCATTTCACATGAAAGACCCACGACTGGTTATTAAAGGAACACTCCAGGCACCATAACCACTATATCATTCTCTAATATTTGAATAAATGATTCCCGCATCGGAACCCTCTATCTACAAAGAATAAAGATATACTGGCAGGGGAGGTGCCACCCAACAGACAGACACCAAAGCTTTAACCTTGAGCCTGGGCTGAATAGGGACTTAGTTGTTATAGGAAGCTTTGTTGAATTTCAGCGTGTGTTCCAAGCCTCATTTCAAAGCCACACCGTCACATGTAACTCTGTGCAGAGATGTATTCAAGCCTTGTTTTCATGCTGCAACTTCAAAATCAAATGTCTTTTTGACATTTTACTTAGGATCGGCCTCTCACCAGTCACATCCTCCATTGTGAGCCAGAAACCCCTTTACATAGCTACAGTTAGCTCTCCTGAGCCAAGGCCTGCATCAGCTGAGTGTTTTTAGCCAATGAGCTAGGCCCTGCACCATTCTTAATGCAGAGAACTTCCTTCTGTAATCGAGGAGTTCACTAGTGCCCAGCAGACCCCAGGTGAGTTGTCAAACCGTTGGCAAACGGCACGTGGTAGTGGTTTTGGCATTTGGAGTGTTCCTTTGAAAAAAGATTTCCTAAGTATCTCTGCTTCAAGAAAGTAACTTCTATTGATTTAAATTCCAAATAAAAACGTGTAGACACTGATACTTAACATTAATCCCATATTGGGGAACAAGTCTGATTAAAGGTTGTAAAGATTATTTTTAAAATAAATGACATATATATGAGTATTGTGTATGTAAGGAAGAGTGCATGAACTAATAACCTGAAGTATAAAAGTCAAAAAATAAAAATATAATACACACATAGTAGTTACACACAGAGGACACTGACACACACATTTACACACAGATTACACTGACATACACACACACACACACAGTTACACACAGATTACACTGACATAAACACACACATTTACACACAGAGGACACTGACACACACATTTACACACAGATTACACTGACATACACACACATTTACACACAGAGAACACTGACACACACATTTACACACACACAGTTACCCACAGATTACACTGACATACACACACACACACACACAGTTACACACAGAGGACACTGACAAACATATACACACAGAGGACACTGACACACACATTTACACACAGAGGACACTGACACACACATTTACACACAGAGGACACTGACACACACATTTACACACAGAGGACACTGACACACACATTTACACACAGAGGACACTGACACACACATTTACACAAAGAGAACACTGACACACACACACACATTTACACACAGATTACACTGACCTACACACTTAACACAAAGGACACTGACACACACATTTACACACAGAGGACACTTGCACACACATTTATTTACATACAGAGAACACTGACACACACACAAAGGACACTGACACATACTCTCACTGATTTAACACACACACACTCTCACAAAGTATTGTTTTTATTTAAGTCCACTCAGCATCCCTACCTTTGGGAGAGCTAGAGTGGATCTTTTCCCTGGTGTCCAGTGGGGATCCTATCCCTGGATTTAGTGTGGCTGCTGTCATATTCCTGCTCTTTCAGCAATGCTCCTTTGCGCACGGTTTAGTGATGATGTGTCTGGGATGAAGTCATAACCTGGCTTGAGGGAGCAGAGCTGAAGAGCACAGACATCTACGCTACCTCACCACCCACCTTCATTCTCCCCTGCAGATACAGCACATTCGGGCAGAGTAGGCACCTGCGGTCAAAGTGATCAGATGCCTACTATGCCTTAGTGCACAGCCAGCTGCACCTTGATGGGTCCTAAGGTGGCCAGCAGCCCAGTGTCTGGCATACCCACTGCTTGTGGTGTGTGTACCCCCTGGGGTATGTGTACCACATGTTGAGAACCTGTGCAATAAGTAATGTGATGAAAATGGGTGTTAAATGGTTTGGATATCCTTTAACTATTTAGTGTATCCTTTACAAAATTTAAAATCTAAATGAGGTATAATATAATGAGCTTAATATGTGACTAAATGTAGAAACCTATTATATAGCCCAGTGCGCAGACTCCTGTAGTTTTTTGTTTTTCCCTTTAGGTCCGAACATACCACGGACTTACAGACTGTTTGCGCCGTATGAGACGGGAGGAAGGTCTACGAGGTTTTTTTAAAGGTCTGTCTCCCAGTTTACTGAAAGCTGCAGTGTCCACTGGACTTACTTTCTTCTCCTATGAGATGTTCTGCAGTCTGTTTCTGAACATGAAGAGAGTCGCAGAAAATCACACAGAACAGCACAAACAAATTCACATCAATAGATCTTCAACAACGCAGAAATAGCACGTACGGGGACAGAAAATTGTACTGGATACTACAACTCTGCCAGTCAACCATTTCATCTGACATTTCATATAACACAAAGATTAAAACATAGCTGTCAGGTAGGCCATATTTTTCCAGATTGCCATGCGATCTGCAAGCTGTTGGGAAGAGCACTTTAATGAGAGCTTGACTGCACTCAAATGACTCCACCGGACTCCAAAGAAGTGCTCCTATATTTAGAAAAAATTTTAGGTACAAGGCAGCTGGTGTCCACTAAAGTATGGACCTGAAAAATACAAAATAAGTCCATACAAGAGGGTGAAACAGAAAAAGGGACAAATAAAATTGAAGTAGAAAGAAAAAAAATAGGAAATAAGGTCTAGTGATTGTGTATTTACCAACCAAAAGGGCCTAACCCAAATAATTTTTCCTCAAGGGAACCAAAAATGTTGGAATTACCCTTACAAAAATAGAGCATATAAAGGATATTTAATCAGGGAATTCAGGATTTTTGGTTCCCTCTGGGATCAATTCTTTGATCAAATAAAGTTTAAGGCACACGTTGGACGCATTTCACGTCTATATCGATGCTTTCTCAGCAGCTCTTGGGGTGGTATGTAGATAGTATTCACATACTGCCAGAAGAAAATTATATATATATTAGAAAGGACCGCACTCCGAGGTCTTTATGATTAGTTTTCAAATAAAATTTAACTTTTTATTTAATCCATATAAAAGTCAACGTTTCAGCCCTCACATGGAGCTTTCATCATGACGCTCCATGTGGGGCTGAAACATTGACTTTTATATGGATTAAATAAAAGCTGCATTTTATTTGAAAACTATCACAAAGACCTTGGAGTGCGGTCCTTTCTACTAGATTTATATGATTTTGCTAGACCTGCACCGGGCGTTAAGAATTTAACCAGGAGTGCAAGCACTTGTTGTTATATATAGACAGACTGAATCCCAGTGAAACTGTAGTGATTGCCTCTGACAGCATGTGAGTTCTACATGCTGTGAAACAGCACTATTCATGTATTTCCTGCGAGCATAGCGGTGTATGGAAAAAACGTGTTTGGGATGACAGCTCTGGATTAAAATTTCTTGATGCCTTGTGCACATTACAGATGCTAGGGACATGATAAGCACTTATTTTGATTATATTCGGTCATGTAATGTGTCCTTGTTTTAAAAGACACATAATTCATGCACCTGTATTTATCTGTAATACATTTTTTAAACACATGGATAGACTGTATTGGAGAGGTTATAAAACTACTGTTGGATATTTTTAAATACAAGAATTTGATAGATAGAATGTTGGTTTGAATTGTCTTGTGTTTGACGTCTTATTATTACACGTACACTGAATAAAGCTTCTGATTGATTGAATTCATGTCAGAATGCCATTATAGCACTAGATTATATTTATAGTCATATAGGATCTCTATATAAATCTATTTTAGTAAGGAGATTATTTAGATCAATTAGCCCCAGATGTATATATGCATTCTAGTACAAAAGTAAAAACGTTATACTGCTTTGAAAGTAAGTTGGAACAGAAGTAGATATTGAAAGGCACCAGAATGGAGAGGAAGTTGAATACAAGCAGCTTAGAAGAATTTCTGAACTGTCTAATTGACAAAAATGATGATGTTCTCAACACTAGATGCTGTGTAATTTGTAGCAATGGGTATTGTATTTATTCTTCAGTACTGTGTTTTCCATTTGAAAACTATATAGAAAAAAAATAAACATTTCATACTTTTGTATAATATTCTGAATATTTGTTCTCCATTTCTTGGTATACAACTATTGGTTTACAGGTCACCAAAATCAGTTCAAGATTATATTGCAGGGATAGGTAACCTATGGTAAGTGAGACTATGATCACATTGGGCCAGTTGGGAAGATCAGAGAATATCCTCTAGTGCAGGGGTACTCAACCCAGTCCTCAGGACCCCCTACCAGTCCAGGATTTGGTTGGGTGTGTCTCAGGTGTTTAGAAAAAGGGGGAAAAAACACCTTAGACTCTAAGGTGTTTTTTTTTTTTTCTTTTTCTAAACACCTTAGACACACCCAGGTAATCCCTAAACCCTGGACTGGTAGGGGGTCCTGAGGACTAACGTTGAGAACCCCTGCTCTAGTGGGTAGACCGCAGGTAACCCTCCAACATTCTCCGACATCTCTCGGGAATTCAAAGTATTGCTGTGGGTTACAATGGCAATGCTCTGTCTCAACGGAAAAGTCCACTGCGGAGATAGAGGCACAAGTGGACTGCACCCTTGAAAGGTGCAGACCACAAGACCATTACACTGATTTACCAGTGATTGATGAGAGTGCATGGCTTCTTTCTTGGGGAAAAGGGAGGCAAAAAGATGGATTTGTGTCTGGAGTGTTCCTTTAAGTGATGCCTAAAAATGTGATGAGTCCTTAATCTGGTAGGATTATGGTACACAAGGAACTATGACAACTGTACTTTTTTACAAAAATTGTCTTCTATATATAATGCTAAAGCACTAAATTGTTAGTCGCCAAAATCCAATTTGCTAAATCAGTATTAGTGAATAAATCACTAAGGCAGCTACGCAGCGCCTTGTTTTCTCATTGTTAGAAATATGGTTGTGAGGTGTGGGGGGGCGGAGCCTGACCGCTGAACGGATCAGAAGTGTCCCATCTGAGCTCTAGTGCCTGGGCTAAAATATCGGAGCCAACTCTGTGCCATCAGCAGCGACCGACCCAAATAGGTGCCCATCCTACTCATGAGCTGCAGGCGAACACGGCGGTACCTTTTAACGACCCGAAACGGTATCCGGGTAACCCGATTGAGTCCTATCGAGCTTGAGCTGGGGTGAGACGGCCGCTCCCCCAGTTCTCCGGCCGGCGCCTTGCTGTTCTCCCCTCCCTTGGACCAGTGGGGGTTATCCTGGTCCCCGCTAGCGACCACAGCTGCATACCGCCAGCCCCAAGCACTCACCATGCCACAAAACACTGGCCCGACGGCTCCCTCCAAGATGGCGGACCTCCCACAGCTACGTATGCAGGTAGAGACCATGACGACGCAGAAAACAAGTCGGACCACTCAACAAACAACCTGCAACACACAATGGCCTCTGTGACAAGTTGGATGGCCACCTCAGACAACCAGAAGCACCAGCAGTAAAGAACAAGCGGAGAGCTGGTGGGTGGGAAAAGAGCGGGGCCCCCCCAGGATCCAGGGCAGCCCCCAATTAGGGAAGAACGCGGCCTCCACTGGGAACACCCGAGTTTGTGGTCCACTGATGCAGGTCTCCAAAACGGCCTGGGGCTTTGGGGAGGACCTGTCTGAACTGCCTCCAATCCGCCTGCTACCCCCAAGCTTGCCACCGGGCCAGGGTATTGGCTGATTCTGGACTATGCACCTACGCCTGAAACACAGGTTTACACCCGCACAAACTGTCCCATCGACAAATAAGGCTACACGTATGACCTACCACACATGACAACTTTACAATTAGCTCCATGCAACCGACACGAGACAGCGCCTGACAGGCATACAACATGACTTTACCTGGCACAAGCACACATAGGCTCTGACCAGCGCCTCCACACCTAATACACCTGCCTCTAAACCTGTCTTAGGGGGAAATAGCCGACCGTTCCCGCATGGTCCCGCACATTAAACGCTGGCACCCGTGGTAACCCACGTACTCAACCACTGACAACCTGACCATAAGCAAGTATAGTTAACCCTTGACATTTTTTGATAAGCATATGTCCATCACTCAAATGTACATTTACGCACCTCATGTAATACCTACTAGACAGGTCTCCTACCTACATAACTTAGTTCTACATGTCATTGTTCAGCAATCTATAACCTCATGGTTTATATCTACAAAATCCACCTGTTTCTTCTATGCATTATTCGTGTATGCCACACTTGTTATCGTTACAGTTCTCAGATTTACACAACGATCTTTGATACACCTATCTAGACCTACGAGTATCTCCTCTCCTGAATATGCATTTTTCTTAATATTGAACCACTAAACTTTTAAATTGTGTAAGTACTACTCCTGCCATACGTATGTAATGCTTTGTTCATATGACCGCGCTTGTGACTGCCGTTGCAAGCACTGCTGTACCACTTTGCACACCAAAAAAAAAGAAATATGATTGCAAGTCGAATAAAATAAAAGTTGGTGTAAAGTGACATTCAAAACTCTAAAACTATTACATCTTACCGGGTTATTTCTAAAAGGATCACTATAGGGTCAGGAACACAAACGTGTATTCCTGACCCTATAGTGTTAACACCACCATCTAGCCCCCCTGGGCCCTTCATGCCTCCATAAATATAGTAAAAATCTTACTTTATTCAAGCCTGAAGCTGTAACTCTGCATGCTGTTTGCCTCAGATAAACAAGCTGTCTGCTGACATCAGCAGAAGTGGTAGCCTGATCCAATCAAAGTGCTTCTCCATAGGATTGGCTGAGTCTGACAAAGAGGCAGATCAGGGGCAGAGCCAGCATGATTCAAACACAGCCCTGGCCAATCAGCATCTCCTCATAGAGATGAATTGAATCAATGAATCTCTATGAGGAAAGTTCAGTGTCTGCATGCAGAGGGAGGAGATACTGAATGTTTGGATGCATTTTAGGCAGGCATGACCCAGGAAGGATCTCTAACAGCCATCTGAGGAGTGGCCAGTGAAGTTATCACTAGGCTGTAATGTAAACACTGCATTTTCTCTGAAAAGACAGTGTTTACAGCAAAAAGCTTGAAGGTAATGATTCTACTCACCAGAACAAATTCAATAAGCTGTAGTTGTTCTGGTGACTAATGTCCCTTTAAAGAAAGTGTAGTGGAGAGGTAGTATAATCCACAGTATCTCCGCCGGGTAACAGGAACAGCATAAAATAATCCAGGTAAATAAATACAGCATACAATAATCCCGGTAGCGTTGTAAGAATCCTTCCCTGCCAAGAACTAGACGACACATAGGCTGGGAGTCAACTGAGGTTTTATTCACAAGTCACCATATTTATGGGATTCCCCATGAAAGGGGTTTCCTTACTGACATTCCAGGGGTTGTACAGTAGGGGACTACATAGGGGACTTAACAACAGTGCATTTCATGCACTGCTGGACGAGAGGGATACTCCCACTAGAATATACAGTTAAGTGGATTATCCCTCCTTGCAGCAGAACCAATATTTCACATTAAAATACATAACTTTCACATTATTCACTCAATGTAAACGAATGGACGTTCGGTAGATAGCTAGGGTCTGAGCGCACAGTTCGTGAGAATACCGCTCAGATCCCAGCATAACTAACTGAACGCCGCACAAAATACACATTATTTGCTAGTTGTATTTAAAATACCGATTGACTGTAGTGGAATAAACCACCGAATGACCGGGGCTCCTGAACGGCCTGGAAGTCCAGCGGTATTCGTGCCGTCGAGTAGCTGGTTTTAGTTACAGGTGCTCGACGACCAAATACCGCTGGGCTAACAAAGGATCCAAGATGGCCGACCGCCGCGTAGTCGGCAGCCGAACAACGGCCACCTAGGAAAGCACTTGACTACCGATTGCAACAATGTTGCAATCGGTTAATGGGCGCCACACAACCTCCTGTGTGTGGTCTCCCATTCGGTAGTTTATTTGTTTCACGAACAGTGTTGAAATTCACTGTTCGTGAAACTACTGTATGAATGCTGGTGGCTTTCATGCCGCCAGCATACAAATGCTCTTGTTCGCCTGAAATACAGATACCTGAATACACTTGGTTCTAACAACCTTAAATCTATAGAAACACATTTATGCAAATACAGTCATAAGTGGCTAGTTTTGCCACAGAAAGATTTGTCAGGAATTTAAGGCTGATTTTCAAAGATTAGGGCCAAAATAGGCAAACGCAAAACAAAATCGACTTCAATAATTTTTCTAATGTGGCTATTTTAATCTAAATTTTAAAATGTACTTTAAATTCCCAGTAATTCTCACCTTAGTGAATAACACTGTCAAACCTGTATTCCTGACACTATGTCCTGAAGTGGCTGGTTAGGTGACTGGCCCTTCTCTGATCTCCATAAAAATATGATTTTACTCCCTTTTTATCCATGCAGCACACACTGTAGCTGGTCCTGCCTGGCTCTACCTCCATGGCCGACATCATCGATCTTGATAATCTCTGCCAATCCAGTGCTTTCCCATAGAAAATCACTTGGAGACTATAGTGCATGCGCAGCAAAACACCACGCTGCATCATCTCATAGAGATGCATGGAGAAGCTGAACTAACACAGGAAGCACCTCTAGTGGCCATCTCAGGGACTGCTACTTGAGGCATTCCTAGGCAGAGTGTACATATTAAATATTCTGAAGGGACAGGCTATAGCTATAAGGAAAACTATGTTAACCCCTTAAAGGACCACTATAGGCACCCGGACCACTATAGGCACCCAGACCACTTCAGCTCAATGAAGTGGTCTGGGTGCCAGGTTCCTCTAGTGAAACTGCTATGTTTCCCTGAGGGTTAATCCAGCCTCTAGTGGCTGTCTCACTGACAGCCGCTAGAGGCACTTCCGCGCTTCTCACTGTGAAAATCACAGTGAGAAGACGCTGGACGTCCATAGGAAAGCATTGAGTAATACTTTCCTATGGGCGCTTTGAATGCACACGTGGCTCTTGCCGTGCATGTGCCTTCGACGTCGGAGAGGAAGGAGAGTTCCCCAGCGCCGAGGGAGCCTGGCACTGGAGAAAGGTAAGTGGCTGAAGGGGTTTTAACCCATCCAGCCCAGCGGGAGAGGGACCCTGAGGGTGGGGGGGACCTATTAACACTATAGAACCAGAAAAACGAGTTTGTTTTCCTGGCATTATAGTGCTCCTTTAAGGACAGTGGGCTTACTATGCCGACCTTAGGGACCCGGTCCTAAACACTGGCGGGCAGCATAGTACATCCATGCCGTCCTTCCCACCGTAATGGGGTGACTTGCCTGGCATCCCAGCCGATCACATGGACGGAATAGCCAGGCAGCCCCCCAGTGCCTGTAATAAAGTTTTCAAAAGTAAAAGTGTATACTTAGATCATATATATATATATATATATATATATATATATATACACACAAACATACATACACTATGTCTCTAAGTGTATATTAATATATTATATATTAATATTAAAATACACTTACATACATATATAATGTAAAAATATATACATACGTGTGTGTGAGTGATATATATATATATTGATATCAAAATACTCTTAGAACAAAATTTTATATATGAGTGTTTATATAAATATATAATCAATATATAAGCGTTAAAATTATTTTTTTACATTTTTCACACACAAACAATTATGAGCGTTAACTTTGGCCAGTGTTTGCTACTAAAAAAGACTGGACATACCCCATTTGTAATACCTTGGGTTCTGTACTATTGCAAATGGTATGCCATCATAGGGGTAATTCTCATTCCTGGGTTACTGTTTGGTCTCAAAGGCAACATAACCAGTCTGGCAAATTTCAATGTGTATAAACTGAAAAAAATGTAACATCTTATATTTGACCCTGTAACTTCCCAAAACACCATAAAACCTGTACATAGGGGGTACTGTTTTACCCGCGAGACATCATTGAATGCAAATACAGGCGATACTCGAAAAATTTGAATATCGTGCAAAAGTTCATTTATTTCAGTAATGCAACGTAAAAGGGGAAACGAATATATGAGATAAATGCATTACATGCAAAGCAAGATAGTTCAAGCCGTGATTTGTCATAAGTGCGATGATTATGGCTTACAGCTCATGAAAACCCCAAATCCACAATCTCAGTAAATTAGAATATTATGAAAAGGTGCAATATTCTAGGCTCACAGTGTCCCACTCTAATCAGCTAAGTAATCCATAACACCTGCAAAGGGTTTCTGAGCCTTTAAATGGTCTCTCAGTCTGGTTCAGTAGGAATCACAATCACGGGGAAGACTGCTGACCTGACAGTTGTGCAGCAAACCATCATTGACACCCTCCATAAAGAGGGAGAGTCTCAAAAGGTAATTGCGAAGGAAGTTGGATGTTCCCAAAGTGCTGTATCAAAGCACATTAATAGAAAGTTATGTGGAAGGGAAAAGTGTGGAAGAAAAAGGTGTACAAGCAGCAGGGATGACCACAGCCTGGAGAGGATTGTAAGGAAAAGGCCATTCAAAAGTGTTGGGGACTTTCACAAGGAGTGGACTGAGGCTGGAGTCAGTGCATCAAGAGCCACCTCACACAGACAGATCCTGGACATGGGCTTCAGATGTCGTATTCCTCTTGTCAAGCCGCTCCTGAACAACAAACAATGTCAGAAGCGTCTTACCAGGGTTAAAGAAAAACAGACCTGGTCTGTTGCTCAGTGGTCCAAAGTCCTCTTTTCTGATGAGAGCAACTTTTGCATCTCATTTGGAAACCAAGGACCCAGAGTCTGGAGGAAGAATGGCGAGGCACACACTGCAAGATGCTTGAAGTCCAGTGTGAAGTTTCAACAGCCTGTGTTGATTTTGGGAGCCATGTCATCTGCTGGTGTTGGTCCATGGTGATTCATTAAGTCCAGGGTCAACGCAGCCGTCTACCAGGAGATTTTGGAGCACTTCATGTTTCCTTCTGCAGACAAGCTTTATTGGGATGCTGACTTAATTTTCCAGCAGGACTTGGCACCTGCCCACACTGCCAAAAGCACCAAAGCCTGGTTCAATGACCGTGGGATTACTGTGCTTGATTGGCCAGCAAACTCGCCTGACCTGAACCGCATAGAGCATCTATGGGGCATTGCCAAGAGAAAGATGAGAGACATGAGACTGAACAATGCAGAAGAGCTGAAGGCCGCTATTGAAGCATCTTGGTCTTCCATAACACCTCAGTAGTGCCACAGGCTGAAAGCTTCCATGCCACGCCGCATTGAGGCAGTAATTGCTGCAAAAGCGGCCCAAACCAAGTACTGAGTCCATATGCATGCTTATACTTTTCAGAGTTCCGATATTGTTCTATGTACACTCCTTGTTTTATTGATTGCATGTCATATTCTAATTTACTGAGATTGTGGATTTGGGGTTTTCATGAGCTGTAAGCCATAATCATTGCACTTATGACAAATCACAGCTTGAACTATCTTGCTTTGCATGTAATGCGTCTATCTCATATATTAGTTTCCCCTTTTATGTTGCATTACTAAAATAAATGAACTTTTGCGCAATATTCTAATTTTTCGAGTATCGCCTCTATGTGTATTTTATTGCAGTAAAAGCAAACCGTCTTATGACATTCACAGTTAAAATGTCATGCAGAACTAAAAAAAATAACAAAATATCTTAATTTCTAATTTTGTTGTTATATTCATATATAAATATTTGATATGAACTAAAAAGCCCTGTTTCTCCTAAACAAACTATATAATAAGTGTGGGTGCATTTAATATGAAAGAGGTGAATTCTGGTTGAACAGACATATAGCGCAAATTCCAAGTTTTGTTTATGTTTTGTATTGATCGCAACTTGTACAACTGCCTCATTCCTTTAAGGGGTTAAACTGTAGTGGTTCTGGTGACATTAATGACCCTTTAATATAGTGGTCTTGATACATAGCTTGCATCCTTGGACAAAATAAACCATCACCTTCATTGAGGACCTTACATTTGTCTGAAAATCAGACAGACGGCCGCTAGACCTTCTTCTTTCTTAAGATTATTCATTTTATTAGGCTCAGCAAAGTTACTCTGAATAGCATTGAGGCATCCCGATTGGTTAATCACTTTCAAATCTGGGCTTTGCTAACTCCAGCCAGCAAATGTAATGCATGGGCATTTACTGCAAAAGCTTTAACTTCAAATGTAAGTGTCATTATATTTATATATATATATATATATATATAAATATAAAAAGATACCGGCACTCTAGGATTAGTTCATCTGTTTTAATTCTCGGTTGATCCAATATAAATTATTTTTATTTATTTTTTATTATTATTATTATTAATTTTTTTTAAATCCATTAAAGAGGCTCATTCAGGCTGGAGTGAACGCATTCGCTTTCCAGGCTCCCTGCTATAAATAATCTAACCAAGACGTCCCATTAGAAATTTAAAAAAACAACAATTGACATTAAATTGACATTTACAATGAAGCTGGTACTGCAGTCACCCCAGTTGCTGTACTGACAGAAATATGGGCGCTGCTGTGCACCATTACCGCCTCTGGGGGTCACTGTTGCTCTCCAGCTTACCGCCTCTGGGGGTCACTGTTGCTCTCCAGCTTACCGCTGATAGCTGGTGCCGCCAGGTGGCGCTGTGAGCAAAGCGTGCTGCGGCCTGCTCCAGCCTCGATCCACGGCCTGTCGTGAAATGAATTCCTCCTAGAAAGCGGCCTTGATGTAAACAGAGGGAGGGGGTGGGGGGATGCTGAATTCCTGCTAACAGGTGAGACACAGCTCAGGGGGTGGCTATCACCGTAATACTCCTGATATATGGGCACATGGGCAGCCCCTGCCCCCATCCCTGATACAGACTGCACTTTAATACTGTCCTACAATAATAATAATAATAATAATATTATAATATAACTGCTGGGATACCCATTTCCGGCTCCTCCAGGCTATATATATAATATATCTCACACACACAGTGTAATACATGTGTCCTCCCCACTTCCTGGCACCAAGAATACCCTGTAGTGTTTACATTTTGACTCTGCAGTTGTTATGGTTATCACCCCTATGGTGCTCAGCCATCCATTCTGTAAATACAATAAACAAAATAAAACACCCTGCAGGGTCCATACTCTACCCCCCACCTTCCTCTCTGTGCCACGTGGTTAGCATTCACACTGTATGAACAGGTTTATATATATATATACTGTATATACTTCTCATATCACAATTGTGTACTTTAAATTTTTGTGTTTAATATACTGTTTAGGGCTAACAAGGTAATTGTGAATGGTAATTGGAAAAAAAGGCATGGGATTGTTTTTTTATTTTTTTTATTTAGTAAATTATCAGGCAAAATAAAAGACTCTGCAGTTGTTATGGTTATCACCCCTATTGTGCTCAACCATCCATTCTGTAAATACAATTAAAAAAAAACACCCTGCAGGGTCCATACTCTACCCCCCACTTTTCTCTCTGCCACAAAATCAGGTTAAAACTTAACTTGCATTCAGATGTCGACATAGAGGTCTAGGAAGGACCACCAAATAAGATAGATTAAAAAATTTATTTATGTATATTTATTGCTGATACAATTTTCCGCACAGCTCCTAAAGTAATGCTATTGCTGACAAATACTACAAACAAAGTAATCGAGCTGCAAAAGTAGTTAATGTGTGTATGCATATTGAAAAATATTTTTTACTCCTTGTGTTACAAAAATACAAACTGAAATCATAGATATTTTATGTACTCTGTAAATCAAGAGAAATAAATTAATTCACTGAAATTCAAAATGTAGGGACTACTTTGTCTCAGTATTTCTCCTATGCCTGACACTTCTACACACTTTGTGGAGCTACTGCCTGCTAGAAGTGTCAAGTTCCTAGCTTTCACCTGTGAAATTGGTTCTGTCTATGAAGGTCTCGTGTGACCCACCATAGATCTTAATGCGGATTGCACATATTATGCATGCATTATTATTATTATTACTAAAACTGTGGGGAGAAAAAAAAATTTTGATATTTTTTTAATAATAATAATAACAAAGTATTTAACAAATAAGTATACAAGTGAAGATTCCAGAAGGTGGAAGACTCTTTAACCCCTTAAGGACCAATCTTCTGGAATAAAAGGGAATCATGACATGTCACACATGTCATGTGTCCTTAAGGGGTTAAGCAGAATCTTCAAATGACTCATTGGTGGGGGTATTAGCTGCATGATACACATCCTGATATTAATATCTGTTTTTCTTTCAGTGTATTCTGGTTTAAAAACTTGTTGCCATGGGGGATATCGACCGAGTGGTGTGCAAAATCCAGGGATTTGATGCTGAAACACAGAATCTTCTCAAGACCGCTCTGAAAGGTCAGGAAGTGGCGTAATTTGCAGTTTATATTAACCATAAAAATTGTGCCCAATGACCATAGTATATTACTAATGTACCGATTTTATTTTGAGTACCTGCGAATGTTGTGAATGCTATATATTTAGGATAGTTAAAGGGACACTATAGGCTCCAAACAACTTTAGCTTTTTTGTGTATAGATCATGCCTCTAAAGTTTTAATTCACTGCCATTTAGGAGCTAAATCACTTTTGTTTCTGTTGATGCAGCACTACCCATACCTCCCCTGGCTGTGACTTACACAGCCTACATGAAAACAAAATGGTTTCACCTTCAATCAGATTAAACTTACTTTAAAAGATTTTAACTCCTGCTCTGCAAATTGAACTTTATTCACACATCGGAGGCTCCTGCAGGATCCAACAAACTATTAACAGAGCAGGAGATAAGAAATTCTAACTTTAACCGAATTTGCAATTAAAGGAAGTGTAAACATTAGATGACTCTTTTATAGGAAGTGTTTAGGAAGGCTGTGCAAGTCACATGCAGGGAGATGTTGGTACGGCTGCATAAACAAAGTGATTTAACTCCTAAACAGCAGATAATTGAACAGAGAGACTGCAGGGGCATGACCTATACACCAAAACTGCTTAATTAAGCTTGTTTTGGTGACTATAGTGTCCCTTCAGGTTTTTGATGACTTCATCATAGTGTTCATACTGCTGGTGTATTCATTAGGTAATAACTTTAAGGCCCTTCACTATGTGAGGAAGCATAATGATGTGATAAAGTGTAAACGTTTTATTTACTTGGTATCTTATCACTTAGTATATTATGAGATGTTTTGATATTTTCTGTTGCATTGTACATTAATGTTGCTGTATAATGGGAAATATTTTATTTGTAACTGTTAGTAGTATGTACTGTAAATGTAATAGTAATTGACCAAGGCTGCTGAAGGGAGATGAGGTCCAGCTGGTCTCCTGAACACATTTAAACATCCTCTGTCCATTAAATATCACCAACCCTGTGAGAACTCTCGGCCTGAGAGAACTCTGGAGTATTATATACTGAAAGGATATACAAAGTGCTCTATATATGCTGCCAGTGCTCTATAGAGAAGAATTTGTATATGCAGTATACAGTAAGAATTACAAAAAGTACTCCAACACAATATAGCAACAGTGTTTGTTTATTCTAGCGATAGTATATGCACAGGCTCAGTATCCAGTTAGCATACCCGAAAGCAGAGCATATAAGACATTTGCGCTGCTTATAAACACGACGCTTAATACTGATCAGTATACAGGCTGTGAAAATGTATACAAGACTCCTTACACAGTGATACCTATTGGTCTTCTTACTAAACTCTGAATCTAACGGTTAGGTTCATTAAAAAAATAGCAGGGACACATTTGGCTGAAATCCCTTTACATTTTGTTGTTGGTGAATACAGCCAAATTTGTAAATGCATATTTGCCTGTTACTAAGTAGACTTCTGTGTCTCTGTGACAACTGGCCTTTGAACTATCTATCTGCTTTTTTCCAAACCTAGAAACAGACTTAAATTTTGCTTTATTGTTTAAAAGATAGCAATGTTTTAAATCCAGAACGTATAGTAGCAGGAAATAGCTAAGCCGTTTTATCTCTTTTAGAGATCTAATTTTATTTCCCCCTTTCTGACTGTGTCGTGGTTTCAGAATCATGCATTTATGTACTTATCTCCCTGCTTTTCTACTTCATAATATTATGACATTGGAATGCATGCTTGTCTACCTGTTGAAGAAATACTGGCACTTATTTGCAGCATTAATTTATTTCTTTTCTTTTCATAACAGAACCAGACAGCGTGGACTTGGACAAAGTGGCAAATGTAATAGTGGAACAGTCTCTGAGAGATGCCACGTTCAGCAGAGAAGCTGGAAAGATGTGCTATACAATCATCCAGGTAAGAGGTCAAGAAGCCTGTTACCAACCTGAAGTGATGACTGACACAGACCCATTCAAGGGAACTCGTTAAAGCACAGACTTCATGGTTGCACTAACACATGAGTGGCTATGTTCATAGTCTACTTTGTAACAAGGTTATATAACTGCCCCATGGTACAATGCAATTGGAATTTCTAGTAAGCTACAGCAATTGTAAATATGTCTATTTATTGAGTGAAAAAATGTGCAGTCCGTTTCAGTGGCATGTGGAAGAATTTATTTTCCTAACGTATGTTTAGTGGGGACTCAAATTATGGTGATCATTCCTTAGGAACCACAAAGACAGCTACAGAAAAGTGTTATATTGGCATCTCCTTCCCTCCTTCTTAGATAAAGGCTATCGCCCCCATGATTCCAGAAGAATATGTAGCTTTAATGGCGGATAGTGGGATTGCAGCCGTAATTCAACTATTCACAGTTTATCACCAGACTTAGGCTTGCGTTTCTCCCTTCTGATAGTGGAACACACACTGGGGCATTTACATTCAGTGCTAACACTGTAGAGTGGTGTGCTGGTAGCAGCCATGTTAGAGGAGTCAGCGGTTAAGAGTGGAACGCACACACTTGTTGTGCTGAGTTTTATGACTATTTGCCAGTATTGCTGCGCATGCGTTTGGGAGGTCAATATTTGTAGGAGTTTATTTGGTGCCCCCAGAAGAAAGGGTCAGTTATATAATCAAGAATCTCAACATTCCAAAAAGGACTCCAAACTTTTACTGCAAATTGGGAAAAAACTATCTGCAACCCCTGCCATAAAAATTGTTCACCTATGTTGAGAAATTATGGATTCAATTCAGATGATATGCAAATCTAGCTTCTCAATGAAGAATACAAACTTCTAAGTTAAATTGTGATAGAACGTATTACTAAACACCAAGTAAGCTCTGGGGTCCATTTGACTTTATTTTTAGTATCAGATTGCACATTTAGATCCTTTTTACATCTAATAAGAGCTAACAAAATAGTAGTTTCCATCCAATTTCTTTTTCTCCATCACATCCATTCTACGAAGAAGTAAGTAGAAGTATAGATCAGGGTGTTGCAGTGGATGTGATCTACTTGGATTTTGCCATGGCATTTGATACGGTTCTTTTAGTCTTCAAACTAAAAGAAATTGGTCTAGATGAATATTCTTGTTCTTGGGTAGAACATTGGCTTAAGGATAGAGTACAACGAGTTGTAATTAATGGTAAATTTTCAGGCTGGACAAAAGTGGTAAGTGGTGTCCCTCAGGGTTCTGTTTTGGGACCACTTCTATTTAACATATTTATAAATTATCTTGAAATAGGCATTGAAAGCCATGTATCAGTGTTTGCAGATGACACAAAACTTTGTAAAGTAATAAAATGTGAGCAGGATATTGCTTTGCTGCAGAAGGATTTGGATAGATTGGGGGACTGGGCACTAAAATGGCAGATGAAATTTAACATAGAGAAATGCAAAGTTATGCACTTCGAGGTTAAGAATGCACAAGCAACTTACACACTAAATGGTAGTGAATTAGGGATAACCACACACGAGAAGGATTTGGGAATTGTTATAGACAACAAATTAGGCAGCAATATGCAATGTCAATCTGCAGTTGCTAAGGCCAGTAAGATTTTGTCATGTATAAATAGGGGCATAAATTCTCGGGATAAAAATATAATTTTGCCTCTTTATAAATCGCTGGTAAGACCACACCTTGAATATGCTGTGCAATTTTGGGCGTCTGTTCTAAAGAAGGATGTCATGGCACTGGAGAGGGTCCAGAGACGAGCTACAAAATTGATAAAAAGAATGGAGCATTTTAGTTATGAAGAAAGGTTTAAAAAAATGAAATCTGTTTAGTTTGGAAAAACGGCGCCTGAGAGGGGATATGATAACTTTATACAAATATATTCGGGGCCAGTACAAACCTTTATCTGGAAATCTATTCATAAACCGGGCTATACATAGGACACGCGGTCACACATTTAGGCTGGAAGAAAGGAGATTTCATCTAAGGCAAAGAAAATGTTTTTTTACAGTAAGAACAATAAGGATATGGAATTCTCTGCCTGAAGAGGTGGTTTTGTCAGAGTCCATACAGATGTTTAAACTGAAATTGGATAAATACTTACAAAAACATAACATACAGGGATATAATTTCTAATTAGTGGGGTAATAGCTGATTGATCCAAGGAGACATCTGAGTGCTATTTTGGGGTCAAGAAGGAATTTTTTCCAAGTTTGTGGCAAAATTGGAAGTGCTTCAGACCAGGTTTTTTGCCTTCTTTTGGATCAACAGCAACAACATTTGTGAGGAAGGCTGAACTTGATGGACACAAGTCTCTTTTCAGCTATGTAACTATGTAACATCCAGTTCACAAGACACCCCAAAATACAGTACAATCGTATTGTGTCTTTAAATCTTCAAGGTGTATATCTCTACCTACCTATAGATCCTTTTTTTAATTTTTTCAATATAATATATGATTTATATAAGCGGTCTTCTTTACTTCCATTCTGCGCCTTCCGATCTGGATTAACTTTGATCTTCACCAAAGATTCTGGTGGTCTTACACAACAAGGAGTAACAATAGTTTTCGTTTTGAGACTGGCTTATCGTGACATCTTGCATGGGGGGCTCTCCTGAAAGATTTAGAAAGTCCTTACTTCTTCCTTCAAGAAGAATTACTTTCTTGGGTTTTATTATAGATTCAGTGGAAGAAACAATCGATTCCAAGAGAGAAGCAAATAAAGACTAGACCTGAAATCAGGGGAACTTCACTATCAGGAAAGCAATGAGAGTTCTATTTTTCTGAACTGCTCTTATTGCCACAGTCAAATGGGCAAGAAAATCATTTGAATGACTGGGATCACTCCATAAAGACTTGTCTGATTCTGATCTATCCAAATAAGGCTAGGCCTTTCTTTTCATTACTCACATTTGATCACCATTACCCACAGACACTTGGGTAGGTAATATAGATTAAATTTAATCGAGACTGGAGATGGTGTGGCAGAGCTTAAATCATTTCAAGCAGCAGACCTTCCAGCAGGCAGTTCTAGTATGCCCACACAATCAAATGTCAAGGATTCACTCACACCGTTTAGAGGTCCTTTGTGCAATTTACATCAAAGGCTTTATTTGGCTTTTGCTCCTTTTCAAACACGTGGACTCTTCCATGAAACTTTTCATGTTTTTAAAGCTGTCTTTTTGATAGCCATCATTTTGGCCAAACCTTCTGGTGGACTTTTTTAGGCTTTATCATCTATGCCTCCATACACAAGTTTGTTCGCGAAGAATGAGGTGGCTTTAAAGTTGCAACCATCGGTTTTCAATTAAACTACCATCATTCTGGGTGTAGTATTTCCATCTTTTTTTTTTCACCATACAACTTCAGATTTGAGAGATTTCATTGTCTGGCCTTTGCAGAGACTTTGTAGAGTGCTTGCAGAGAACAAGTTCAAAATTCATTACCTCAATAGCATTTAAAACTTTTCTGGAGTTGCCTGTATAGTTCTTAGAGCAGGAAGGCTTACCCGAACGTGAGTACTACCTCAAATGCTCAGCAAAAAAGAACTTAACAGTGAGAAAAAAAAGTCTGTTTGTGCAAGTTTCCTTCTCTCTTACATTCTTTTAGTGTGGGAAGTAAACAAGAAATTGAAAGTATGAAAATTAAATGGTTTTATAAAAAAAAAAAAAAAAAACTACACGTTATAATTTCTCTCTGAGTGGTTTGATCTGTGATTTGTTTTAAAAATAAAAAAAATAATCTTTTCTTTCAATAATTTGCTGTCAACATCCTTTATTGCCGTAGGCTGAAAGTAAGAAGACAGGCCGTAATGTATTCCGTAGTGGCCTTCTGAATCGGCTTCAGAACGAGTATCTGAATCGGGAAGAAATGAAAGCTCGATCGGTTCAGGAGTGGGTGTGCTACGTGACTTTCATCTGCAATGTCTTTGACTATCTAAGGGTGAGATGAGAGTGGAAAGTAACCTTAAGGAATGTTATCATTATTTATGCCTTTTCAAGATTGTGTGCCTCAGTGTTAGACGTTGTTGGGAGGAATGGTATTTGTCTTGATAAGTCATTGTAAAGAATCCATTGTATTTCATTACATGTGACTCTATTTCATCATATTAGGATGGCAATATCTAAATCCTGTTTAATTTTTCTCAAGGTTGATCTTTTGAGATACTCTTGTAATGATGCCGATTTTAAAGAATGAGAATGATAGAATTGCTGATGGAAAAAATTCAGAATTCCCCATTTTAAATAGCCCAAGTATCTTCTTTTACAAATGATATTCCATGATGTGGGTAAAGTGCAGTAGGGAGCTATATTGTCTTTGTGACACTTTTGGTTGAAGTTAGTGATAAAATAGTTAGATAAAAATGTCTAAATGCTCTTGGTTGAATAAACACTACAAGTACCATAACCACTACTGCTCACTGTAGTGGTTATGGTGCCAGTAGTGCCCTTGCGCAGTCCAATGGTAAAATGTAAAGCTACTGATTGATGTCCAGCATGGTCCTGCTTTGCTCTGTAAACAAATCAGTCTTCTCCTGCTTGAGAATACTGGATGCAATGAGGTTGCTTAAAGCAGGTTCACATCTTGAGATGCATTAGGTTCTCATGGCACTCTTGACTACAGTGGGCTACAGTAGCCCTTTAAATACATTCAGATACGTTGAGCTATGTGGGGTTGGGTTACAAGGTGACAGGGAAGGTTTCAGTGAAGACTGGTGCAGACAGGTGAACGACATGTAATCCTCAGGCGATAGTTTCTTACAAACTGCTTAGGTGACAACCGGCCGTGTTTTTGTTTGTGTGCGTTTTGTTTTTTCTTGCCTGTGATAAATATGTTCATGTGATCAAATGTTAAATGTTATTAAGTAGACAAAGAATGGATTCACTCTTTTTCAGGTAAATAATATGCCAATGTTGGCTTTGGTCAATCCTGTGTATGATTGCTTATTCCAACTTGCAGAGCCCGAAAGTCTGAGAAGGGAGGAAGAGGTGAGTTGAGGAGTAAACTCCGAACACCGTCCAACTCTTAATCCTGCTTTATCTTAACAATGTATCAATGTACAGGAAAACAATAAATAAAACACAGGTTTCTGTGATATGAGAGTGTGTTTAGATTGTTATGAATATCCAAAGATTATTCCCGCATAGTATTCAGAACAGTACTGTGCCACATAATGGTGGTGGTACTTCCATCACAATAATACAAGCATTTTGGTTCAGGGATAAATCAGATAACCATTTTGAAGCAATGAATGATTCCCCCACCTGTTTTTGTTTTTTGGGGGTTAAAATAGCCTAAATGAATATAGAGCTGACTTGGCCTAAAATTGTAAATTCGCCTTAATTTCAAACTTTAGTGAATAGCAATATAGTGAGCTTAGGTCTATGTTCAATCTAAAATGCTCTGTCTCTATAGTGCTGCGATGTCTTCATCTATGGTCTGTGTCAGATCTGATCCTTTCATAAAAATTAAACTTCAATAGCCGAATGATCTGTTTTCCACTAACTACATTTTGTATTATAGGTAGACTGCCTTGTGCTACAGCTCCATCGTGTGGGGGAGCAGTTGGAGAAAATGAATGCCCAGCGCATGGATGAGCTCTTCTCTTTACTGAGAGACAGATTTCTCCTGCAGGGAGACCTTAGTTCAATGGCTCAGCTCTTGTTGCTTGAGATGATTGAATTTCGGGCAGCTGGCTGGAAAATGACAGACGCCGCTCACAAATATTACTACAGCGAAGTGTCAGAGTGACTCCAACGTAGGATGGATTTTCATCTAATAGTGGTCACGAACCATGAGAGCCATAATTTATAGGATATTTGATGCCTTAACTGGAGAGGATAAGCAGCCTCCGATATCCTTGCAACTACAACCACCATCCTGCACCTCCCACTGGAAGTCCTCCTGTTAATGTCCTGCCTTCTTAGGAGATGGTGGAACTTTATGGAACTCTGCAAGATTGTTTTATTTATTTATGTTTACTTTACAATCTCACTTCTTCCCAGTCCACATCAAAGTGCCCTTTGGAGCAGATTGTGGAACAGCTGTGGTGCTTCCAAAATGCCTGGTCCAGCTCAACATAGAACCCATGGATGTCGACCATCTTGGCCTCAGGATAACACCTTTACCACCCGCCCTCCATATGACTGTTATAACCTTTCTCAAGTTTCTTAGGACATGGTCGCTACTAGATCTTGTGGCTGACATGAAGGTGGTGTACTTGCAAAGATTTCTGAGATTGTTTTGCCTCTCCATTAGAAAGATCGAATATCCCATAAGTAATGGCTCCAGTGGAGTGTGATCACACCAAAAACAATGAATTTATGGGAACGCTCTATTTGGTTTTAAATCATAGGTAAAGGAATTTATTCTACTTTTAGCCGCCAGAAGAGTTTGGAATACTTTGCACCTTTTTTCAAAAATTACTTTATTCAAGCACATTTTAAAGACTTTGTAAAAGACAAGACTTTGCTCTGAACCTGGACGATAATCAGAATGACAGCGCAAGGATTTTTTTAAATTTACAGCCGAACCGATTTATAAGCAGCAACAGATTGTGGATTTCTGTATAATAATATACAATGATTCTACAAAAGCAAACATTTTAACAACACAGGTACAAAAGAACTGAAGTGTCATGTTTAGGGCAGCACTACCCGAATGGATTGATATGGGTAACCTGCAGCCCAAAAGGGTTGTTGATTGGATGAAATTTGCCAAAAACTCAAGACAGCATCATTCAGTCCTCAAAATCAAAATTAGATTTATTTATTTTTTTATTTTTTTTAAAAGATCTACTTAAAGGGAATCAAGTTTATAAAAAAAAATAAAGACAGACAGAAACCAGTTTCAAATGGCATTAAGATTCATGTTCTGCCTTGGTGGCTAGCTAATAATATAGAGATTAAATATTTAGCTGAAAACAGTTCTGCATCGTATCTTTCAGAATCTCTTCATTTTATAATTACATTTTTATTAACACACTTATAATTCCTGCTGAATTGTTGAAAGGTTTTTAGTGTGGTAGTGGTGCTGGTAGTAATGTTATAGTTTTATGCTCATCGTAAAATTGTTGCTTCACCTATGGAACCATTGTAATACATGGTGAAATTTGCTTTAGTTTTACAACCTCATCCAGCTTAGACAAAGCTGAGTGCACTGGTTGAGAATATAAATTTGCAACGCTGAAGGCTACCAACTGGCATTACTATATAGGTATCAGCATTTTACGCTATGCCTCTGCTTGAACAAAATAACCACTAGAATTGCAGCTGCTTGCCTCTGAGCGAAGTAAAATCCAGCAGATATGGTTTATGGCTTTTGGAATGTATCTACTAGAAAAGTTGTGTCTCTTGCAGGTAGAGTTTTTATAGGTGAGGTCTGTGAGAGTATCGGGCCTTTTTGCAACTGTGGACTGCATGGTGCCGAAATAATCAAATCTTCCTGTAGTAACAACGGAGTTACATTTTAAAACTCACAAATTGCTGATATTTTACAATAATATGCCAGCTAACTGGTCTAGATTCCTGTTCTCAGCAATCAACTTTGATGGTGCTCTGATATTCAACCGAGTCTGCACTGTAAAGCAATCTTCCACAACTATATAGACTTGTATCCCTTGGAGGCGATGGAGCCCCTTCAAGTATACCATCTGGATGGATTTTTGTGAACAGGATAATGGTTTCAGTGTAAAGATTAATCCGGATTAACTGCAATCTGCCATCAACAAAGTGTAGAATTCTGATTTTGGTTTTTCCTTCTCTAAAAATTTGTTTAGAGAGGTGAATGAAAACAGAATATACTCTAGACCTTAATTATTACTTGTGCACACCAAAACATGTCCAGTTTTATTCTCAAAATAACCAAAAACTGTAAGTTTCACTCTGCTCAATATAATTATTTGCCAAATGGAATTTGGAGGTACAAAATGCCAAAGTGGCAGAGTTAAAATATGCCCATCCAACTCAGGAATGTGAATCAACAACTCTACCATTCATTGCCAGGAGTATACAATATACTGTTCGTTCTTTAAGCATTCAAAATGAATTTGGCTTTACTTCTACAAGTGAACAGTTCTACAAAAACAATCATTTAAAAACATTTGGAGCTGGAATCCAGACTTGAGACTTGTTTTCCCCCACGGGCAAAAAAAACAAGAACAAAGTCTTACTAAAAAATGCAGACTTACAGAAATGCAAAAAAAACAAACCACCAAATGGTTATACACTCATCATTAAAATCTGTTTCAGAATCTAGAACCTCCGAACGATCCAAGCTTTGAGCAATACCTGGGTCTTTGGTGCCGGCTGCGCTTAGCTCTCGGGATCTTTTTATAGTTTTCTCTTTCTAAAGAGAGGAACCGTTTTGTATCTAGTTTGGATTTTTGTGCTGTGTGAGCTGAAACATCAAGGTCATTTTATGAGAATTCAATTTTTTTTATTATTATTATTATTATATATAATAAGCCTGTTGCTCAGACTTCCTCTGTATCGACAAGGATATTAATAACTTACAACTGCCAATTCTAAACCTGAGAGCAACAAGGATATTTTGACATTAAGACTGTTTTATATTTTGTATTTTAAAACTTCCCACTTTTCATGGCCTGTTTTTCTACTTTTCTTTTTAGAAGTTCTACTCATCATTTGTAATTTTAAGCAATATAGACCTGGGAGATCAATTGTGACATTTTAATAAGGGTTTAATAAATTTTGAAAAATCTCTCTCGTTTCTTTTTACAAATCAATTTAAAACAATATTTCCTGTTGTATTGCATTAGCACACCTGGGTATTTGCCCTATACTAGACTAGTTAACGAAAGCATATAGTTAAAATAAAATGTATACAGATTAAACCACCTATTCCCCTCTTATATACCCGTCAAACCTTACCAAGTATCCATGAACTTGTATTTCCCAAGAATTACACAGACACCAGTGACAAAGCTAACAAATAGACATTTATTGGATAGGTGTAGGAAGTCATACTACCGCTGAGAAAAAAAATGATTTGTAGTACGTAACCGTTTTGACACCAAGTACCATGAGCACTGCAGCATGCTGCAATGATTACGGAGCCAAGAGTGCCCTCCAACAGTAAATAATCAACTAATTTAAGAACAGTCTGAACAAATAGATTGGTCATGTAGCTAGAAGTTCTGCCACAGAGATAAGCTGTACAGTTCGTTTTTTTGGTTGTTTTTGTTGTTTTTTTTTGCTGGGAGCGATCAGCTGACTCTCTCAGCCACTGCGCTGGCCCTACGTTACAGTGCTTTGCTCCACTACAGCAGGCTGTAGTGGTTATGATAATTTGAGTGTCCCTTTAAGGTCTTGAAATTTTGAATACAGAGGGTTTTCACGACCTTGTTTAAACTAAGTAATCGATTGATACACTAATTATGGCTTAGTAAGATCTATAAATGTCTGAGGATTACTGGAAAAACATTTTTTTTGCAAAAACTGATTTTAAATAGATTTTTATTTATTGGGTGTACATATGTGAGAAAAAAAAAAAAAAAAGTATTTACAGTCACAATTTTCAAGATCTCCAACAAGTGCAGGACAGAAGCATCCCATGTAAGCACGTTATATAAGTTGATCAGATAGTCTTATAGTTTTATTCCCAAGGTTCATGGATATCCACAGACATTGGCAAATGCCTACCACCAACGAAAGTGAGCAAATGCTCTGTTTGCCTCTGCCATCTTGTGCAACTCGTGCTTTTTTTTGATCACTTGCCCCTCCCCATGGAAGGCATCAATGAGAGTCTGAGAAAGCTTCTCGTACATTAGGGTCCTCCGGTGCTTATGTTCACGACATTCTTTAATCAACCACTTCATTGCCAGGAATCGACGTCTGCTATCAGTCAGAGGTGTAGGGACCTACGATGAAAATAGGTAAGCGTTTTATCAAAGGTTATTTACTAAAATGAGAATTAGAAAGTGAATTTCAAATTTAAGACCAAAGTAGTTGAATTGAAAAACATATCTGACAGAATTTTTCAGTTCCAACTACTTTAATCTTGAATTTGAAATTCACTTTGAAATCACCTTGAACTCTCCCTTGAGTGTCACGGTTAAGAGCTACTCTGGATTTGCTGTGCCTCATTGTGATTACCTGATAAGATTTGCCTCCTCTTAAAATGCCAGTGAGACCAATAATGGGCTTGCAATTGTCCAGAGCCTGGTGAAAGATTGTGTATGGATTACATTCAATGTTATTCCTCTCCTCTTCTGAAGCCTTGTAATATTTTTCCAACTGGATTCGTTTAATCTGTTCCAAAGTCTATTTAAAAACAAACCGTATTAAATGCATTTATTCAGATTAATCCAAGGACAAACCCATGTCATATGGTTGGAATGTTATAGTGCCCAAAACTATGGTTTCTCTTTTCAAAAAGATTTTTGACTCACCCAATGAATCAAGATTTGATTGATAAACGAGAGCAAAAAAAAAAAAAAAACACCCACCCATAACGCATGACCTGTGGTTGCTATGGTACATTCTTAGCTGGAGCTGCCAGTGCAGGCTCGGGGGTATAAAAACAGAGTGACATGACGTCAATTTGTTCAGACACCAGGTTGCTGGCAACAAAGCCAGCATGTCGTATCATGGAGATGGTCTGCCCTGCTTGACAGGGCAAATCAGTGAAGTCTGCAGGAGGAGTAGAGGACAGATCGGAGGTGGGTGTTATAGAAGTGTAAGCCGATTGCAGTGGTGGAGCGGAGGGCCAGGTAAGTCAGTTCAAATTCCTTTAAGTGTACTGGTTTCTGTGGTTTGCAAGTTGGACTAATTCTAGGCTACCACAACAATACACAATGACAATGGGTGTCTGCTTTTTAAAAAAAGAAAAAAAAGTTTTTGTTTTTTTTTAAGTACAAAATTATTGATGAATTGATAAACTCAATAGATTTTAAAAACTAGTAGTTTTATTTTTTTCTAAAATAATTTAACCAACCATAAATTTGCACATAATGCATTTCTTATAATAGCACATTGTTAACTCCCTTTTTTTATTTCCTTAAACGGTTTTTAAATCATTAAAATGAAAGAGAAAGAAAAAAGAATATGAGCGAAATCTTGGTTTTCCACAAACCGTCACACTGAACATATAAATAAATGTCCAAATATCAAATTTCCCAAAACCCTTTCCTCCACATGTAAAAGGTTTCTTTTTTCTTTCATTACTGAAGTTTAATTTTAGAAGCCTTCCATGTCTACTATGGCTTAATTCATTGGCAACATTCCACACCGCCAAATACTCAAATCTTATGATTGCGCGCTTATACTTGCACTGATTTCTTATGTACTGTACGGTTTCTATTTTGCTTTATATGTCTGATATTTCATTAAATATTTTTTAACCAACATTACAAAGTTTTCCAGTAAAGAATGGGAAATTCAAATAAATAGTTTCTCTTGATGGACTTGTCCTTCTAAGTATAAATGATAAACAAGGTACATTTTGTCACATCCTGTGTAAGCATACGCGTAACTTTATAAACGGTACTAACCTGGTTCATTATAGAGCGAGACAGAATCTTGTTACCTCCTTTCATCATCATATTGGTAAATTTACTGAAATTACAGAAAAACAAACACAAAATTATATGATACTGAGCAAACCACACCTTCCAAATACCAAATTATAACCTGCATACAATTAGAAAAGGACTATATAGTGTTCAAACGGCCATGATAAAGGGAGGAATTCTGGCTATTTTACTTCTTATCAGTTCTACATAATTCTCTGTTTAGCAATTCATTTTATTTTTTTTTTTTTTACAGCAGGTTTGTCATAGATTGAGTTGCCTTGCAGCCTGGGTTACATACAGATTCTCAGAACTTGCTCCATACCTAATAGTTGGGTCTGTAAAAACTGAACTTGTTACATTAGCTGGAGATGCCTTGATCGGTTTGACGGATTTAAGTTCCCATTCCGCACGCTCTTCTTCACTTAATTCGTCCACAGGTCGGCGATAATGTTCTTTGTTGACTTCTGGATCCAGGTATAAAGGGCTGTATCTGGTCCATCTTACCTGGGTAAAACTTGAGAACACAAATAATAATATACAATGAGGATATGAATCAGTGATAAAATTAACACTGCTTTTCCTCTAAACGTAGACCAGTTATGATGGTCATGAAAAATTTTCTCTACCACATCTGTACTTTTTTTTTTTTTTTTCTTCACTTTCAGAATTATTACGTAAACCACATGCCTGGGGAAAACGTGAGATTCCCATTTTATTTTTAACAGGAATCCTGTTCGCATTCCCACATGTGTCTGCATATAAAATTAAAGGGACACTATAGGTACACAGACCACTTCAGCTCATTGAAGGTCTGGGTGAACAATGTCCCTGTCACACTTTAGAGAAACTGCAATAATTACCTTGCAGGACTAAGACTGCCTCTAGTGGCTGTCAGTCAATCAGTAAGGGTTTAATAACCCTCACAGTAGGGGAGAGCAGGAAACAATAATGCTAGGAATACAGACTGGCATTTTTAGAACCTAGCAATTAAGGAAACTGTGAGCCTCACTAGACAAGCGTATATTAATTGAACTCATGCTAGTTGTGGTTAGGGGATGAACCGACATTTACTTCAAAACTAAATCCTATTTGCCGAACTGCAATACACTTTTGTTTTTATTAAGCAACATTCTAAGCACCAAGACCATATTATCTTAATGAAATGGCCTTGGGTACTGGGACCTATTGTGAAGCTACACACCACCAGAGGCTGTCAACCTGACAGCTATTAGATGGTGCGGCCTTATTCACACAGAGGTCAAACCTGGTTCTTGACTATGTCAAAACACCAGTACAATTCATGCAGCTCAGATGCTTCTCATAATGAAGCACGGGATTCAAATCGTCTCTATAAGAAGCATTTGCCTGGTGGAATGTGGAGTTTGCTGCACCAGCAATTTTCAACCTCTACTCTTCTCTACTCATTTGACTGGAAAAGAAGTCAATAAGTGGGATGCGAAGTAAGGGGACTGATAAGGCTAGGTCTTGGCATAGGAATAAAAACAAGGAATTGGTTAATATCTATCAAACAAATATGGGGAAGGGAGGTCCAGGAACAAATTTAAACAAAAATATCTATCAAATTTGCCATTATATTGTCCCTTTCATTTTGCCTCTGTATAAAGAAATGAATAAATAAAGAATGCTGGCCTAATCCAGGGCATCCCCAGATGTTGTAGGACTACAGCTCCCATGATGCTCAGCATAATTTTAGAATGCCTTTAGAATGGCAAAGCATCATGGGAGCTGTAGTTTTAGACCAGCTAGTGCTCTAGATGTTGGTCAGTCCTGGTGTAGTCTATATTAAGGAGTATATTCCACCGGGGGTCCCTCTGGTGTAGTGTATATTAGATATTAAGCAGTATATTCCCTGGGGGGGGGGTCCTCTGGTGTAGTGTATATTAGATATTAAGCAGTATATTCCCTGGGGGGGTCCTGGTGTAGTGTATATTAGATATTAAGCAGTATATTCCCTGGGGGGGTCCTGGTGTAGTGTATATTAGATATTAAGCAGTATATTCCCTGGGGGGGTCCTGGTGTAGTGTATATTAGATATTAAGCAGTATATTCCCTGGGGGGGTCCTGGTGTAGTGTATATTAGATATTAAGCAGTATATTCCCTGGGGGGGTCCTGGTGTAGTGTATATTAGATATTAAGCAGTATATTCCCCTGGGGGGGTCCTGGTGTAGTGTATATTAGATATTAAGCAGTATATTCCCTGGGGGGGTCCTGGTGTAGTGTATATTAGATATTAAGCAGTATATTCCCTGGGGGGGTCCTGGTGTAGTGTATATTAGATATTAAGCAGTATATTCCCTGGGGGGGTCCTGGTGTAGTGTATATTAGATATTAAGCAGTATATTCCCTGGGGGGGTCCTGGTGTAGTGTATATTAGATATTAAGCAGTATATTCCCTGGGGGGGTCCTGGTGTAGTGTATATTAGATGATAAGCAGTAAATTCCTGGGGGAGTCCTGGTGTAGTGTATGGTAGATATTAAGCGATATATATTCCCGGGAGGATCTGGCACATGGTGTATGTGGAATGTAAGCAGTATGACATTTACTAGGGGGTACTAATTGTAGTGTATATTAGATATTAAGCAGTATATTCCCTGAGAGTCACAGTGTAGTGTATATTAGATATTAAGCAGTATATTCGGGGGATCCTGGTGTAGTGTACCAGTAGATATTAAGCAGTATATTATTCCTTAGAGATTCCTAGTGTAGTGTATATTAGATATTAAGCAGTATATTCCCTGAGGGGTCACAATTGTAGTGTATATTAGATATTAAAGTATATTCCTGGGGGTCTGGTGTAGTGTATATATTAGATATTAAGCAGTATTATATTCCTAGGGGGTCCTGGTGTAGTGTATGTGGAGTAATGGACGTACAAACATAGGGGGTCTATTGTAGTACATATAGTAGATATTAAGCAGTATATTCCTAGAAGTCCTGGTGTAGTGTATATTAGATATTAAGCAGTATATTCCGTGGGGGGGTCCTGGTGTAGTGTATATTAGATATTAAGCAGTATATTCCCTGGGGGGGTCCTGGTGTAGTGTATATTAGATATTAAGCAGTATATTCCCTGGGGGGGTCCTGGTGTAGTGTATATTAGATATTAAGCAGTATATTCCCTGGGGGGGTCCTGGTGTAGTGTATATTAGATATTAAGCAGTATATTCCCTGGGGGGGTCCTGGTGTAGTGTATATTAGATATTAAGCAGTATATTCCCTGGGGGGGTCCTGGTGTAGTGTATATTAGATATTAAGCAGTATATTCCCTGGGGGGGTCCTGGTGTAGTGTATATTAGATATTAGCATTTATATTCCTAGAGTCCTAGTTTTAGTGTATATTAGATATTAGCTTTGAGAGTACTAAACTTCACAGGGAGTCACAGTGTAGTGTATAATGGTATATTATTCACAAGGGGTCCTGGTGTAGTGTATGTAGATATTAAGCAGTATTATATTCCTAGGGGTCCCTGGTGGCTAGTGTATAGTAGATATTAAGCAGTATATTATTCCCTGGGGGTCCTGGTGTAGTGTATATTAGATATTAGCTTGACATATTCCCTGGGGGTCCCTGAGTGGCAAGGTAGCCCATATTAGATATTAAGCTTGTTATATTCCCTAGGGGGTCTAATTGTAGTGTATATTAGATATTAAACATGCCTGGCCCACAGAAGTCCCTGGTGTAGTGTATGTGGAATATTAAAAGCAGTATATCCCTAGTCCTGGTGTAGTGTATATTAGATATTAAGTAGTATATTCCCTGGGGGGTCCTGGTGTAGTGTATAGTGTATATTAGATATTAAGCAGTATATTCCCTGGGGGGGTCCTGGTGTAGTGTATATTAGATATTAAGCAGTATATTCCCTGGGGGGGGTCCTGGTGTAGTGTATATTAGATATTAAGCAGTATATTCCCTGGAGGGGGTCCTGGTGTAGTGTATATTAGATATTAAGCAGTATATTCCCCGGGGGGGGTCCTGGTGTAGTGTATATTAGATATTAAGCAGTATATTCCCTGGGGGGGTCCTGGCTCTGGCAGTGACTGGGTTAGGATTCCCCCTCCCCCCCGGTATTCACGTTATACCTCACAATACGGGCCCGGATCCCAGCCACCAGCAGTTTGCCAGAGGCAGCCGCCATTTTGACCTGAGATCTCGCGGGGGGTTTCCGGTGTGGCCGGGTAGTCTCGCGAGATCCTTGAAGGTTTGGAGCCACGCCCACCCCCGTTTGCAGGTCGTTGTCCCTGGAGGGGGCGGGGCCTCCGCTGACAACATGGCGGAGAGTGACGGGGAGACCCTGGAGTCCTGGCTGAGTGAGTCACCAGGTGTCATTCAATGGGGAGGGGGGGGATGGGGGTGTCAGATTCCAGGCCAGAGTAGCCGAGCTCAGAGTAGAGATCACTCAGAGCATTGCTTGTACACCTCCACTGCCTGTCCCTTAAACTGGAAATTCACTCTGAATTCCCAACCTAGCCCAGGGAGGATGGATCATTCTGGACTACATCTCCCAGAATGCTCTGACACCCACAATGCTGGCAAAGCATCATGGGAGGCGTAGTCCGAAAACACCCGGAGTGCCAAAGGTTTCCTACGCCTGCGTCTAGTGAATAGCACCGACAGGGAATTCTAATACGAACGGCAGAATTCAGCCCGAAGTAGCCGAGCGCGGACTGTGTTAGAGGCGAATTAGACCAGGTTTATACAATATATATATATATATATTTTTGTAAGCGTTATGTCGTCATGCAGGTTCCGTTTCACTACATTTCAGAGTTTAGTGAATAAGTCCCACAGACGCGGTTATTCGGTAACGTGTAAATAGTCACGGGTTCGCTGGAGCACCCGGGGGTGTGTGTGTTTAACGGATCACCTGGCACCCCGACTGGGTACGTCCGTTGAAGGATGCGCCTAGCGCTTCCTGAAGGCTCCAAGCACTGCAGCAGACACCATAACCACCATAGACTCCGAGAGCAAGACAGGAACAAGCTCTTACAAGAGCTTAGTAGTGATATAGCAAGAGAGTATGACAAGCATAGCAATTCCTTGTAGCAGATTCCCCCAATAAGAGACAGCACTCCAAATTGAAGGTGAAGTAGAACTGATTTACTGGGGCTACCTGCCCGACTTTTATGCAGGTCTTCCACCTGGTGGACACTCCCCTAGGGGACCAGATGGAAGACTGGGAAACATATTGGACATTGACCAATCACAATCTTACAATCCCACAATGCATCACAATCCCTCCTCTCTTACCTGGAGATAATTGGGAAGTAATCCAATTATCTCCAAGGACAGAGGCAAAACTCCATTAACCACATGGCAGACAAAGGACAATAAAAGACATAAAATTACATACTGTTACATTTATCACATAGAACATACACATTCTACCTATCCCCAGATAGCTTAGATCTGAGCGCTCATTACTACCGGATGGCGCTCAGATCACATACATACAGTTCAATCGCCATGGAGTCAAAGTCTTTCATACAGTCTTTCAGTATACGGCTGGGCTCCATGGTATAGCTATCTGGGGTAGCATGGCTTTAACAGTCCGCAGAAAGGCACAAACCAGCCTTTCTGCAGGGAAAAAGAACAGTGTTAAACATGGGGCCATAGTCCAGTGGCAGGAGGCGGGCGACCAGGCTCCGCCAGTGGCGAGGTTGGTTCCGCCACAGTATGTGTCAATATATACTAACAGTTTCCAGTTTACTCGTACGAAAGTCAAATTGAGTTTCGTTCTATGCGAAAACAGCCAACATGAAAACCTAGCTGACTTGAATAATTTTATTTTATTTCCCAACCATTTACACTTTGACGAATAACCCACTTAGGCTTTCCTTCATCCTGCAATAAGAGGGAGTGACATCATCGTACCTGTTAATGACTGTCAGATATAAATATATATATATATATATATATATATACCAACTCTAACTGGCACATCTACTTTAACCACCCTATTAAATGATGTTCTCTAGAGAAGTAACATGTAGACGGAGCTTCCCTTTAATACGTTTTTCTTAGAAGCCAGTTATGACTTTTGGCACACCGGACATTGGGGTTTGTTGATTAAATTGGAAATTGTGGAGAATTAAGAAGAAAGGTGTCAGATTTTGCGCCCATGTTGCAGAATTGTAAACATTCTGTAGTGAAACTTCCTTTACCGTTTGGCGTTTGTGGCTTGAAATAACCAATATTGACAATTTAGGAATTGTTACTCACATGTGGCGGAAGAAATGTGTGTTGTGTGATACGTGTTGCTCAATGTGTTTTGTTAGTTTATTGTTATAAATAACCAGTTTGTATTGCTGGCATGCCCACAAACATAGCAATACAAATTACAGAAGGGACACTCCAGTCCCCAGCTTGCTAAAGTGCTTTAGGGGTTAACAGAAGGTCTTCCATTTTTCATTCCTAAAAATGTTGATTTCAAGACAAATCTGCAATTTTATAAATTAAATTGGAACAATTTGGAAACAACCCTCTCACAGTTAGGTGGGCCTTCTGGCTCACACAGTTTGAACGTTCATTCAAGTGGAAGTGAACAAACTTCTGCTTGAACAATCATTAGTCAATATTTCCTTTCGAGAAGCATTCTATTGGGCAATTGCCGCATCTAACCTGCATATTTGCGGCAATTTCCGTTAATGTTGCAATTTTGTCTGAGGAGCCAGGGTAGACTGTGCGATGTAGATCAGTGGCAAGAAAGGACTTACCGATGGATAAAAAGGTGTGTGTTTTCGTGTGTGGGGGTTGCCTGGCATTTATTGTAGTAAAGAAACACTCCAAATACCAAAACGGTTTTAGCATTTATTTTTTTGTAACACTGGAGTCTTCTTTTAGAACCTTTAGCAAACACACATTGCCATTATTAATACTATCTATTGCTAGCACAGTGCAATGTTAGCATATCTCTGATTTCCATCATGTGAAAATATCAGTTGTTGTCTTTCGCAGATAACCCAGTTGGCCTCCCCTGTTATTAGATCCACACAAATCAATTTAGTGTTTTTGTCTTACTATGCATTCCATTCCATTTCCAAACAGTTGGACAACTTACCTTGTCTCCTCAATTAAGAACCAGAAGCTCTCCAGTCTAAACTAGCCAAGCAAGGACCCCCCAGCGATGACTGCACAGCTCTCAGTAGATGAGGTGATCAGTGCACGCCAGGTTAGTTGTCAAACCGTTAGCAAATGGTTTGACATTACTCACCTTATGATGGTGCCACGACACTCCTGGCACCATAACCACTACAGAGAGCTGTAGACAATTATGGTGCTAAGAATGTACCTTTAAATGATTGACGATTACAAAGAGACTGAGAAGTTACATTATAGACTACCACTTAGGAATTATCAACTGCTGTAAACTGGCATTGCAGTGAATGGGTCTAGATCTGTCAGGGATCCGCGGGCGGCTAGGAGGGGAGGCTGCACGCCACTTGCAGCACTCACCCTCAGTCCATCGCCGCCCGCGGTCTCCACTCTGTTTACCTGTCGGCGAGCGGCGTCTCCTCTGTGCCGCTCGCCGCCAGCGTCCTCCACGCCCCCCAGCGGCAGCATGTATAACGCTGCACGCTGGGAGGTCAATGAATTAAGTAAACGCCAGGGTCACGTGAGTGACCCGGCGTTAAAGAAACAGTACCACAATCACAGTGGGGGGTATAGATATCCCCCACGTGTGATTGTTAATTCTGATTGGAAGTTATCCAATCAGAATTAAACCAAGGGTATTTATACTCACCTTTCCTGTCTCTCAGTGCCCTGTTGTGGTCTTGTGATACCTGTAGCGTAGTGTTCTCGTCTTGCTCTCTGGTTACTGATTATTTGGCTCGTTATTCCGATTATCCTGTCTTCTCCACTCCTTTGACCTCGGCTTGTTTCTCGTTCTCCCGTTTTCTGGCTCCCTTTACTTGGCTTGTCTCCTGACTATTCTTAGCGTGCTTAGCCCGGCCACTCTAAGGTCCGGTACGGCACATTTTCTGTGTGTGTGTGCCAGCGTGTTGGGTTCCCCGAATCGTGACAAGATCGATCAGGCTTCCTCAAATTCCGGCCCTCCAGTTGTTGCTGAATTACAACTCCCATGATTCTCAGCCTATTTCATTCATAGAATCATGGGAGTTGTAGTTCAGCAACATCTGGAGGGCCGGAGTTTGGGGAAGCCTGGTCTAAATGCAAGCTGTCTAGGTATTCATGATCAGTTTGTCATTGTGAACTAACACTGGGCTGTAATGTAAGTAGATGCGAGTAGTCATTATTATTCATTGACACTATTGGTGTTTTTGCCATAATTTCTCTCAACCAAATATTGGTATTTGGAAATGGTAGAATTTGGATGACGTGAGGTCAAAATGTATCTGTTTATATAACCAATTCCATTACAGACATCACACTACATCATTTCAACCGAAAGTGTGTTATTTGTGGTACACATTTACCTATACACAAGCATATTAATTTGGAAGACTAAGTGCCATGTTTTTTCCCAGCTACTCACAGGAACATTTCAGTTTTTATGCATTTATTGTGTAATCGGTCTATGTTATCTTCTGAGATCTGTTTCTTATGCCTTCAGATAAAGCCACAAACCCTTGCAACCGTCAGGAAGACTGGGAGTACATCATCAGCTTCTGTGACCAAGTTAATAAAGAATTGGAGGGGTATGTATGTTGGGATGGGAGGGGGGATAAGGGGCAAGATTTATGTATGGGAGTGTTTGACAGTCTAGAAGGCAGAATACCGTTAGTTACAAGCTAACTGAAATCTAAGCACGTTGCAAGATGTTTGGTAAGTTAAGAATTTACTTATAGACCAAATCGGTGGAAAAAAGAAAAACAAGTCAAGCAGTTTTGGAAAAGCTATTCATAAACATGTGCATCTACTTCCCCCTGAGTTTGCATAATCTATATCGGGCATTTTGAGTTTAATCTAGTTGGTCAGTTCAGAGGCAGTTTCCAAGTTTTCATTTCAGCAGTGAATGAGTTATCAAATTGGCATTCCAAAAAATTACAACCATTTTCAAAATATGACCAGGAACTAGGAACCTGTAATAACCAGCAGGAATAAGGGACCAGCTCCATTCATTTCTAACACTGTATGTACTGGGATTAAAGACTTAAATGAATATTGTAAGGTCAGGAACACAAACATGTATTCCTGTGCAGCGCTGCCCCAAGAAGCACCTCTGGTCACCATCTGAGGAGTGGCCAGTAAAGTTATCACTAGGCTGTAATGTAAACACTGCATTTTCTCTGAAAAGACAGTGTTTACAGTTAAAAACCTGAAGGGAATGATTCTACTCACCAGAACAAATTCAATAAACTGTAGCTGTTCTGGTGACTATAGTGTCCCTTTAAAACGAGGGTGGGTCTCAGGGACATTCACTGCATAGAAAGATGATTGTGACACTTGCACATACCCAATGTACAGCAAATAGACGAGGGGGCAAATATATATTTAGAACATCAAGTTTACCTAAAAACCCTCAAATCTTGGGTTTTGGTATGATAATACTAGGGACGTGGTACATGTCAAAGTAACATCCACAATGCCAGGACCCAAGGTTTCCCAGCAGAACATTACCGTGAGCATTACACTGCATCTGTTGGCCTGCTTTCCTCCCATAGTGCGTCCTGCTGCCATCTCTTTCCCAGGTAAACCACACACACGCACCCGGCCATCCACCTCATCTAAAAGAAAACCTGATTCATCAGACCAGGCAACCTTCTTCTATTGTTCCATAGTCCAGTTCTGACACTCTCACATTCCCGTTGAAGGCGGTTTCAGCGGTGGACAGTGATTATCATGGACACTCTGACCAATCTGCGGCTACACTGCAAACTGTGATGCGCTGTGTGTTCTGACACCTTTCTATCATGGCTAACATTAGGTTTCTCAGCAATTTGAGCTACAGTAGCTCTTTTGTGTTTTTCGGACCAGACGATCTAGTCATCGCTCCCCATGTCGGTTCACCGCTTGTACTTCCTTGCACAACTTTTAATAGGTAATACGCACTGCATACCGGGAACAGGTCTAGCCATCCCTATTTGGTTCTTGTCAAAGTCACAGATCTTTTCGCTTGCCCATTTTTCCTTCTTCCAACACATGAAATTCAAGAACTCACTGTTCACTTGCTAAATAATAAATCCCATCTCTTGACAGGTGCCATTATAATGATATAATCAATGTTATTAAAGCGAGATTGTAGGCACCCAGACCACTTCAGCTAATTAAAGTTGTCTGGGTGCTGTGTCCCTATTGCACTTAGTGCTGCAATATAAAACATCCTTGCTCATACTTGGTTATTAACCCCTTAAGGACACATGACATGTGTGACATGTCATGATTCCCTTTTATTCCAGAAGTTTGGTCCTTAAGGGGTTAAAGAGTCATAAAGACCACTCCTATGGATTTTTAATATTCATTATTTTTGCTGTGCCCAAGGTTTACAGAGCCAGCTGACCTGTTCAGGGATAGCTTGGGTACTGGTTCGTGTGCTCATCGGGTCGGTTTGTTTTGGTTAAAATACAGTTTCACTGTTTCTCTTGAAAGGAGTTAATGAATCTGAATTACTGTGGCAGCACTTTTCAAATAACCCCCTGAATTAAATAAAAACATTGGACTTGATGGAACCAAACATATGACCAGTGATCTGGTATTGCTGACTGTTTTAATGCATTAGAATATTTTGTATACTTGCAATTTGTGTTGTTTTTTTGTTCTGGTGCATGTAAGCTGATTTTGTTCTTGTTAGTCCTCAGATTGCCGTCAGACTTTTGGCTCACAAAATCCAATCCCCCCAGGAATGGGAAGCTCTGCAAGCACTTACTGTGAGTAGTTTCCTTCATATATTCTATATTCATTGCCATACAACGTCGACACTAATTTTACTTCACATGTTTCAGATTTCAATATCATGTAGTATAGTAGGTTAGAGTAGAATGCTAATTGTTCTGTCTTTGTTTCCTGTGGCCTCGGTTAGAACATAGTGCTAATTAAGAGAAGAATTTGTGACAACGTTGCCATGATTGAAGACCCAGAAAAAATATTTCAATCAGAGAAAATCAGTAGAAAAGCTAGATTATGGAATGAGACTATTTATAAAGGGAGAAGCTAGTGAAATGGGTAACGTGAGAGGTGGTAAGTTGGACAGGCAGTAGAAGAACCTGGGAATTGTTCGAGTCCAAATTAAAGGGTAGCCTTGAAAATGTGATGCCATATATCAGCGAAATACAATATGGAATGGCTGGATTCACAATGGTTGGATCTTCAGCTCCTCCGTTATCCTCCGGTATTTGTCTAAATGGTAAACATGAGGGACAAGTGTGTTCAATCAAGATTGCACCCTTTACCACCTTGTAGACGCGTGTGTGTGTGTGTGTGTGTGTGTGTTTTTCAGCAACCAGTTGCCATTCTGTGCTTTAAACATTCAACTGTACATTTATTGTGCACCATTTCACATTTGGTTTAGAAAAAACATGAAGACCTAACTTTGAGTCCCAACCCAGGGCTGATAAAAATCTGTGATCATATTCACTGTAGGTTCTAGAAGCCTGTATGAAGAACTGCGGGAGGAGGTTCCACAATGAGGTTGGCAAGTTCCGCTTCCTCAATGAGCTGATTAAAGTTGTATCCCCAAAGGTCAGTGACTGTAAACATCACTCCTGCAATTCACAAGCATTGAACGCATGTTTAGGAGAAAGCATAGAAGGGCATTTGAGAGGTGTTGCCGTTATTTTTTGTTTTATTTAAACCAATATTTGTTGAACTTGGATTTGTTATATATTTCAGTAGTTATTTACTTACCTGGCTTAAAGGGATTCTCTAGTGCCAGGAAAACAAACCCATTTTCCTGGCACTGTAGAATCCTGGAGTGCCCCCCTCCCTCCCGCCCCCATCACTGCAATAATTACACTTGCAGGGTTAAGGATGATGGGAGTTGGCACCCAGACCACTTTAATGGGCTGAAGTGGTCTGGGTGCCTACAGTGTCCCTTTAAGCGAGATTAAGAAAAAATTAAAAGCTAAATTTTATAAGATTTCCCAAATGTATTTTTATCAGTAGTTACATACTTCTTAAAAAATTAAATTAAATTTGTCTAAAAACAGGTTTCTACTAAATATTGAAATATATAATGAATCTACACTCACCAGTGGTTTAAGTTGTGTATAGAACTCTCCGAGTTACTTTGTCTACATCCCAATCAGTAATTATGGGGATTGCAAATAGGGGTTTGTGAGCTCCTATGATTTTGGCACTATTTGCCTTGTCCAGTTTAACCAGAGCATTGTTCTTATATATATATACTGGAGGGGGTGGGAGGAGTCAGAACTGGGAAAAAAATGTTGCGCTGCAACGTAAAGTTTGGGTTAGCAATGTATCATCACGGTGACTGTCCAACTTGATAAATATTAAAACATATTAGGACAAGTATTGTTCTCCACTAACCTTATCACTGTGTTTGTGTGTTTTTTTTTCTTTTTTCATTCAAACAGTATCTAGGGGACAGAGTGTCAGAGAAAGTGAAAAGTAAAGTTGTTGGCCTGCTATATAGCTGGACAGTTGCCCTACCCGAGGAGATCAAGATAAAAGATGCTTACCATATGCTAAAGAGACAAGGTACAGCTTAAAAGATGCATTCTACTGTTTGTACCTCATTACCTTCAGCTACAAATGGACTAGCTAAAGAAGTCAAGGAGTTCTTCTTCCTAATCGATTTTAATTTGTTTAAACCTGGCTTCGATTTTTTTTAACATACATGTGGCCAGTCCAGCCTTTAAAAACATACTACTTCATTCTCTCTGCCGGTTTCTTACCATCTTGATTTGTATCTAACCCATCTTTATTGACAATTAATACTGTTTCTCTGTTAGGCATTGTCATCTCAGATCCTCTAATACCAGTAGATCACACTCTAATACCCTCTCCACCCGCTCGTCCGAAGAATCCCATCTTTGAAGATGAGGAGAGATCCAAGGTGAGGTGGGATTTCTGCAATACATACATAATATTTTTCACATTTGCAGAATAACTTTTTACTTGCCCCAGGTAGTTGTTGTGTATTTTGAAGTGATACGCGATCAGATTCTGCAGCACTGTACGAAGAATGTCGTTACCAAGAAAGTGTCACACTGCTAGCATTTCATCAACTTGTAGTGTATATGTAGACTGGTACAAAAGGGATTGAAGGTTCTTCTGTGAGATTACAGTGCTATCGTAAGGTGTGCCTGCACAGCAAACATGGGAGATAGATGAAATGACTTTAAAAGAGAGATCCCATTATAAATGAAGATTTTTTTTGAGAAATTGGATGGTTAATGCGGGTGGTAGGTTAAAGAGTAGGTAGTCATATTAAGGTGTTTGTATGGGGAATTATTAGGGGAGTAAGTGCTTTTCTAAATAGATGTGGGATAAAGTGAAGAGAGAAGGTCAAGGCAGAAAAACTAGAGAGGTCTGAGATTATTTAAACAAAAGAACATAGCTGTCTGCCATCTTCTACTTTAGTGTTGGCATTATGACCCCCTTTTTAGTTTATTTTTAACTAGTGGGTGTAGTATTAGCAAGGACTTTGTAAGCACCGGTGAATTCATGCCAGTGAGAAGTCACCAGCCTGTGGCTTACCATTTTGTTGTGCCTGGTATTCAGACTTTGTGTACTAGAACAGCTGTTTTGTCTCTTGATGTTTCACCTTTCCCAATAGTCTATGTTTATTTTTGTTTATAGCTTTTGGCAAAATTGTTAAAAAGTAAGAATCCAGATGACCTCCAGGAAGCAAACAAGCTGATTAAATCAATGGTTAAGGAGGTATGTGTGAAACAAAAACAGGTGAGCTCACAAGGCTTTTTTTTTAACCTAATTTCAAAAAAAATATTTTCCCTCTAATTGACACTCCCCCCCCCATTGAAGATAATCAAACCAAACCTGAGATGGAACAGCTGATATTTTCAGCCAGTAAGCTATCTTTGCAGAGCTTAGCTCAGTCATGATACCTAGATCTCCTGCTTAGAAGGTCCCATCTCTCCATTGAAAGTAGTGGAGGTGGGAGCAGCAGCCGGCTACACCCGATAAAAACTTGGTGATATGTCAGGGCACTTCTGGCACCTTAATCACTGCAGCGAGTTGTTCTCTGCATGTATTTGATAATGGATTAAGTAATACAGTTGCATTAATACAAATCTCTTAATGATGATTATCTCTGTACATTGATCTTTCTTGTCTTCAAAGCAAAACTATTGCCAACCACTGAGATTGGATCTTAATTTTGTTTGTGTTTATTTTATTTTTTTCTTCATTCTTTGTGTTCGCCTTCCAAACACAACTAACAGGATGAGGTGCGCATGCAGAGAGTGAGTAAGCGTGTTCACACGTTGGAGGAGGTGAATAACAATGTGAAGCTGTTACAGGAAATGCTGATACATTACAGCAAAGAGGAGTCATCAGAGGGAGACAAGGAGCTTATGAAGGTGAGATCTGTGTGGTTTATCTTAGTAACAAGGAGGATATACTTGTGGGCTTGGCTGGAAAAACTGATGGAATTTTAATTCTTAGATGATGCAGTTGGAGAAGAGGAATTGAATCGGGTTAGTGAGGTGCTAGAGAAAGGTGTTACTTTTAAGAACAACAGTCACCTCAAAAAATATATAATCCTTTTGTCGAGTATTGAAAGAGAATCGTATATTTAAAAGAAGTAAATGTAGAATATGACAGGACCATTCTGCCATATACATTCATCTTGGGTCAGAAAGTGTTTGAAAACAGTTAGTCAGTCTCTATGGTCTTCCCTGCTAGTAGTGTATTTAGGATTTGTGGTGCCCTAGGCAGGACCGTGCCCAGACACCCACTGACAGACACACACACTCATTGACAGACACACACTCTCATATACACTGACAAACAATGACATACACACTCACTGATTTGACACACTGACAGACGCACGCACACATGCACTCACTGACCGACTTAACACACACATTCACTGACCGACAAACACACACTCTCACTGACCGACACACACATTCACTTAGACACACTCACAGACAGATTCACTGACCAACTCACCAACACATTCACTCACACACACATTCACTCACAGACACACACATTTCCACCAACAGTCACAAATTATTATTTTTTAAATCCACCCAGCCTCCCTAGAAGAGCTGGAGTGGATTACTAACCTGCGGTCCAGTGGGGCTGCTGGTCAGGCAGGCAGGGGCAGACAAGCAGAGTAGACGGCGAGGGAGCTTTAACTTTCCTGCTCAGCTCCCTCGCGCGCCGCTTAGTGATGCCGGGAGCCGAAGTGATGTCATGTTCCGGCTCCCAGCTTCATTAAGCGGCACGCGAGGGAGCTGAGCAGGAAGAGCTCAGGTGCGCATGCTCCCTCGCTGCCCGCCTCGGCGGGCTCAGAAGTGCCCCCCAGGACATGAGGCAAACAAAGGATCTTCCTGGGCGTTTGGGGGCAGCTTTTTTTTTTGCAAAGTGCCACCCAAGGCAAATGCCTTGTTTGCCTTGTGTAAGATACGTCCCTGTTCCCTGCTCTATGGTCCTTTGTAGTTTTTAATCCATGAAGTTAACAGGTTTCTACTGTATTCCCAAACTGAACGATTGCAGGATATTAACATAGATTTCACAGTTGTTTTTTATTTGAGCCATGTTGAAAGGCACTGTTAATAAAACTGCACTATTCAAAATACAGAACCATCAACGCTTCACTATACTGGTACTTTAAGTAGTCATTTTGATATTGATTTTGAAAATGCCTTTGCGTGAATTGATAAAAGAATTCACGGGAGGTTTTTAGAAGACATTTAGCAGTAGAAACACTCGTGAATGCAGCCACCTCCTTGGGTTGCTTTTATAGCAGAGATGGTTTGTTAATTCTGGGCTTTCTGACCGCAATCTGTTTGATCCCAAAAGAAGAGAACAAGATACTGAATATCTTCATGGCAACGTCTAATTTTAAAATTCAAAGATCAGCTTGCGGAAGGGTAGTTAAGTATCGTGCTTTAAGTCATTGTTATACTATGATTTATATTAGAATGGAACGTGAAGTACAGGGAATGAGAATATCAAGAAATACACGGGTGGGAAAATGTCTCAGGATGGTCAGGTAAAGGTTAAACCACTAATGATTTGTAGCTATTGGGCTGTGACACTATTTTAAGGGAAAGCGGTTAAACGCATATCAGTGCTTGTGGGGATGATTCTAAGTCTCATTTACAGTAGTGGGTTTTGGGTGGGTGGGCAGTTTAAGGTTGGAAATACAGTTGATTTTAATCAATGGCCAATTTTTACCTCCTGTGTCTTCAGGAGCTGTTTGAGAGGTGCGAAACCAAGAGGCTCACCTTATTCAAAATGGCCAGTGAAACCGAGGATAATGACAGTAGCCTGGGTATGAAATCCTTGCAGAATTTGGAACTCTATACTAGAACATCACAAGAAGCATTAAAACCCTCTGGTCAATATTTAGCTTCATTATCTGTCCCATACGAGAAATGCATTTCTCTCCTTAGCTTATTCATATCACCCACCATCCTCCCCATATAATGTTCCCTTAACATTTCTCCATGCCTTTACCTCATTGCCTTCTTACCATTTCCCTATGTCGTTATGGTTTACGGAGCTGCTCACGTGCCCTTAGAATGTTGCCACATTATGTTTCTATGTGTATTTATATGACCTGTTATGTGCCTACTGTGCATGCGTAGGAATCTTGCTCTCTGCGTCCTAGCGTGCGTGATTATTGATGAATCATTATGTCACATTCAGGGGACATTCTACAAGCAAGCGACAACTTATCGCGTGTCATCAACCTGTACAAGAAAGTTGTAGAAGGTCAAGACATCAATGGAGAATTGGAGCTTCCAGATATATCTGACAGTAATGATCCTTCTTCCTATATTTCTACCATACGCTAAGCATTTATGGCCCCTGTTCTTACTACACTAGCCCATCCCTTTCTTTTGTCTTTACCTTTGTTCCTTTCTGCTACCCATTACAATAGCATTTATATTAATGGGTAGCAGAAACGAAGAGTTGAAGACATCTGTTCTGGGGTCTGTTGGTTTACCAGTATAGAAAACTTTAGTATGGCATTTTTTTCTGAGTTTGTTTTAAGACTTTTTGTTGGAATGTGCTATTGCCTTCTGAAACTCTATTCTTTATCACACAGAGTCTTCCTCCAATAAGGACATACCCACCCTCATTGATCTCGGAGGATTTGAAGCCCCCAGCCCACCGGTGGAGCCAGTTCCCGTAATGCCAGCACAGCCACAGCAGCTGCCAGCTATTATTCCCATCCTTCCCCCACCTCCTCTACTCCCAACACATACAGGCAGCCAGTCGTCTCACACAGATAATGCTTTAATTCAGATGAACAGTATTTCCAGCTCTGTTTGTCTGCTAGATGAGGAGTTGTTGTTTTTAGGTAAGAACCCGACTATTGTCCTTTTAATTATTCCTGCATAATGTTACCTTCAGCCTTTAGAAAGGTGTTGAGATTTGGTTCTACTGTGTTAGCTTAATGAAACCGATTCTGGTACAGCTTTGTCCAGTTAGCTTCAATTACTCCTCACTCATCCACAGGTCTAGAAGATTCATCTATAAATGAGACTTTAGAAGGGACTTCGGGTTCCAAAAGTGATATGTTGCAGGTATGAGTCTGTCTGTCTGTCTTTGTGATGCACTCAATAAAATCACATGAAGGTATTCAACGCATGAGCAGTGGAGAAGTAATGAAGCATTAAACAAGGTTACAGAAAACCTAGGCTGGCCACAGTCTGAAACTAGACTCGGAAAGGCTTAAAGGGACACTACAGTCACTAAAACAACTTGAATTTAATGGAGCAGTTTTAGTGTATAGACCATGCCTATAAAGTCTCACTGCTCAATTCTCTGCCATTTAGGACATAAATTATTGTTTTTGTTTGTGCAGCCCTAGCCACACCTCCCCTGGCTGTAACTGACACAGTCTGCATTAAAACAAAATGTTTTTTGTTTTCTTCTCCTGCTCTATAAAATTAACTTTAATCACACACAGGAAGAAACTTCATGGTCTAGCAAGCTATTAAACGTGCAGGAGATAAGAAACTTTAAATTAAACAGTCTGTACAATAAAGGAAGTATAAAAAATAGATCTCGAGGGGCAGAGCCTGGCAGCCACGCTGAGCGGTTGCACATTACACAATGTCCAAGCCATAGTGCTCATATACAGCCAAAATCCATGGCGGCAACAAGCAACAGAATCTTCGACAGAAATCGGCAGCTTCTTTCCGGAGATTGACCTGAGGCCTACAGAGGGCAAATCCAGATGGCAAGGGAGAGGTGGCCGATCCCTTAGCTGCTGCAGCCTTCTCAGCTGGAGGTCTCGCCGGCATACTCTTCTCCCCCCCCTTCCCTGCCGGTTTGGGATATCCCAGCAAACATAACCTGCGGCTCAGCAACAAAACATTGCCGAACAAGCAACACGTGCAACTCCACGTCCAGCTCTCCGCTGCCCTGTATCAGAGAGGCTTGATCGCCTACTAACCGACTTCTGGGCCAAACTCACTCTTCGTAGGAGCACTTCTGAGGTGAAACCACCGCCAAAAATCCCACAGGACGTCGTGCAGCAGCCAGAAACTCCTGGATGGGGCCATGACGCGGCTCGAATAGTGGGGAGGAGAAGGCAAGTGACCCGATGAAAACCTCTACACCACAAAATCAGACCAGCGGTATGCCGACCTACCCAGAGAGTATCCCCTCCTGGAGACCACCATTCCACCTGGGAGACTACACTATACAGGGGGACCTCGAGCTCTAGCAGCACTGAGACTGCCATGAGACTGACACAACAGGTTCTCAGGAGTGCACCTGGGACTGGCGGGGTGCTAACATCGGAGACCCAAGCCATAAACTACACACCCAGCAACATCCTCCATACGTCAGGCGTAGGTTGAAAAACTTGAACCCAATGCCATTGTAAAGTAAGCTCCATATTGTGCAGTATATGGCTCTATGTGTTACACTGCTCACAGTCTCTTAACCTACATCACTTCTACTGTTTGAGCACCATTCTGCACCTTTTCTTATTATTTCACGCGCAGAGCAATTCCATAGCACACCTTATGCCGATTTCTCTACCTCTCTATTACCCTTGTGCAGTCCCATGCTGTTCAGTACCAGTATAATCCCAGCTTGTTGGCTATTGTTAGGTGATATCTGTCCACTTACATGTCTAACTCTTTCATCTCGTTGCAAGGTCAATATGCACGACCTTTATTTTCACTACTCAACTACTGTTTTCAGGTGAATAAGCATGTTATCATTACAAAAAATGAGTGCAGCACATCTTGACCTTATCTGTTTACATACTATCATTATGCATCTTGTACTTTTCACTGCACTCCTAAAATAAAGAATTTAAAAAAAATTAGATCTCTCTTTACAGGAAGTGTTTAGGAAGGCTGTGTAAGTCACATGCAAGGAGGTGTGGCTAGGGCTGCATAAACAAATTGATTTAACTCCTAAATGGCAGATAATTGAGCAGTGAGACTGCAGGGGCATGATCTTTACACCAAAACGGCTTCATTAAACTAAAGTTGGTTTGGTGCCTATAGTGCCTCTTTAAAGAGGAACTGTTGTATTGTTAATATAATGTTTACATATCCTTTGTATCTAACAAATATGTAATTGTGCCGGCTGAAAAATGAAATGGCGAAATACATCTTGGAACTGAGTGCCTACATTTTGACTGTCAATCACTGTTAAAAGCCCTGTAGTTTGCACCTGTAAAAGTTGTAAACATCTCCTACTCTAATATAATGTGTGCCCTGGCTGTGCCAGGACTGAACATGTGTGTTGTGGGTGTATAGCTTTCAAGGCAAGACCATTCACCAATGAAGATTTAAGCTTTAAAACTGTATACCAGATAAAATGTGCAGTTTACATCTGCCAAGTAGCTTTCTTGCCATATGATAGACCAGCTTTGTGTCTCCCTCTAGTGGTTCTAACTGTGTATGACTCCAACTCTGTCTGTGCATATATTATTTGCTCTGTGCTGCCTTGTTTCCTTGATTTTCACTCAATCCATTTTTTCATAGGGGGATAAGGGGGAACTGGACTTCTTTGCTGGACCTCCTTTGTCCTCTTCAAATGTTACTGCCTTGGAGACACAATCATTACAGCCACTGTGTGCATCCACGGTGGCATCGCAATCCTCAGTGTATTCCCCTTTGTTCTCTACTGCTACTTCAGGACCACCGCCCGTCCCACCAGGTAGCTTTCCTTCTGGGGGGATTGCCTTGCATGAGCTGGAAATGTTAGGTGCACAGCTACTTGAGGAGGCCAAAAGGTAAGCGTTGTTTAGTATACACATTTAATTTTCTTATTTCTTCCAGTTCAATATGTCAATAATACATATTCAGCGGTAAATGAATGATTAGTGTTACCATAAATCTTTCTTGTGCTCAATTTATTTCATTTTCAGCTCATCCAGTAAACCTACGTCTTCACCTGTTGGTTTAAGCACCTTGCCGGCCTCCGCTCCTGCAAACCCTCCAAATTCCGTGTCTGCTGCCCCCTATTCGCTTCCTTTGGCTCCTGGTAGCCCCCTCTTTTCCTCACAGCTGCAGGGCAGCCCCCAGAAAGGACCAGTTATCTCCTTAGCAAATGTGAACGTTCCATTGGAATCAATCAAACCCAGTGAGTTGATCGTGCAGGTTATTATAAACATTCACCCAGCACAGCAATAGAAGCACACTATTAGCCAGAATTCTTACACAAAACCAACATTTTTATAAACATCAGCAGCTTTCATTGCAGGTTTCTCATGAGACATGAGATGATTTGAAACAACTAGTAAGGGATGGCTGATTTATGCATTTAAATATATTTGGACTAAAATGTCATTGTACAGACTTTAACGGAAGTATAATTGTAGTCTTGATACACATTCTCTAATCTTACTAATATTGTGGTCAATAATATTAATAAGCCCAAATACTAATATATGCTGCTACCCCTGTAGGTACCATCTTACCTGTCACTGCGTATGACAAGAATGGATTCCGAATCCTGCTGCATTTTGCCAAGGAGTGTCCCCCCGCTCGCCCTGATGTCCTGGTGGTAGTAATATCTATGCTTAACACGGCGCCCTTGCCAATCCAGAACATTCTCCTGCAGGCTGCTGTACCCAAAGTGAGCAGGTCAACCACCTGAAACTTGTCTTGGTGCAAGTTTTGCTAGGGGTAACAGTTTTTGTTATTTGTAATTTCAGACAATGAAGGTGAAGTTGCAACCTCCGTCTGGCACAGAGATGTTACCTTTTAATCCCATTCAGCCTCCTGCGGCCATTACACAAGTCATGCTGCTGGCAAACCCTCTGAAGGTAATGTGTGAAGATGGAGGGTAATAAGGAAATTAAGTGTCCTAAGATTCATTTAAAAAAAAATCCTAACTTTTAAAACTCTAATTGCAAACTCTTGGTACTTTCATAGATAAGTAAAATAATGCTACACTTTTGCATTGTTGTAGATACACTATTTTGTGATCTGTACATTTCTTGGCCTGTACGTAGTGAAGGTTAATGGGAGTGCACTGTGTAATATACTATACTTTAGTGACCGTCTTCATATTTTCTTTTCTACTTTAGGAAAAAGTCCGTCTCCGGTACAAGCTGTCTTTTACGCTAGGGGAGGAGTCCTACACGGAGGTGGGCGAAGTAGACCAGTTTCCAGAACCTGATCAGTGGGGGAAGCTATGACCCAGATTCCGTTGTAAATCTAGTCCCATGACAAGGAACCGGAGGTGACATCACCTTGAAGTTCAGATTGTTTACACGTCTTGTCTGCACTGTGTCTGTTTGAAGGATAAACTGAACTCAAACCAATAGATAAGAGACCCTCAATGCACTTTAATCTGACTTTCTTGAGTGGACCATTTCCTGATGCGTACAACCTGTATAGCAGGCATGTCAAAATGTGGACCCTCCTCCTCTCTTTTATTTTTTTTATTTTATTTTTTTTGTGTCTTGCAGATTCTTTCATTTTCATGACAATTAACCCACTCCAAATTTGTAAGTACATTTGAATCAAAGAACTGCATTGTGGCCCCCAACAAATATTTAGGAGACAGACCGACTCCTGTGATATTTCAGCCCTGCATTTATTTATGTACAAAACCTAAATATTTTCACATATATACTCTTTGTGACCTTCTGAGCCAGAGGTTAGAGGCAGACAAAGAGTGGATAGTGAATAGGTAAAAAGTTAAACATACCCACTTTATAACTGCAGTTTTCTTGATCAGCCTCAACGTAATGACTTGTGGTCAGAGGATTAATGGCCATTGTAATTTTATATTCTAGACAGTATTATTAGAATAGTTATGGATTTATTAAATTTGGAATACGTGTGCATCTAGACATCATGTAGTTATGAGCCCTTCCATAAGAGGTGAACAAAACATGTCGACCTGTCTGTTCAATGTTCATATGCTTGGCAGATAAGCTATATTTCTGTGATATAATTCATTGTAAGAAACTGGATTCTAAAGGATGTTTAAAACACTGTGAGATTCTTGGCCATGTTAGGCTAGGCAGAGAAGATATATTCTGTGACTTCAGATCCCATGATATTTTCCAGTGTTAGAAAATAGATCAGGCAAAACACTGCGACATTCACGGTCTAAAAAGACCAACACACTAAGAGACAAATTGTAATCACAACTCAGAAGATGTTAGAGGGCTTTAGGTCTGCGTGCTCTACAGAGCTTTTCTTACATAAAATAGACAACAAAAAAAAGAAAAGTGTGTGTATAAGCATATAAACATGCATAGTATGTAGAGGGCATTGTTCCTCTGTATTAATGTTGTGAAAAAAGTCATTGTTTCCTAGATGCAGCCTTTAGATATCTTTCCGATGTGCTTAATTGTATCTTGTACATTCTTACAACCATCTTCCTTTTATCGGCCTTGTTCATTAGACTTAATAAATGCAGTGCCAATATGCTGTCCTGTGCAGATACACAGCTCTATTCCTCTTCTCATGGTAAGACCAGAAGTCCCTCTATATCTAAACTGATTTTATGTATTTTATCTGTTTATGCACACTTTATCTTTTGTCGGTCTTTAGGCTAGCCAATGGCGGGGGATTATAAGCAGTAGTTCTTATTTCCATGTCAGTGTTATTTTTTCCTAGTTTGGTCCCCATTAAAGGAACACTCCAAGCACCATAAACACTACAGAGTGCTGAAGTGGTTCTGGTATCAAGAGTACAGTTGTGCTATTGTTCCATCTTGAAGGAACACTCCTGTGTGGACTTTTAGCATCCATTTTTGTAATGCTTATAAAGTCTATTTTACTAGCATGCAATTCTTGGAATACTTTCGAAATCTCTCCATTTTTTTTTCATGCTGTGAATATGATCCGATGTCAGTTTAATTCTGAAAACACCCGCAGGTTTAGCAATTTAAGGCACACATCAGTCCATAGAATTGAGGGACCCCATTGCATTTAGAGTTGGTGCTCTAGCGTTTTAGACCAAACTCAACTTGAATCTCCTCCCTCACCCCCAACTAGATTCCAGACAATCTTTTAGAGTTGCAGATAAATGGATTGCTATATTCAAACATAAAACTGTAAAAAATAAATAAAAAAAATACAGTATAGAGGTTAAACAAATACAAGGCCATTGAATGCAAGCGGAATGTTCGCAAAATACATTGATATAATGGTTGTGTGTGTGTGTACGGGGTGAGGGAGGAATCCTCATATTAACGTGGACTTCAGTAATGAGTTAGTAATACGGAAGGGCGGCCGACAAGTCCTGTAATTTATGTTGTGTAAAAATGTATTGTCACAAACTGCAGAACTGAAGTGAGAGTATCTTTTAAATGCTGGCGCTTGCATGTTGAATAAATATTTTGTCTCATATAAAGCATTGCGTGTTACTTCCTTCCTTAACAGGGATCCACGCAATATAAATAATGTGTAAAGGGGTATGGAAAAAGTCTGTCAGAAATGAATTCAAAACGGGGAGACATTTATATAAATTGTGCACACTCTTTGTTAATTCTTCTTAAATCAAAACTTTCTATGCAGTTTATTTTAACGTGTTGTGAAGCAGGGATTTATGGTTTAATCTATTGGATCAGGCACTACACTGGGAGCATATGTTCCTTTCTTTCCTGCATTCAGTTGGTTAGTCAAAGTGTTGGCTTATTTCAATTACCATGGTGGGAAAATGGCTAGTAAATGCCTCAGTTTCATGGAGTTTGAGACTCCTTTATCTCTTCCCTCATATAGTCATGTTCCTTCAAATTACAGAATACATTCTCCATGAAACATTTTGGTACTGAAAATGTCAAAACAGAAAACATTAGCTCCGTGGCTGGATGCTCTTGGCTCCAAAACTCACTTTTAATTTGTTTTCCCAAGGGCATGTGTTCTGCGTAGTAAGGGTAAGTCTGGCAAGTGCAAAAACCATTCACTGGCTGCATCTACTGCAAGATTTAACAAATCGATTTCTGTGTTCTCATAGATAGAAAGGATTTGTTTTTCAGTTTATCATTGCCTTCACATTGGTTTGTGTCTGAAAGGGTCCTTTCCTCTAGGATCAAATTTGGCCATTTCTCTGACAAGAATGGTCACCTGAGCTGGCTCCTCTGGCTCGTGCTTCCTGGGATTTTACACTTCCTCTAGCAGTCTGACTTTTTTTTTAAATAACTGGTTACCTTTGAATGACCCCAGGAGACTCCTTGCACTATGTAGTGGTTGTAAATAAACTAACATAATTCTGGCTGTGTTGGGCACCTATGGGCCGGACTTCACGGATATGAGACCCACCAACAGTCCAGTTCAGTATCACTGGGATAAAACCGGGAAATACATAAATCCTGGACTGTTGGTGGGCCACAAGGACTGGTTTAGGAACCACAAGTTCAGATATCTGCAGTAGCATACCTACTTTGGGCAGTATTGAGTCTGCTAACACTGCAGCCTAGAAGGACCACATAAGATGTTTGTAAATTGTAGGACAGCTTAAAGTGAAATATTACCAAGGGACTTTTGGCACCATAACCACTCCAGTGCACACTCTTTATGATGCTTTCTGTAATCAATTTACTATAGACCTACAAAAAGGCAACAACAGCTTCATTGACGTAAATGAAGAATTGATAGTGTGTTTATAGTCACCGGGTCTGCTTTATGCCCACCCAAAAAAAAAAAAAAAACCACGCACTGTTCTGGAATATACCAAGATTATTATATATAATGCATAAAAGTATTTATTATTAATTTTCAAGTAACAAAAAAAATCCAATGGAGTATAAACATTTAACCTTGTAATTTACATTGTCTCCAACAATTCTTCTTGACTAAATTCACACACCAGTATTAAAAGGACGCTCTTGGCACCATAACCACTTTGTATCATTGAAATGGTTATGGTAACTGGAGGCTCGCATATAATGGTTTTTAACTGGTTTAACAATGAATGATGGTGTCAGCAATAATATGTCTTTCTAGATAGACAAACTTCAATGGGTGAGGGGGGGGGGGATAAAAATACAATAACAGAACATAAAAAAAAGTTATAAATAAATGTATTCAAAATAACCTTGTTCTATGCTTTTAGCATAGCCTCTTTCACAATTGCGCGTGCCAGGTTTCGTGCAAGAGCCAATCTCAACATTTCCACTTTAGTATTCTCCATGTTCAGTTCCTAGAGTTAAAGATACAGAGTTAATCATAATCCGTAAATAGAAGGGAAAAAACAAACATGCAACACAGACAAACTAAGCTACAGTCCTCAAGAGTTATGTAAAGTTTTTATGAATAACCATGTTCGAATCATCATTTCCAAGATGTGGAAATAATTCTTGGCTCAGGAATAATGAGGTAATTTGCGGTCTTGCAGAAGGTGAGGCTGAAGAAATGCCCCTAGCTGTGAGATGTGCCCAAGTTTATTAATGTTATATACTTTTCAAAGTAAAAAAAACAAACCCTGTCTTCCCAGTTCTTTTACAGGAGGATTTACTTTGGAACCAATCATGTGCATGACGCGGCCATTAAATAATTGACAATATTGCTCCGACTTCAAGGGACAAAAATCAGTCTACAAACAGATATTTTATTCTTATGTACTGCAATATAGAATGCCAAAATAAGCCATAAACAGGTGTCCACTGAGATCCATTCACTATACAAGTCATACGCAACTAGCCAGTCTTAAAAGTTATTTGCTACTGCAAGCCTGGAGAGCCTGTGGCACACTCACCAGGAGTGAAGTTTTGCTTGCCAATGGCTGGTGAGGAAAGGAAATTTTGAGCCCTGCTCAAAGGAAGAGTCAATTAGCACATTTTTACAATGGCCACGGTATCCTTCCTTTAGTAGAATATATAAAATGTGTATTAACACAGTTTATAATTGCCTATGTCAGAGACAGGCAACCTTCGGGCACTCCAGATAATGTTGGCAAAGCATCATGGGAGATGTAGTCCAAAACATCTGGCGTGCCGACGGTTGCCTATACCTGGCCTATATCATAGTATGCATTGAGGGCATCACCTCACATGGGGACCCTTCATTCTCCCTGCACCAGGTGGAATATATACTCAAATTATGTAATATATATATACATAGATTACAATTTCCAAATCTGGAATGTCCATTCAATAAAAGACACCATTAGGTGTGGGTATTTTACCATATTTCTTTTATCCAATTTTGTCATACCCATTGATGCAGTACTGCCCACCACCTATTCCTTTATAATCCATTAACACTTATTGCTCCATGGGTGAACCAATCTACATCCATTACCCTATACTTCCAACCAAAATGTATTAAAGAACAAACTGTAAATACAGATCTGCACCGATAGGTTAGCCACTGAAATCTTAGAATGTTTTGTTTACCTGTGATGTTGGCTCCTGTGTCAATTCTTGTTTCACCGTCATCCGGTCTTCCAAGCATTTCATTAATGCATAGGTTTGCTTAGAAGAGAAGATCACCTTTTAAAGTAAAATGAGATTGCAAATCATGTTAGCAGGATTAGCCATTTCATAGAGTTTAGAGAGTGATCAATGCATTGCCTTTTTACAGTAATGAGTTGTGCGTCTAGCTCACCTCGTTCTGTTCAAGGAGCGGCAGGGCGTCCAGCAGAAGAGTGAGCCTGAAGAAACTTGGTGCTATGTTAGCCGTCAAGAGAGAGAGCAGCAAACCAGCTGCTTCTGTAAACTGCTGCTCATTGTACATCCTATGAAACTCCCTGTACTTTCCTAGGATCAAAATGAGTGTCAATGGAAAGGACAGTAAGAAAACAGCAGCCAAGATAAGCATCTTAATCGAAAATGTGCCATTGCCACAGTTAATGCACTAACCTAGGAATGTGAGACGGTCGCTGAGCAGCATGGTAGGACCCAGGTTGTCAAGCAGGTCCAAGTCTGAGAATTTCCCACGCTCACAATAATCGTTTAGGAACCTGCAATGGAAATACAGATTGTATCACTCTAAGCAACATAACCGCTGCATCGTATGGAAATAGTTATGGTGTTTGAAAGCTACAGATGTCTTCTCTGAAGCCTTTGCAAGCCCTCCCCTTCTAACCCTGCGCATACTTTATGTGGCTGTCCACACAGACTTCCCAATGCAGCTCAAGGCAGGTGCTCTGGGCAAGGACACTGTTCACAACACACCACTCTTCTGCAAGCCAAGTTTTTTGAGTGTTCCTTTAATAATGCATTTTTGGATATAGAGTTTCGATTTAAATATCACCAACGGGGGACTCCACCCAATCTCACCGGACTGATATGTAATTCAGCACCCAGACTCACCTGTCTGATATGAGTGTTGCAAAAGCTGCATCTTTGGCTCGAATACTCCACGATAATGCTGATCCCAAACGGCCATTGCGCAGGGCCTTCATTGCCAATGTCTTGCAGATACTGCGGACTTAATTATTAATAAAAGATATACTTAATATCATAAATAACTTGACTTGCAAAAGCCAGTCAAAATAGGACACCTAATGGCAGGCAGACACTCGCAAAACACCAAAGTTTAATGGGCACGTTAAGCACCATAAACCCCCATGTGGTGACCATTTCCCAGTTCAGCATCAAACGATTTGAGCACTTTGACACAAACTGAAGCACTCCCAGGGGCTAATGGCCAAATTTGGGCATCATTCACACAGTCAATGAATTCTCTCCAAATCTGGACCAAACTGGCACTGCCAATGAGCATGGGTAACTAGGAAGTAGCAATATTGTGAGCCGTTGCGTCTGGGGTAACATCAGATTGTGTCAAAACACTCAAAGAAATATGGGCTGGTGTCAGTAGGCTCCCTGTACCATGGTTACAATGGGCTGTAGTGCTTATGGTACTTTTAGTGTCCCTTTACATAAATGACTGGTAATGAAAGTACTTAGATTGTTAAAAGGACATTACATTTATCTCACCTTGTTCAGTCATCTGTCTTTTCTCACAGATCTGCAGGACCTTCAGAGCTTTTTTCTCAGTAGTAAGAGGGATTCTTTCTATGTGAAGCTCAAGGTACGCACGTCCTTGCTCAGGACAGTAGTCAAAATAGCTAACTCCTAGTTGCCAAAGGCTATTGGGAAATAAATATATAAACAAATGGTGCAAAGAACATAAAGAGAGACACAGATTGAAAGTGCAAGAAATTATTTCAAGACAATAAAGGTTACCTGTGATGGGAGAAGAGTCCAGACGCATATTCAAGCAGAAGAAACTCTCTCATGTTTGACCCAAAACTATAAAGTAAACAGTATAAGGACAGCTGGTTATCATGAGCCAGACACCATGCAAACTATTCAAAATTATTTCATAACTTTCAACACGGCCATCTCACAGTTAAGAGTGAAATTATCCAAACAGTTTGATACTTACTCGAGTTCCACCGGCACCTGCAATCTCTCCCCTCTTCACAGTTATCACTAAAGCGAACGTTTCCCTACCACTTTAAAAATATAAATCCCGTCTAACTTTGAATGGAATTCATTGGATGAAAAATGTCAGCTAGCAATGTAACGGTTATGACGAGATGGTCCCTTTAAATGCAGTGCCGGAGAGATACTCAATCCCTCTGGAATGAAGTAACCAGTTCAAATAAACCGACATCGCTCACAAAAGTACTGCGTATGTTAAAACCTTGCCTGCCACACAGTGAATTGGAAATCTGATATTAAAAATCAGATCTGACAATAAAAGTTGCCTTGGATTACATTAAATGATCTGATATTAAATGGTAATGTCCAAAAATGCATGTTTTGGAATGCGTATAACCATTGACATAAATAAAAATATGCATATACTAAAATTTGAACAAATATTTCTTTGTTACTACTGGACATTGACAAAACAAATGCTTCTTGTAGAGAAGAGTGTTGTTACTGACATTGGAAAAGGGCTTGCACCCGAAACGTTTGCTTGTTCTTCAAATAAATGCCTGGTAGCACATTTTGTGCAAACCCATTATGTTTTTCTATGTTTATCTGATTTTCACTGCTGGAATTACAGTGAGAGAGGAGCTGCAGCTCAGGAGAAACTGTATCATTTAACCCTTTAGGTACTGCAATTACCTGTGCCTCTAACTTTCTATTTGTTGGTATTTTTACAGAGATTTAAGGATTTCTGTGTGTCCAATACAATGTTGACTTGCTAAATCAAACTATTGTGGTCTAATTTATTTATATTTTGTCAATCTTTGTTTTTATTGAGGCATATGATGAATCAGTACAGAAAAGAAAGCAAGGAGTTAATGCATAAATAAAACATACGTTGTGCATAACAGATAGAAAAAATATTGCATGAACTTCTCATTATAACGGCCTCTTTTTTTTTTTTTTTTTAGGTATGTACAGTTTAACAGTGTAGTACTACGCAGTTCAAACAAGTAGGTGCGGTGTAAATATGAGTGGTAGGTACAGTCGAGTGTAGGGTATCCACAGAGTAATCAGCTTGTAACACTTGCATTTAACAGGACACTGTGCTTAGTGAGGTAAGGCTATACAGGGTCTGCTATACATGACTATTTGCTAGTTTTGCTCTGACGCGCACTAGATTAGAGCTATCAGGTTAGGCAGCTGTCGTGGGCCAGAGTGGGGTAAAGTACGCTATACTCTATTGGCAGGTGGGTCTAATGTGCCCGAGGCTTAGTTATCACACGGGTAGCCGTCTAGATTACATGGTAGATTATATTACACACACACATACAAAAATAGAACAAATTCCAGCACTCCAACCAAACGAAAAAAAATGATATCTGGTGCTCTGGTCGCTATAGTAACATATCCAAAAAAAAATACCGGCACTCTAGGAATTTCCAATCTTAAATTTTCTTTTATTCCAAAAACGATGTCAACGTTTCAGCTCCCCATGGAGCTTTCATCAGGACTCCATATACACACATACATATATATATACACACCAAGATTAACTGGATGCAGCTCCCACATAACAAAATAAATACATTAAAAAAAAATTGATAATATAATATAGGATCCAATGCATGGCCAGCTAAGCTATTCGCTTGACACTACACTCGATTAAACAAACTGCACTCTAGGGAGATGTGAAAAGCACTTGAGCCACATTTTAATGTTACCCAAGACACGTACTATAAGCTGTGTGACTGGAAGAGCTGGCAGTGATCTAGCAGGTCAGTCAGGTGAGCCACAAACCACCAGTTACTGGAGACAATGCTGTGAAAACAAGAGAACAAGAAGTGGAAAAACACATCACAACAGGAAAAAAAATACAGTAGATAGATGGATTATACCAACATGAGACAAAAGAAAGCTCAAGTTATACAAAGCAAACTAGAGCTAGTGCTTCAACATTAATAAAAAAATCCACAAACTTGCCTGAACTCCTTAATGACCTGGTGAATGTCAAGCTCAAATGCAGCCAATAGGATGTTGTCGAGGGGCTCTGCGGTGCTCTCTCCTGATAAAAATATGTTAAGGCTGGACTGAAACATTGGAAAAAAGGCTTGGTTACAATACGCTGTGCATTTGTCGGACCAAAATATCCAAAGTTCCATTCTGTGTGTATCCTCTACTAGAAATACTGAGAAGTGTATCAATAAACACCCTCACTAATGAAGACTGTTCTATTATTCTAGTTTATGACTTGATTGAATCAAAAACAAGTGATACCCAGGGGCTGAGTGCTAAATCGGGAGCAATCAGTACACAAAGCAACAGAATATATCTTATCGAGCTGCATTTTGCTGCAGAGTAGCACCTGATCTGCATGATAGATAGCGCTCTAAGTGCAGCAAAACACATCCAACAACATTTTAGGAGTCATTTCTAAAATTTATGTAATAAGAAAACCTTACATTATTCGTTTCTCTTCTCTATTATACTGACAATCAAGCCTCTGTTTAAAAATGTATCTTTTTTTTTTTTTTGAATTCTTTATTTTATTTGTGCATGGAATTTCACATAAAGCGTACCGTGCCACCATAGCCAGGGTATGCAGAGTTAAACAAAGGTTTACATTAATTAGGCAGTGGAAAAAAACTTTGCACATTTTTTAAAAATTTTTGAAACACTTAACGAGTTATATCTAGGTTGATTGTTGTTAAACAGTAGAAACTGTATTAGCGTAGGATAGGCAATAATGGTGTTAAAGAACATTGCAGGTTAGTTGTTCAAGCTTACGTTACTATGTTCATGGACTAGGAAGTCCCGCAGAGGGTAGCTTAGGCAAGCTAAGTAGACTGGTATTGTTAGAGAGATGAACCACAATATGCCTTCATTGATATAGGGCACAAGAGTAAATATGAAAGGTCACAGGCAATATGACAAATACCAAAAAGCGAATGCCATGTCAAAACGTATTATGGCTGCAGGATTATGTACAATTTTTATAGGTAGGCATTGGTTAGGTAAGTAATAGTATGTGGTCTAATAGCTGCTTCGATCTCATAGCTAACTGTATCAGGCTATACTGTAATTACCCAAATAAATTGCTGACATAGTGTAAGTTATGTGATCATGTTAGGGATAGGGCCCATAAATCCCCTGAAGATAAAGAGTGGTGACTCGTAGCTGAGAAAGCCACCGGGCCCGGTAACCCTGCTAGGTCCCTGTCACTCGTTGCACATATAGAATGGAGCGGGAAAAGAAAAGTGAGAGTGCACTGCGAGCAATTCCCCTGTGTGGATGCTGTTGTGCAAGGTGTTGTGCTGGATTGGAGTTGCCGGTAGTAGGAGCGGTGTTGCATACCTACGGGGGAGACTATATATGTATATAGTATGAACGGGGAGGAGAAAAATAAATAAATTATATTCCTGAGGGGGGGGGGGACCGTGGCGGGTACCTTCCACCAATCTAAGGGAGGTTAATAAGCGGTGTATGCTCAGCTTGTGAGTGGGTATCTGGGTTTAAGGGCCTTGTGTGGATCGGGATGCCAGAGTGTGTGGGTCCAGTACTGGGCCTATGATAGGCTGTCTCCCATAAAGTCAGGTCTTGGTAGTGTCCTGTAAGCCCTGGGCGGCCTGTCTGGGTACAAATTCCGCCGTAGTTTCCGGATTCCATCCGTGGGTTGGCCGCTGTGCTGCCTCCGGTGCTTCGGTGGGTAGGAGGTGTTGGGGAATGCCCAGTTTCTGCAGGAGCGTTTTGGCTTCTTGGAGGTCTCGGATGATGTGAGTTGTAGTCCCATGGGCGACTGACAGGGCACGTGAGGGTCGCCATCTGTAGTTAAGGTTATGCTTCTGTAGGAGGATAGTAAGCGGCCGCAGCTCCCGACGCCATGCCAAGGTGCTGCTGCACAAATCCGCATAAAAGGTTAGGTCCATACCTTCGAAGGAGTGAGGTGAGTTGCCGCGTAGTGCATTTAGGAGGGTTGCTTTGTCTCTCCCTTTAACGAATTGTACGATCACGTCCCTCGTGGCAGAGGTTGGTGCCTGGGCAGGTTTGGGCACCCTGAATATGCCCTCTATCTCTAATGCTTTGGACAGTTTGGGTGTGAGCAGGGCCGCAAGTAGTCTCCTTACCACGTGCGGGAGCTCCGCTTCGGGTACGTTGTCGGGGACCCCCCTGACCTTTATGTTATTCCGACGGCGGGAGTCTTCAAGGGCTGCAAAGCGCCTTTCATAGGAGCCGTTCAGTGTTCGCAGGTCTCTGACCTCCTGCTGGAGGGTGGTGATCTGCTGTTTGGCTGAGAGTGAGGTGGTTTCCAAGGCTCCTATCCTGCCAGTCAGGCCTTTCAAGTCTTGGCGTATTGTGGCCATGTCTGCCTGGAGGTTCTTTTGTAAATCCGCCAGCAGTTCTTTCAAGAGTGCGGCCGTCACAGGAGCGGTGTCCGGCTGTGCTGTCGGGATCCGCGGCGGGGGAAGCGCCGTAGCAGGTGTGTAGCCCTCATCGGTTCCACAAGAGAAGTCGTCCGAGAGGTCTGAGCAATGCCCAGCAATGGCCGCCATCCCAGGCCCTTGTGCGCCACGAGCCTGCCGCCACATCTCTCCTATGTTCATGCCCGTTCGGGGCGCTTCTTGTCTCGCTTTTTTTGTTTTTTTCCCCATCTGGGTTCAGGGCACCTGGGGGAACTGTCGGGCCCTGTTGGTCCCGTCTGGGTATCAGAAAATAGGGTTTTTTCAGCTTTGCGGCCCGGAGCTCCAGACATGTGCGACCGTCCGCTTTGGCAGTCAGACTCCGCCTCACCAAAAATGTATCTTTTAAAGGTCAAACTAAGCACCAAAACAACTTTAGCTTAATGAAGCGGTTTTGAGATATATATATATATATATATATATATATATATATATATATATATATAGTTCCATTTACACAATTGCTGGTCACTGCTCCCACTGCTGGAGAGGCAAAGAGGATAACAAAGGCTGAACCTCCTTATTCTCATTCTAATAACTCATCCCGATAGTCAAGGGATGGGGTATTAATGGTTGAGAAGCAGCTGGTTTGCTCAATTTTTTAGTACACATGCCCAACACAAACATGGTGATAGCTATAGGGGAGTATCATGCTGATACCACCCACTTTTTTTTTAAAATTTTAACTTGACTGTCACTCTGTAGAGTTGTAATTTGAAATATCAAAAGCTTTAATGGGAGTATAGCCCTATTAATAAGATTTATCTGCTATATTTTTATCCATAAAACAACTGTTCAATTATCTGCCATTTATAGGAGTTTAATCACTTTGTTTATGCAGCCCTATTGACAACTCCATTGGCTGAGACTCATATAGTTGCCCTACACACTTCCCCAAAAAGATATATATATATATATTTTATTTTTTTAAACTTCCTTTATTACACAAAAAGTGTTTCATTTTATCTCCTGTTTTGTTAGACTGCTAGAGCCTACAGTAGCTCACTGTGTTTGATGAAAGTTCAATTAACAGAGAAGGAGATAGTAACACACTAACCTAAGCTGAACAAACACTCAAAGTTCAAGCTTTAAAAACCCATTACTTTATGTTGTTTGCACCCCATCCTCAAATGAAGCAATTTCCAATTTGCCACAGAAAGTGAAATAAAAAAATAAAAAAATCCTTTGATTCCATAATGGCATCTCTCCTTGGACCAACAAAACACAAATCCTTGAATATCCAGTTTTTGCAAAAAATAAAAATAATACATATCCAGGCCATTTGCCATTTTTTTAATTATATATAGAATCTAACACAACTTATTTTGATTCCACATCTTTATATTGTTTTTACTGTAAAGAACCCTTCACTCTGGTGTAAGTGAAATCACCTTTCTTCCAGTCTCAATGGGTGACTTGCCTTTTGTATATTACTGCTAAAGAACATGTTAGCACAAAGCTGTTGTACTAAACCTGTATTTATTTGTACAGTGCTATCATATGCTTTCTGAGATGCCTTTTATATAAAAAAAAAAACAAAAAAAACACAAATGCAGTTTTTCTCGCCTTTCCAAAAGTTTCCATTCCCCTTATTAATTTTGTAGCTCATCTCTGCACCTTTCCTAGCTCTGATATCGAATTTTTTTAAAATTGGTGCCCAAAGCTGTAAACACACTATTCTGTAAGGGCTGACTGAAAATGAAACCATTTTTCCCGTGTTGGCCGAGTCACAGCCAGGAAAGTTATGGCTAGGGCTGATACTCTCAGTCCATGGCCACCCAGCTAAATCTTCCTCATACTGCAGCACAACGAGTAAGTAAGCAGAGATGCCAAGCCTTGGAACGCCAACTTCTGGTGTAAATCATGGCAGAACAGTTAAACTCCTGAAGGTAAGACAGAGCCATGACACTCCTGTGCCAAAGCCACTTAAGGACATAGTGCTGGTAGGCACGATTGTGGTAATCCACATTTTGGTTCTAATGCTATAAGAAACATAGAACGTGATGGCAGATAACCATTCGGCCCATCTAGTCAGCCCAATGTTTTGTTTTTTTAAATACTTTCATTAGTCCCTGTCCTTATCTTATAGTTAGGATAGCCTTATGCATATCCCACGCATGCTTAAACTCCTTTACTGTGTTAACCTCTACCATTTCAGCTGGAAGCCTATTCCATGCACCCACTACCCTCTCAGTAAAGTAATACTTCCGGATATTATTTTTAAACCTTTGTCCCTCTAATTTAAGACTATGTCCTCTTGTTGTGGTAGTTCTTCTTTTAAATATAGTCTCCTCCTTTACCATGTTGATTCACTTTATGTATTTAAATGTTTCTATCATATCCCCCCGGTCTCGTCTTTCCTCCAAGCTATACATGTTAAGTTCCTTTAACCTTTCCTTGTAAGTTTTATCCTGCAATGCATGAACCAGTTTAGTAGCCCTTCTCTGAACTCTCTCTAAAGTATCAATATCCTTCTGGAGATACGGTCTCCAGTACTGCGTACAATACTCCAAGTGAGGTCTCACCAGTGTTCTGCACAATGGCATGAGTACTTCCCTCTTTCTACTGCTAATACCTCTCCCTATACAACCAAGCATTCTGCTAGCATTTCCTGCTACTCTATTACATTGTCTGCCTACCTTTAAGTCATCAGAAATAATCACCCCTAAATCCCTTTCCTCAGATGTTGAGGTTAGGACTCTATCAAATATTCTGTACTCTGCCCTTGGGTTTTTACGTCCAAGATGCATTATCTTGCACTTATCCACATTAAATGTCAGTTGCCACAACTCTGACCATTTTTCTAGTTTACCTAAATCATTTGCCATTTGGCTTATCCCTCTTGGAACATCAAACCCTGTTACATATCTTAGTATCATCAGCAAAAAGACATACCTTACCATCAAGACCTTCTGCGATATCAATAATAAAAACATTAAAGAGAATGGGTCCAAGTACAGATCCCTGAGGTACCCCACTGGTGACAAGCCCAAGCTTCGAATATACTCCATTGACAATATAAGGTAGTGTTTCTGATCAACCAGACCCCAATAATGAACAAAATCAAATAAAGATCCTCAGGACTCAGCAATACATACAAGTGGTTTATTACTTTGATGGCTGAGTAAACCACCAATACGTATCGTCTGAGTGCTGAGGACCTTTATTTTAGGCTATCCAAAACAAATAAAATAAGCTTAAGTTGTCTGTAGGATGGGAATGCACCTGTAATAATGTAATTTGATAATAGTCCACTGTAATCTTAAACGCTCTGCAACAGCTGCAGTTTGTGGTTTGTTTGTTTTTTAAATTCACTGCTAAGTAAACTCTTGAGAGTCCCCGATTTAGACTGTTGTATTGAATAAATAATGACATTCTGCAGGAGAAATACAATCACACTATCAATGTGCAAAAAAAAAAAAAACGAGCACCATCCATATTTTACCTGTGCATAGGAATGCAGTTCTGTGGGTTTCACTGTTGGATGTGTAAAGAGCAGATGTGACACAAGGTAGTGATACCAGGTTGTCATAAGTTCCCTCCTTTCCAGTAAAGTCTCTTCATCGCCCAAAAGAATCTGTGGACATAAGCCATAGGTGTCACAATTTAATCCAGCCTAGTGGGGCTAATAACCAGGTATTTTATGAAGTCACTGTTACCTTGCAGATAGATTCCATGTCCTGGCTGGAGGAGAAGGTCCCGCACTGCAGGTGATGTGTACATTCTTCACGCCAATGCTGCCACTTAAGTTCAAATTCTGTTAGAGTCTGTGCTGTTGAGGACTGCAAAGGTAAGGAGAAAAAAATAAAAAATAATAAGGTAGAGCATTTAAAAAAATATATGTTTTTTTTTTTATTTTTAAAAAGCTGACCGGTTAACTCACTAAATTCCTAATGCTCAGTCTAGACTAGCAAAACTGATCACATTATCAATTACTGCTGAGATTTGGCATTCAATGGCCAGATAGACAAAAAACGTCTCCTTGATTTCAACCTGCCCAGATATGTGCACAGTACAACTGGTACTTCTGGCATAATATTCCTGGTATTACAGAACCCATCCTATCACTAATAGGTTGTCATAGCTTTCCAGGCGATATTTCCGTTTCCAGTCGATAGTTCCATTTACACAATTGATGGTCACTGTGGAGAGGCTAAGAGGATAACAGAGGCTGAATCATCTTATTCTCATTCTTGTAATAACCCATCCCGATAGTCAAGGGATGGGGTAATAATGGCTGAGAAGCAGATGGTTTGCTCAATTGTTTAGTACACATGTCCCACACAATATACGTGATGATAGTTATAGGTAGTGTCATGCTGACCACCATTCACCCTCCCCCTTTTTATTTTAACTTGAATGTCCCTCTACAGGGTTGTATTTTGAAATATATCAAAAGCATTAATGCAAGTATAGCATTATTAATAAGATTTATCTGCATACACTCAGCATGGGCATCTTTTTCAAGAGGTCGTCCAGGATACGGCACATGCTCCGGGAGTTCACGTTGGAAGATGTTTCTTTGGACAGTAACTGCCGTGCTTCATCCATTCTTCCCTGCAGGACACAGCCAGTGATCTGAAAATGAGATGGTGTACAGTGTTTATCAGAACTTGTACACAACATGCTGACTGATAGCTAGGGGTTTGTAACAGGGCTAGAGGCTATACTCAGAAATCGAAGATATTGACAGTAATTGCCTATTGCCTAGGCTCTAAAATGCTTGAGTCTGTAGAGAATGACAACAGAAAGACAGAAAAGGACAAAAAAAAAAAAAAAAAGGTGTGAGGTTGATGAGCATTCAACACTCACCGCATCCCAAAATCTGTCGTGTTGTGTGGGAGTTTGACTTTCAAGCACTTCTTGGGCAAGACTGTCCACCTCACAAACATGGAGACGCACCCAGTCAAGTAGGAGTATTAACAGGGGACCGGCTAAAACAAAATATTAAGTGTTACATTGCATCACAATGCACCCTGCTTGTATTCGTACTTAAGTTCTCGATACATTAGACAATTATAATGTAGGGAGTTACTGGACTCGCTCGATGTTCAAACCAACCATGTTCTCCCATCTCCATATACAAATGTATGTTTACTGGACCAGAATGTGTTTTGCAATCAGCACAGTCCCAGACAGTGCGCACACAGTCCATGACTCGGCTCTCTCCAGAGAGGAGATAGGCTTCCCTAATGTGTGCATGGACACAGCATTTAAAATATGGACAAAATTAATCTAAAGCAATCCAAAGCCAAGTGGTCTAGTTATCTGACTGGCAGCCATCATCACTAAAAGTTATTCCTATAAATGGAATTGGGCTCAGGAAACTGAAAGTGCCACATACTTTGCAGCAATGCAAATCTCTTATGGTGCTCAAACTGACCCATGAAACCAGGTTAGAGGTGAGGCGACTGTGACGAAATGCCCTTTGTCACTGGATTTTTAGGTGACAAGTTGCCCTTCGCCCCTGGCTGTTGGAGGAGCCTGAGTGCCAGCCTCCTGCCTCATGACTATGGCCCTGGGTTGTATGGCACTTTACAAACATTATTTGGGCTAATGGATTTATATTGTGCTGCTGGCCCTTTAAGAACTGCATTGTGGTTTATGGACTTTTATTGGACCATGCTGGCCCTTTAAGAACCATCTGGGGATATATTGAGACTTTGTGTGACAGTGCCCCTTTAAGACGGTGTTCCCAGTGTCCCCAGACTTGGTTAAATTCCTTTGTTTAAGGCTATTATTTACTTGGTTCAGTAAATGGGGCTTACTGAACCAAGTACCACACAGACGGACCACCCAGAAGTGGAAGTGTGCAGGCAATTTACCTCCCAGGCTGGGAGCCTGCTGTAGGTAAATTGCCGACCACTGGGTGGCTGCAGTTCGTGCAAACAAACATGCGGCAGCGTCTATCTTTGTTCATTCGAACGAGGTCAGCGGTATGTGTAGCAAAATTCATGGAACTGAAATCGGCTACACATTTCAACGAACACCGCTGACCCTTACCTTCTCCTACACTCAGTTTTCAGCTGCAGAGACCCGTTCGGCAGTTTGAACTCACTGTTATACCGAGCCAAATGCACGAACGGCCTCAGTCATTTTTCTGCATGAAATAGACCGACCGCACAGCCCAAATCTATGGAACTGTTTTGGGCATGAAAATGTGCTTGCGGTCGGTCGTAAAGGACTTCCGTCTAACTTTTTATCTACTGGATGGATTTGTCTGAATTTTGGATATATTTATAATTAAAGTGTGCTGAGTTTGAATATGTTTTTATGAAGATTTAACTATTTTTAAAGTTAAAGTATATGTATAAAAACTATTTTTCCTGTCTTTGATAATTATGTTACCCATTGTGTACCATAATTATATCACAGGCAGAGGGGAGGATTTTGTGTATAATTGCTGGGAGTGTTTTCTGTAACGTACGTGTGTTATTGGTTCTGTAAAACCCTGTGGGTGGTCCTATGTAAGGAAAAACTGCATAAAAGAAGGCTCTTTGGTGCCAATTAAAGCAGATCATCTTGTACCTTCATGAAGTTTCGGCTCATGTTTGGGGGATTGGAGAACTACACTCTGGGGATTGCTATAATCACTATACTCCACAGGGTATAATCACTAAGCTCGGCTAAGAGCTTGTTCCTGCTCTCTGGAAGCTGGATCCTGGTCTTGGGTCCAGAGTGGGTGGAGACGGCGAGACCCCAACCAAGCTGCGGCGGTTCGTGGGAGTCTATAGTGGTTATGGTGTCTGGCAGAGTGCTTGGAGTCCTCGGAAAGCACTAGGAGCATCCATCAACAGAAGGTACCCGGTCGGGGTGCCAGCGGTTTCCGTTACAGCGACTAATTAAACTTGAGATAGGTGTGGTACCCCTAGCAAAAATATCTCTATATGTCTGAACCTCTCTTTAATGGAAACTCGTTCCTGGAAACTAAACTATCCTTTTGGCTTGGTTGGTTCCTACCTAGATTATAAGCTTACGGGCAGGGTCATCTACCTTTTGTAGCGGTCTGTTTATACTGTATTGTTTTCACAATTGTACAGCGTTGCTGAATATGTTGGCGATTTATAAATGTCAGTAATGCATTTTTTAAAATTGTCTGTTTTATGTCAAAACAAGCCTGTGTCTACATAACTGCTCTCTGACAGTCCGTAACATACACAAGGACTTTTGGTTTAACCTCAAGTCCTTCAATCTCTCACCTGATGCTGCTTCAATGAAGAGTATCTCACAGAGGTTCCAGGTCAGCTCCATGGCAGATAGTATGGAAACCTAAGGAAAATAACATACTTCAGTTTAAACACATTGTAAGGGGTAATGAGGTCGGTATATAATATGTTATTACACATCACCCACTCAGAGTATCCAATTTACCCACCTGGAAAGAGTACTTGTTACTTTCTGCAACATCACGTGTAGAAACTAATAGGGAATAAAACATATATGGAGAGGAGTAATATGTGCAGGAGATTCACTCAAGCAACAGAGGAATTTCATATACAAAACAGAATTGTAACTGTCCAGAAGAGATTGAACAGAGCAACAAACAAGGAGGTCCAGGAACAGAGGCATTCTGGGATGCCGTTCAAATAAAAATTTACGAGGCATGGAGGCCGGCAAGAGAGGCCAAAGTAGTCAAACTGCCAAATTATCCATGTCAGCTATGCTTCAAGTTCGGCTACTTTGTACTCAGAATTGAAATTCACTTAACATTGCTGACAAGTATCACTTTAGTTAATACACTCGTAGGATTGTATTTTGGGGTTTAAAGGGCAGTATTGTCTTTTTTAGGTGTTTGATAGCCGTTTATAATTACAATAAGCATTTACAATCAGCATAATCTTCTACTCACCAGTTAGTTGGTGCATCTCGTGTATACAAGCCTGGAGTACTGAGCGATAATTCTTACTCACTCCTATAAACCTGATTTAAAAAAAAAAAAAAAGAAGAAGAATTTTTACTTATGATACGTTTGTTTACTCTTAATTTTAGCCGCAGTAATGTACAAATGGCTATTGTAGCCTCCTTACTGGACAGATAACCTAATATGGAACAAAACAACTAAAAAAAAACAACAACTCTTAAGTAGTCAAACAACTACTACTAATATACCTGGGGTCCACTGGGCATTGGTCACTATCTCACCTGGAGACAGACATTGCAGAACAGAGGTTAGCTCATTGGCTGAGATTGACTGAGAACACACACAAAAACAAATAAAAAAAGATTTTCAGTCCGCCAATAAAAAATTAAAAATAAAAAATCCACAAACAAAACAGACAACAAGCACCAGAGTTCTGAACTAGGGATATAATTTGCATTTTTTTTAAAAGTTTCTTGGCCTTTGTTTACAAAGTAGGTGCTTTGAATCTAACAAATAGTCCACATGATACCTTCCCAGCCACAAAAGTAGAAAATCCAATGTGTTCTGGTAAGGAATAGGTAACTATTCAAAAGCAGTCAGACTAAACTGATATTTCTTTATTACTTGCTAACCTTGAAACCAACCAAATATTTACAGTAATACTAGTCCTCTTAGTGCCATGGACCCCTTCTTCATTGTAATATGTACCCCACCCATCAAATACATATCACAGACATACTGTGCTTTTCGAGACTTGCTGGATTCCTCATCAATCTTCTGCAGACCCACAAAGATGCCGTGTGATTCATTGTAGAGCTTACGAAGAACTGGCGAATAGAGATCTTCATCATGGCGCACAATGTACATAAAACAACAGGGCTCAAAACCACCAGCTCTGCTTCCAGCTTTTATAGGAGGATCTTAAAAGTAGATAAAGTTGTAAATATATAACAAATGGAAAAAATTTAAATAATCATTACAAAAGACAAAAAACAAATTGTTAATTTCCATTAACCAAAAAGGGCTTTGATGTTAAAAACAAAGTTGTCACACACTCTATCCTTATACAGTCAGCCCCTCTTGGACTGGAAGAGAGCAGAATGTCTCTGCCTGAAGCAGTGGCAAATCTGGCTTTTACAGCTCCAGTTCATTCCCACACAGAGTGTTGGCTGATAATGCCTGGAGGACGTAATATTGAGTTGCATCTTACCAACATTATACATAAATACTGTGCTTTGAAAGGCTATCACTGCACAGAGACTACCTACTAGGTGCATGAACACTCCCTTTCCCTATGTCCTGTGCCTACTCAAGGACAACATTGGTGAGTAGTAATTGTGGAACAGAGAGTCACCGGGTTGTGTTTTAGTCTACATTTACAAATGTGTTATGTCTTTTGTTCTTACTTCCTGTGACCAATTGGAAGGTAAAATACAAAGCACAAGGTTCCTTTCTGTGGATCTTTCAAGCTTTGTTAACCCCTTAAGGACTGGACTGTTTTTGCGATGTTGTACATTTGCGACCAGGAATATTTTTACACTTTTGTGGTGTTTGTGTTTGGCTGTAATTTTCCGCTTTCTCATTTACTGTTCCCATACAAATTATATATTGTTTTTTTCAGGACAAAAGGGGCTTTCTTTACATACCATTATTTATATAATCTCATGTATTTTAATTTAAAAAAAATAAAAAAATATGATGAAAAATTGAAAAAAATACATGTTTTTTGACTTTTACTTGAAAAATCTTTTACTCATCTACAAAAGCGAATGAAAAAAACTGCTAAATAGATTCAAAATTTTGTCCTGAGTTTACAAATACCTAGTGTTTACGTGCTTTTTTGCTTTTTTTTGCATGTTATAGGGCTATAGGTACAAGTAGGATATTGCGGTTTCAAAACATACATTTTAAAATTTATCAATAGTGACATTGTAACACTATTATCTGTCATAAATCTCTGAATAACACCCCACATGTACATATTTTTTTTAAAGTAGACAACCCAGGGTATTCAATATGGGGTATGTCCAGTCTTTTTTAGTAGCCACTTAGTCGAAAACACTGGCCAAAGTAAGCATTCATATTTGTTTGTGTGTGAAAAAAGTAAAAAAACTAAATTGAACGCTAATTTTGGCCAGTGTTTGTGACCAAGTGGTTACTAAAAAAGACTGGACATACCCCATTTGCAATACCTTGGGTTGTCTTCTTTTGCAAATGGTATGCCATCATGGGGGTAATTCTCATTCCTGGGCTACCATACGCTCTCAAAGGCAACGTAACCAACCTGGCCATTTTCAATGTAAAAATATTTGACCCATATATTTGACCTTGTAACTTTCAAAAATGCTATAAAACCTGTACATGGGGGGTACTGTTTTACTCGGGAGACATCGCTGAACACAAATATTAGTGTTTAAAAACTGGAAAACGTATCACAACAATTATATCATCAGTAAAAGTGCTGTTTGTGTGTGAAAAATGCAAAAAAAGTAACTTTCACTGACAATATCATCGCTGTGATATGTTTTACTGTTGTGAATCACTAATATTTGTGTTCAGCGAAGTCTCCCGAGTAAAACAGTACCCCCCATGTACAGGTTTTAGGGTGTCGTAGAACGTTACAGGGTAAAATACAGTGCTAGCAAATTAAATTCTCTGGAATTTCGGCCTGGGTTGGCAGGCAGGTCCCTCAAATTGCAATCAATAAAATTACTGAATTATGTAAAAATATTACATAAATACGCACGTAGAATTTAAATATATATGCATATTTATATATTTGAAGTCTACGTGTATATTTATATAATTATTTATGTAATTTTGTATATGGACGTATGTATATTTCTTATTATTTTTATTTATTTTTATATACATAGATATATATACAAATTCATTCTAAGTGTATTTTGATATAAATATATATATATTAATTTTAAAATACAGTTAGAATAAAATTTCATATAGCTATATAATTTTTTTTAAATTTTTATTATTATTTAAAAAATTTTATTTAATTTAAATTACTTATTATTTATATTTTATAATAATATATATATACAATATATATAGTTATTATATATATTATATATATACGTGTGTAATTTAATTATAAGTGTATTTTTATATTAATATAAGTACATATTAATATAAAAATACACTTAGTATGACATTTTATTTATTTTTATTAACACTAACTTTATTTTTTTTATTTTACACTAGCAGGGAGACTGCCTGTCAGCACAGACAGTCCCCTGCAGGCAGACACATGGACACCTATTGTGACCATGTGATCGCTGTGTTAAGCGATCACATGGCCACAGGGGTCCTAATCTGCCGTGGGGAGACTGTCTGGGCTGCAGGCAGTCTCCCCACAACCGGAGGAACACTGATCGCCGCCGGGGGAACGACGGCGATCAGGTAAGTACCCCCAGACCGTTAGGACGGTTCAGGACCGTCATCGGTCGGCAAGGCAAAAATGCCAATGACGGTCCTGAACCGTCCTCGGTCCTTAAGGGGTTAATAAAAGCATAATAATATGAAGTTCTGTTTATCTGCTTTTTGTCATTCCTTGTTTTTCCTTTCGGTACCGTAACAAAGCGTTTGAGTTAGAGGTCATTATTTTATTAACTGGGCCATGCAAAGGTTTGGAACTAGAATATATGGACTAAGCCTGTGTTACAAATCAAGAAGATGTGGCAATATATTGAGTGGCCTAAAAATGTCACAAATAATGGGCATTATTTTGGATCGCTCATCAAGATATCCTGTTCCAGCTGTTCTAATTTGGGTTCAGGGGGAATGATGATAGAATAATTAAGTCTAATAGTTTGTGTTACTAAAAAGAAGAAATATGCATATATCCCTTCGTGCACTGTTCCCTACAGCTGTTTTGGCGTGACCTGTGAGGGTTCCGAGCTTGCGCTGGTTAGAGTAACATGACCTTGCCAGAAGCTGAATTTGCAATGTTAAAACATTGTGTGATTTTAAGGGGGCGTGGCTAACCGCCGAGAGAAATGGACGTGTGATCCTTTCGCTCCGGCATCACGGGTCGCAATCTGACCCCATCCAGCGCAACACGGCGGTAAAACTGCACGAAAACGAGAGATGGCACAGCAGAGGAGCAAGAAGAATGCACCAAAAGCGGACAAAATCAACTTCTTTGGAGGCAAACAGCACCAGGAGCCGGAGGAGGCTCGGGCCTGGTCGCAAGATGGCGGCCCCACTAATGACAGCCCGGAGCACACAGCGACAATGCAGGAGGGGGAGTCTGATAAGCTCACCAAGAGCTACTTGCAACAAGCTCTGGACACCCTGTCAAACAAGTTGATTGCATCATGGCAACACACGGCGGATTCGCTGAGGAAGGACATGCAAGAATTGGGCAAGCGCACCTCCCACATGGAGAACAAGATGGCAGAATTTGCCACAGCCCACAATGACATTGCCTCTCATGTGGAACAACTAGAACAAAAATTACTGGCGACAGAAAATAAAATAACCGACCTGGAGGATCGCGCACGCAGGAATAACCTGCGCATCAGAGGAATCCCGGAAGATGTTGTGCCGGAGAACCTGCAGGCATATGTCAGAGGTGTGTTTAACGCATATGCCCCAGACATACCTACCGACATGTTACTCGTGGACCGAGTACACCACCTGCCTAGACCAAGGTTCCTACCAGAAACCGCACCGCGGGATGTGCTGCTGCGCATGCATTATTACCATGTTAAAGAAATTATACTAAAGTCAAGCAGGAATAAAGCGACACCACTGGAAGGTTATCCAAACCTGCTGATCTTCGCTGATCTCTCGGCGTCCACTCTCCGCAGAAGGAAAGAGTTTGCTCCAGTCGCCAACTCCGTCAGAGCTCACGGCCTTAGATTTAGATGGGGCTTTCCCACTAAAATGTTGGTGACGAAAGACAACGCCACCCAAGTCATCACATCACCTGAAGATGGACTTCGCAAGCTACAGGCCTGGGGATTTATGGACCAAAGACCGGAGCATCACACCCCACCTACCAGGCGCATCCCACTGGACTGGCACAAAACATGAACTGCTGAACATCCGCAAGTATAAATCTGTTTATACATGTGTGCTTGCAATAAGGACAAGGACTGAGGAAAAGTTAGAAAAATGTTTTATAAAAAAAAAAAAGTTTTTTTCGGGTTCATATAGGATTGGTTATACCATATTAGGCCACATGGTTCCCTAAGGCTACTTAAACCGGAGGGCAATAACTCCCCAAACACTTAATGGAGGTCTGGAGATGAATAAATCTCCCCTAGCAGCCGGTAGCTTATGGGAAAGGCAATGTTCTGCAGAGAGCATGCCTATAGTTTTATTTAAAAAAATAAAAAATAAAAAAATAAAAAAAAATAAAAAAATTATATAACACAGGTTCAGAATGTAATTACTAGATACCTGTTACTTTGGCGAGCCCTTCCAGCTACTGGGAGCAAGACGCTGCCTTACTGGACGCGCTCACCAGCTGTAGATTAAGGTGAACTTATGTTGTGTATCTATATAAGTATGTGAACCTACGAATGGACATAACAAAAAAAAAAAAAAATTTTTTTCTTAGTCCTACTACCATTTACCCTCTTTCTTAGTACAGCAGTACACATACCCAAAGAACCTATAAGACTCTTATTACTCAGTACTTGATACATGGGTGACCTAATATGACCGACCGTCCCCAAAGATTAGGAGACAGCGGAAGACCCATAGCCACGACACGGAAACCTGCGAGTTTCCACCCCCATGGTACTCATCACCAGTACCGAGACTCATACATGTAAATACTTTGTTTTTGTTATTAACCGGTTAACACCTCCCCTCTTCCTTGACCCTAGTCCCGCATGGATGAGAAAGCCCAAGCTATTACCCACACCAGCTATGATCGAGATCGCCCCCACAGAGGCATCCTTTCCCGATATAAGCACAATCGAAATACTCATACGAAGGGAAGATAGAATAAGAAGTAAACTGCAAATTCAGCAACGAATCCACATAACATCATATTATGAAAATACACTCACATAATGTACGAGGGCTGAACACCCCTCATAAACGTAGAGTTTTATTAGAGGAAGCAAAGACAGCTAAGATAGACATTATGTGCCTTCAGGAAACGCACTTTGTGCGTGGGAGGATACCAGAATTTGGGAAACAGGACTATCCGACGCAGTATCACACGACTTATTCTTCCAAAACTAGAGGAGTGTCCTTCCTGTTTCACAAATCGCTCACTTTTGAACTGCTAAACGTCAAAACAGACGCACAAGGCCGATATTTAATAATCCACTGTCAAATTAACAGAGCCATATATACCTTGGTAGGCATATACAGCCCAAACTCCAACCAACGCAATTTTTTGCATAGAGTACTGAGCAAGCTACCCCAAGAGCACAAAGCTGGCATCATAATATGTGGTGACATGAACCACATTCTCCAACCGACTATGGACACGACAGTGTCTCCCTCTACTCCTAGACATAGATCCTTAATACCACAATGCAAAGCCATCACTAAGCTATTACTTGACCATAACTTATATGACATATGGCGAACGAAACACCCGAATGATAAAAATTACACTTTCCATTCCAAGGTGCATGGAACCCACTCCAGAATAGACGTCATACTGGTGTCAAGAGATTTGGTACCCTCCGCAGTACAGAGTAGTATAGGGGACATAGTGTGGTCAGACCACGCTCCAGTGACCCTCATAACCCAGGACACTTACAAACATAGAGGGAAAGCCCCGTGGCGACTGAACGACACCCTCCTATATAACGATATTTTTAAAAAGGAATTGGAAACTGAAATAGATAAATATTTCCAACTTAACAATCAACCTGACATATTACCTACCACCTCTTGGCAGGCTCATAAAGCAGTCATTAGAGGTCAGCTCATCAGCAGAGCGTCCTTTCTAAATAGGACTTCTCAACAAGCGCGTCTTACCCTACTGACCAAACTGCGTGACTTAAACGCAGCCCAATTCCTACACCCCACTCCTGGCCTTCACATTGAAATAGAACAAATCACTAAACAACTAAATGATCTCTTACTTCAAAAAACAGCACGCACCCTACAAACACTCAAATTGAAACATTATACCCATGGGAACAGAGCGGGGAAAAAATTAGCATCTTTGCTGAGACATCACCAAGCCCACTCCAAAATCTCATATTTACTCACCAGCAAAGGAGGGAAAATATATAACCCCCTAGACATCAATGAAGAAACAGCAGCCTATTACCAAAACCTGTACAACTTAGCAAAGGACCCCCAAACGCATCAGCCAACACCAGTTGAAATTAATAACTTTCTCTCGCAGATAAAATTGACAAAATTAACACAACAACAGCAGGAATCCCTGATAGAACCGATTACACTGAAAGAATTACAGCAAACTATCCGTACACTCCCTTCAGGGAAATCACCCGGCCCAGACGGCTTCACGAACACTTACTACAAAGTCTTTTCGAGCATCCTGAGCCCCCATCTAGTACATACACTGAACCATATTGTACACACAGGGAAGATGCCCTCAGAAATGCTATTAGCGCACATAGCCACGCTACCAAAACCAGGGAAACCACCTACGCAACCAAAAAACTTAAGGCCTATCTCACTATTAAACACAGATACAAAACTCTTAGCTAAAATATACGCCAATCGTGTAGCGGCCCTTGTCCCTTTTATTACGCACCCGGATCAAGTGGGATTTGTGAAGGGACGTCAGGGAACTGACGGCACTCGGAAACTCCACAGCCTTCTATACAGTGGGACGCCTCCCGGAGAGTCCAGGGTCTTTATGTCCCTGGATGCCGAGAAGGCGTTCGACAGACTACATTGGAACTTCCTGCGAACTGTACTACAAAAATTTGCATTCCCACAACAATTCCTATCCCTACTCTCAGCACTGTACTCCACACCATCGGCACAAGTAGCTAATGGCGGGTTTGTATCCAAGCCGTTCCTTATCACAAATGGAACGAGACAAGGATGCCCGCTCTCCCCAGCCCTATACATCCTTGCGCTAGAGCCATTGGCCCAGGCGATACGGGATAACAGCCAAATCCGAGGTGTGAAAATTAAACATAAAACATACAAATTAACGATGTTTGCGGATGACGTTATGCTCTCCTTGTCTGACCCACTCACCTCTATCTCAGAACTCCAGACTCTGTTACAGCAGTATAGCAACTGCTCGTATTACAAATTGAATAGCTCTAAAACACAGGCAATGAGTCTACATATGCCCGCGGCGCTATATACAGTCTTGCAACAGAAATACCATTATGAATGGAGACAAGACCACTTAACTTTCTTAGGCATAAAATTTACGAAACTAGAGAGGAACTTACATCGGGAGAATTATGGCAAACTCCTTACATCCATAAAACAGCAGCTAACAGATTGGAAAGGGAAATACATATCATGGATGGGTAGGATAGCTGCAGTCAAAATGAAAATCCTCCCGAGATTGCAATACCTGTTCCGTACATTACAAGTTAGGCTCTCAAAAAAATTTCTTCATGACGCACAACAATTGATTAATACCTTTGTCTGGTCCCACAAGAAACCCAGAATAGCGGCAAACATCATGTATCGCACATATAAGGGAGGGGGCATGGGATTACCACATTTAGCCACGTACTACAGATCAGCTATACTTGCACCGCTGGTCAACGAATTACACCAGCATGACAAACCATCCCCTTGGGTAACCGTAGAAGCAGAGCTCACTGGGGGACAACACATAACGCACATGGCCTGGACTCCACCACATCTCAGGAAAAAATATAACAATATGTCACCACTCACGGCCACAACATTACGAGAATGGGACAGATTTCATAAAGAACAGGGTTTCGATAGGGAGCTCTCCCCAGTCTTCCTCCTGGATTCCTTTTATGGACTAATACCCTCATTAAACATGGCGTCCTGGAGCAGTAGGGGTCTGATATACTTACATCAGTTGTTTGATCAGGGAGAGGTCATCCCCTTCAGACAACTGCAAAATACATACCACTTACCCAACGCAGCAGCATTTGCGCACAGACAGATACACTCATGGTTGCAGAAAAATAAAAAGGTACTTCCTGCAGGAGACAGATGGGGCACTTTCACTGAATTAGAAAGCCTTTGCACACAAACGAAAAGACCACTTAAGCTAATCTCCACACTATATAATCACCATCATCGAGCACTAGACCCACATACATTACAGTTTGTAAAAGCATGGGAAGCGGAACTAGGAAGACAGTTAACAAAAGAGCAGTGGTCATATATACTGTATGAGAATAAGAAACTCACACTCAGCACAGCCCATCTAGAACTAGCCAGGAAAGTATTATACCGCTGGTATTTAGTACCAACCCGTCTAAAACATATGATACCTAAGAGTACAGGACTGTGCTGGAGATGCAACAAAGCCCAGGGAACCATGCTACACATATGGTGGGACTGCCTGGTCCTGACACCACTGTGGACGGACACACAGGCTCTAATTAAAAATACTACAGGTGCAGCTCTCGCATATACTCCTGAGCTTTTTCTTCTACAGTATATGCCTCCACACCACACAAAAACATCTCGATATTTAATGTATCACATTATCTTGGCAGTTCTGCTGCAGATCAGCAAACACTGGCAAAAGCAGACGACCCCCAGCATACAGAGCTGCATAACACACATTGAAACCATAAAGGGGTACGAGATAATGGCCAGATCCAATAATCCACCACAAAAATTCTGGAAGGAGGCGTGGGAAAAATGGGACACATATCAACAAAAAACGGTGAAACCTTAAACACTCTACACACCTTTCACGCTGTAATCCATAGAACGATGCTTTAGAGAAAGGAAAAACGCATTCCTTCTCAGCACTGCATCTTTGAATACAAGGAAGCCCACACACCACCTCTTCCTACTTAAAGCTGGGTGAATACTCTGACGCAAATTCTTAGGGCCGAAGAACCGGCCCATATACTGGGCTAGACTGAGGGACCAACACCGCCCCTCCCCTCCTCTACCTCCCCCTCTTTCCCTGCATTATACCCAGGTTATACCCCCAAGTTCGAAAAAATTTTCTTTCATCGGAAAAGTAGTTGAGCACCAGGGAGATGGGGGTTGCTTCACAGCTAAGCACTTACCAAGACTGGCGGAGTGGAAAGACAACTCTCACTATCACGCCCATTGGACAAGAAAGAGAGCAACACAAACATGGGTACAATAGCAATGTCAGAATGAGTTGTCTATTTGTCTATTTGTTTTAAAGGCGTAACTCTAATGTCACTACTACATGAATGTTCAACACAAGTATCATTACTGTATAGTTAAGTTGTTACTTTGACAAAGCATGCTGCGCACTATATTGTACTCTCTCTATGTTGTAATGTGACTGTAACCCGCATACCCTGTATACCTGTAATAAGACTGTGAATTCTATAAAATGCAAATAAAAAAAAAAACAAAAAAAAAACATTGTGTGATTTTTTCTACAGGTGTAGCTTTGCTTGGCAAAGATATGGGTTTAAGTAGAAATTAAGTTCAGGTACCAAATTGCTATTTAAATTTAAACTTGGATCTACAAAATATTTTGAGAGGGCTTTTGCTGTGGGGGGTGGAGGGGAAGGGGGTCTCCTCTCTCCCAGTTGACACAGTAGGGGCAAGTTATGAGCATAGACTTGGTGGTAAATGGTATGAAAGGCGGTCAGGTCATCTAGGACTGGATGGCAATTCGGTGATGTTTAATGAATATAGGGCACAAAGTTTCACAAGATATAGGTTAATCGTTTTAAAGTGTATGATTGTTCTGCCCCCTTGAGCTTTAAATAAAACACCACAGCCTCGAACAATAAACGTTAAAAGTTAACAATTTGTGTCTGTTTACATTGTGTGGTCTATTTATTCAATTGTATACTATTGCCTACTATTCATACGGTTCTTTTATCTGTCTTTGCTTTTGACAATATATTTTTTTTCTCTCTAGCAATGTATAACAACACTCACTTTAAAAAAGAAAAAAAAAAATCTGTGTTCTCTCTCTAATCTAATTAGAAGATTTCAATGAGATAAAGACGTTTCCACACATTCACATTACTACTTGGAGAAATTCATGTATGCCGCAAGGTTTATTCAATAACTAATGAACTGAGAGACAAATTACAAACGTTAAACTAAAATAGGATTTGGAGGGGGGAAAAAATCATCTAAGCTACACTTACAGCTTGGCAAGTTTACCAATTTGTTTTTAAATATCACCGTCATTCACAGCAAAACATCTACACCACAAAATAAAACTTAAAAGGAACACTCCAGCATTATAAATAATAAGGTTATTTATAGCGCTGTACTGTTTTAAAATCATCACTTTTATGAAGTGGGGGGGGAAGGGAGGGAGAGAGTAAAAGGGCAAGCTGGAGTAGTTTAGGGGTTTGAAGTGTTCCTGTTAACACATCGTGAAAGGTACCCACATAGGACAGCAAAGGCCAGTCAGGTTTATAACAAAGTCTCTATGCAGGAAACTAACCCAAGCTCCTCTGTTTACGATCACCATTCATTGTAAAACAATTCTCGGTTTAATGAATACATCCTTAAATAAACGTTTGTGAGTCAATGGCTTTGAGACAACTTCTACCTGAATCAAGGTACTGAGTGTCATACAGCAAGAGATCTCCAGGTCCCCAGGCAAATCCTATAGGAAGATCCCGATGCCCCATTCCTGGGATGAGCTGCAGGGTAAATGAAGAATAGATATAAAAATACTTAATACAAAATATGTGGAGGGCTGTCTAGTCTAGCGTGCTGTAGACAGCACACACTGGAGGGCTGTCTAGCGTGCTGTACACAGCACACACTGGAGGGCTGTCTGGTCTGGCGTGCTGTACACAGCACACACTGGAGGGCTGTCTGGTCTGGCGTGCTGTACACAGCACACACTGGAGGGCTGTCTGGTCTGGCGTGCTGTACACAGCACACACTGGAGGGCTGTCTGGTCTGGCGTGCTGTACACAGCACACACTGGAGGGCTGTCTGGTCTGGCGTGCTGCACACAGCACACACTGGAGGGCTGTCTAGTCTGGCGTGCTGCACACAGCACACACTGGAGGGCTGTCTAGTCTGGCGTGCTGCACACAGCACACACTAGAGGGCTGTCTAGTCTGGCGTGCTGCACACAGCACACACTGGAGGGCTGTCTGGTCTGGCGTGCTGTACACAGCACACACTGGAGGGCTGTCTGGTCTGGCGTGCTGTACACAGCACACACTGGAGGGCTGTCTGGTCTGGCGTGCTGTACACAGCACACACTGGAGGGCTGTCTGGTCTGGCGTGCTGTACACAGCACACACTGGAGGGCTGTCTGGTCTGGCGTGCTGTACACAGCACACACTGGAGGGCTGTCTAGTCTGGCGTGCTGTACACAGCACACACTGGAGGGCTGTCTAGTCTGGCGTGCTGTACACAGCACACACTGGAGGGCTGTCTAGTCTGGCGTGCTGTACACAGCACACACTGGAGGGCTGTCAGTCTGCAGTCAGTATGGTTATAATGAGTCCAGGGGGAACAAAATCAATAACAAAAATAAGAGTGGTATCAGTGTATCCGCTATGATGATAAATAATATTAATATGGGGCTCAGTGTGTCTCCTATGATAATTAATAATAATAGTAATAGAGCTGTATCAGTGGGTCCCCTATGATTAATAATAGTAATAGAGCTGTATCAGTGTGTCTCCTATGATAATTAATAATAATAGTAATAGAGCTGTATCAGTGTTTCCCCTATGATTAATAATAGTAATAGAGCTGTATCAGTATGTCCCCTATGATAATTAATAATAATAGTAATAGAGCTGTATCAGTGGGTCCCCTATGATAATTAATAATAATAGTAATAGAGCTGTATCAGTGGGTCCCCTATGATAATTAATAATAATAGTAATAGAGCTGTATCAGTGTTTCCCCTATGATTAATAATAGTAATAGAGCTGTATCAGTGTTTCCCCTATGATTAATAATAGTAATAGAGCTGTATCAGTATGTCCCCTATGATAATTAATAATAATAGTACTGTATCAGTGTGTCTCCTATGATAATTAATAATAATAGTAATAGAGCTGTATCAGTGAGTCCCCTATGATAATTAATAATAATAGTAATAGAGCTGTATCAGTGGGTCCCCTATGATAATTAATAATAATAGTAATAGAGCTGTATCAGTGGGTCCCCCTATGATAATTAATAACAATAGTAATAGAGCTGTATCAGTGTGTCTCCTATGATTAATAATAATAGTAATAGAGCTGTATCAGTGGGTCCTCCTATGATAATTAATAATAATAGTAATAGAGCTGTATCAGTGGGTCCCCTATGATAATTAATAATAATAGTAATAGAGCTGTATCAGTGGGTCCCCTATGATAATTAATAATAATAGTAATAGAGCTGTATCAGTGGGTCCCCTATGATAATTAATAATAATAGTAATAGAGCTGTGTCAGAGTGTCCGCTATGATAATTAATAATAATAGTAATAGAGCTGTATCAGTGGGTCCCCTATGATAATTAATAATAATAGTAATAGAGCTGTATCAGTGGGTCTCCTATGATAATTAATAATAATAGTAATAGAGCTGTATCAGTGGGTCCCCTATGATAATTAATAATAATAGTAATAGAGCTGTATCAGTGGGTCCCCTATGATAATTAATAATAATAGTAATAGAGCTGTATCAGTGTGTCCCCTATGATAATTAATAATAATAGTAATAGAGCTGTATCCGGTGTGTCTCTATGATAATTAATAATAATATTAATAGAGCTGCTTATCAGTGTGTCCCTATGATGGTAATAATAATAGTAATAGGCTGTATCAGTGTGTCCCTATGATATTAATTAATAATAATATTAATAGAGCTGTATATCAGTGGGTCCTATGATAATTAATAATAATAGTATAGAGCTGTATCAGTGGGTCCCCTATGATAATTAATAATAATAGTAATAGAGCTGTATCAGTGTGTCTCCTATGATGATTAATAATAATAGTAATAGAGCTGTATCAGTGTGTCTCCTATGATAATTAATAATAATAGTAATAGAGCTGTATCAGTGTGTCCCCTATGATAATTAATAATAATAGTAATAGAGCTGTATCAGTGTGTCTCCTATGATAATTAATAATAATAGTAATAGAGCTGTATCAGTGTGTCCCCTATGATAATTAATAATAATAGTAATAGAGCTGTATCAGTGTGTCTCCTATGATAATTAATAATAATAGTAATAGAGCTGTGTCAGTGGGTCCCCTATGATAATTAATAATAATAGTAATAGAGCTGTATCAGTGGGTCTCCTATGATAATTAATAATAATAGTAATAGAGCTGTATCAGTGGGTCCCCTATGATAATTAATAATAATAGTAACAGAGCTGTATCAGTGGGTCCCCTATGATAATTAATAATAATAGTAATAGAGCTGTATCAGTGTGTCTCCTATGATGATTAATAATAATAGTAATAGAGCTGTATCAGTGTGTCTCCTATGATAATTAATAATAATAGTAATAGAGCTGTATCAGTGTGTCCCCTATGATAATTAATAATAATAGTAATAGAGCTGTATCAGTGGGTCCCCTATGATAATTAATAATAATAGTAATAGAGCTGTATCAGTGTGTCCCCCTATGATAATTAATAATAGTAATAGAGCTGTATCAGTGTGTCTCCAATGATAATTAATAATAATAGTAATAGAGCTGTATCAGTGTGTCCCCTATGATAATTAATAATAATAGTAATAGAGCTGTATCAGTGGGTCTCCTATGATGATAATGAGTTGGTTACCGTTTCCGCCGGCTCCACGTCCAGTTCCTCCATGTTCCAGCGCTGCCAGTTTCCCGCGTGTTTCCGGGGTCCTTTCTAAGGCCCCCATGGCTGTCCGCGGCATTGCCTGCTGTGAGGGGAGAATAAAAACATGTTCATTAAAACTCACAATGTGGAGAACTGACCACGTTTTCAGTTAAAATAGCTCGCCCTTGGGGGAAAAAAATTTTTTTGCAGAAATTATTTTTTTTTATTTTTTTTTCTCACATTTTGGCTAATTTGCCCTAAAATGTCTTCAAGTTCTCATCAATTTCCATTTTACTGAATACATTTTCTTATGGTCCACCTAGAGCTAACTGTATTAATATATCTACCAAGAGCAAAAGTGACTGGTTTTTATTTTTAAAAAATAAAATATTATTTATATGGGTTTTGTTTTGCTACATATTTTAATTTTTATTCTAACCCTTTAAGGACCAGACTTTGTTTGTTTTTCACATAAGGACCAAAGTAATTTTAAAAACATTTTTTTCACAGTTTTGGCAATAATAATGTGTGCATAATTAGTGAAGTTTAAGAAAAGTAATTAAAAATAAATTCATATAGTTATCCAGATTTACAGAATACATAATGTGTGCTACTATTGTTAAAAAAAACCATATTGTGTCCACATCTTTTCTGTATAACAATACCTCCAAATGTATTCTTTTGCCACTATCCTGTGAAGCTACAGTGCCATGTAAGAGACCTGGCCGTTTCAGTTTTACAGTTAAAGGACCACTATAGTGCCCTGAGGGTGCCCACCCCGCCAGGCTCTGGGGAGAGGAAGGGGTTAAGATCTTACCTTTCTCCAGCGCCGGGCAGGGAGCTCTCCTCCGCCTCCTCTTCTCATTCATAGCGACGTCATCGGCTGAATGCGCATGCGCATTCAGCCAGTTCATAGGCAAGCATTTACAATGCTTTCCTATGGACCCTGGCGTCTTCTCACTTTGATTTTCACAGTGAGAAGCACGCAAGCGCCTCTAGCGGCTGTCAATGAGACAGCCACTAGAGGCTGGATTAATTCTCTGAAACTGCTATGTTTATAACAAAAAGGGTTAAACCTAGCTGGACAAGGCACCCAGACCACCTCATTAAGCTGAAGTGGTCTGGGTGCCTATAGTGGTCCTTCATGGATGTATTTGATTTGTCTATGTCTTATTTTGGGGCGTTATTGCAGTTTGACTGTTGAAATTATACTGCAAAGGCATACCATTTGTGAAAGTAGACACTCCAGGGCATAGATATAGAATACCTAGATGCCGCATTGCGTGCTGAGCGTCGAGGAATGCGGGCGCAATCTTGGACCGGTCGCCGCTCTACTGAAGCTATTGAAGAACCCTTGGAAAGTCCATCTCACAAAAGGTAAGTGAAGGACTTGGGGCACTTAAGGTCCTTAATACCCCTACCCCTTATCTTTAATACCCCTACCCCAGCACACATAGTCCTTAATACCCCTACCCAGCACACACAGTGTTAATACACATAGTGTGCTGGGGTAGGGGTATTAACACTGTGTGGGCTGGGGTAGGGGTATTAATGACTAGGGGTATTAAAGATTAGTGGTATGGGTATTAAGGACTATAAGTGCCCCAAGTCCTTCACTTACCTTTTGTGAGATGGACTTTCCAAGGGTTCTTTAACCCCTTCCCGACCGTGGACGGAAATTTTCCGTCAACCTTGTCCTTCAGTTAAGGACCGTTGACGGAAAATTTCCGTCATTTTCTTAAGTTAATCCCAGATCGCCGCGATCGCGGCAATCGCGGGGTTAACGGTGCTCCGGTCTGCCTCTGCATTAGAGGCAGACCGGGAGCACCCGATCGGGCTGCCCCAGCACCGGTGCTCGCTCTGACAGCATGTCAGAGCGAGCACATGTGCTCCACATACTCACCTTCCGCCTCCCTGCACTTCCGGGTTCTGTGTGAAGTGCAGGGAGACGGATCAGTGCTGATCTGCTTCCCTGTGTAAAAAAAAAAAAAATTAAAGTTAAATCCCAGCCCCCCTGCCCCTGTTTTAATAAAATTAACCCCTTCCCTGCCAATTGATCACTGACTACAGTGATCAATTGGCAGGGTATACATTTTAATGTCATCTGATTTTTTTTTTTTAACCCCTGAGGGTTAATTATTTTTTTTTAACCCTCAGGGGTTAAATTTATTTTATTAATTAATTTAAATATTAAAAAATTATATATTTAGCTAGCTGGGATGGGTGGAAGTTAGTGGGGAATTGGGGAATTTGGTGTTAGGCTAACTAGGGGTAAACGTTAAAAAAAGTTTTAAAATAAGCTTTAAAAAGGTAAAAAAAAATTTTTTTTTAAATGTTTTAGTAACGTTTAAGTAAAAAAAAAAAAAATACCACCCCCTTTACCCAGTCTAAATAAAAATTAACCCCTTCCCTGCCAGCTGATCACTGCCTACAGTGATCAAAATACAGATCACAGTATTATACTGTGATCTAATTTTTTTAACCCCTGAGGATTAACTTTTATTTATTTTTTTTTAACCCTCAGGGGTTCCATTTATTTAATTAATTAATTTAAATATTTTATAATTAAATATTTTGCTAGCTGGGGTGGGTGGGAGTTATGGGAAAATGGGGAATTTACGGTTAGTGCTGCTTACTGCTAGTTAGGGGTTAACGGTAAAAGAAAAGTTTAGAAAAAAAATTAAAAGTGTAAAAAAAGTTAAGATAGTGTAAAACATTTAATAAGTAAAAAAAAAAGTTTAAAAATGGGTTTTACAAAGTAAAAAAAGTTTTACAAAGTAAAAAAATACATTTAAAAATGCTCATTACCACTACACTTGGTACAAGCTAGCGGAAATATTATCCCACGCTAAGGTTCAAAATATGCCTTTTGAATTACCCTGGGATGTCTTCTTTAAGAAATGATATGCCTTTATGGTGTAATTGGATGATATAGCCTTGTAAAATACTCTAAAATGGGACATGGACACAGCGTAAAAATTCAAAGTTTGGAAAAAACTGGAATGGCTGTGTCTCAAATGTGCCCCTTCAATGTCCACATATACCTGGCAAAGGTACATACGGGGGTATTGCTGTACTCAGCGACATAGCTGAACAACATATGAAGTAGTATACAGTCGTAGTACACATAAGGTTTGCAAAATATACTGCGCAAACTCACTTTGTGTGTCAAAAGGCAGAAAAAATGCTTATTACCACTACACTTGGTACAAGCTAGCGGAAAAATTATCCCACGCTAAGGTTCAAAATAGGCCTTTTGAATTACCCCGGGATGTCTTCTTTAAGAAATGGTATGCCTTTATGGTGTAATTGGATTATATAGCCTTTTAAAATACTCTAAAATGGGACATGGACACAGCGTAAAAATTCAAAGTTTAAAAAAAATGGAATGGCTGTGTCTCAAATGTGCCCCTTCAATGTCCACATAAACCTGGCAAAGGTACATACGGGGGTATTGATGTACTCAGCCGACATAGCTGAGCAACATATGAAGTAGTATACAGTCGTAGTACACATAAGGTTTGCAAAATATACTGCGCAAACTCACTTTGTGTGTCAAAAAGGCAGAAAAAATGCTTATTACCACTACACTTGGTACAAGCTAGCGGAAAAATTATCCCACGCTAAGGTTCAAAATATGCCTTTTGAATTACCCCGGGATGTCTTCTTTAAGAAATGGTATGCCTTTATGGTGTAATTGGATTATATAGCCTGGTAAAATACTCTAAAATGGGACATGGGAACAGTGTAAAAATTTAAAGTTTGAAATGAACTGGAATGGCTGTGTCCCAAATGTGCCCCTCCGATGTCCACATATACCTGGCAAAGGTACATACGGGGGTATTGATGTACTCAGCCGACATAGCTGAGCAACATATGAAGTATTATACAGTCGTAGCACACATAAGATTTGCAAAATGTACTGCGCAAATTTACTTTGTGTGTCAAAAAGGCAAAAAAACGCTTATTACCATTACACTTGGTACAAGCTAGCGGAAAAATTATCCCACGCTAAGGTTCAAAATATGCCTTTTGAAATACCCTGGGATGTGTTCTTTAAGAAATGGTATGCCTTTATGGTGTAGTTGTAATATGTAGCCTGCTCAAGTGCTCCAAAGTGGGCACGGACGCATCAAAACCCTCCATGAAAATTCACACTTAAAAACCTTAACTTGTTACGTCTCTTTTATAGCAGTGTAACTTCACAAAATAGTGTCTAGGTCATACATTGGGCATATTGTTTTACTCAGAAGACTTAGCTGAGCATAATTTGGGGGGTTTGAACTTAGTGGCACATATGAAATGTACAAAATGCCCAGCAAAAATGTAATCCGTATGTAAAAAATGCCCAAAATTATTTTTTACCACATACTTTGGCATATATTGGTGAAAAAATGGGGGCATGTTAAGGCACAATATGCACCATATGAGATACCCTGGAGTGTCTACTTTTATAAATGGTAGGCCTTTGTGGGTTTTTTTGAACAGTCAAACTGCTATAATACCCCAAATTGAAGCATAGGCCCATTAAATCCGCCTCTCAAAATTCTACTGTAAATGTTGAAACGGACAGGTCTCCTATATGGCACTGTAGCTTCACGAAATAGTGCCAAAGACATACAATGGGGGTATCGTTGTACTCAGCAGAAGTAACTGAACACAAAATAAAACTTTGTACAGGAATAGCACACACCAACTTTACAAAATATACATGGGAAGTTCTTTGTTATAAGTTTGTGTGCCAAAAACTCCAAAAAACTAAATTTTACTCCAATATTTAGCAGAGATTGGCGGTGAAATGGCTACTTAGAAAGTGTCAAAAAACCTTAGGACAATAGCCTGTGATGTCTACTTTATATAAATATATACTTTTGTGTGGCAATTTTGTTTTCTTTTATGGCTATTAAGCTTACAAGACAAACATACAAAATTCTAAAATCGCTCTACATTAAAAGTTTATTTTACTCCTTGTGCTTTATGACCTGTAACTACCAAAAAAAACTTTAAATCCCAGACACATTATATATTTTGTAAATCAGAACAACTAAATAAATTTATTTTTAATTACTTTCTTTAACCTGCACTAATTAGGCACACATTAT